TGCGTTCATGTACATCATGGACACATGCAGAATACAGCAGACAGCATGTGTTATGGCTGGCTCAAATGCCATGCTTAATAAGGGACACAACACACAAAAAAGTTTTATTTAATATAATTCAAGAATAAACAGAAATGGATGCAAAATCTCCAAACAAAACCAAGAGGAGTGAAAAGGTTTGTGAGTCCTGCCTAAATGGACTCAGGAAACAGACACACTAAAACAGGAAGAAACCCTGATGTAACAGTATCCAAGAAGAAGAGGTAAACTTTTTTTTAGAAAGCTAATCCTCTAAATCCTTCTTAAACCAGGTTAACTTGATTGAGCCATTATTTATTGTGGAATATGCTCCATATCAGCTGCAAGTCAGCCGATAAAAAATCACAATATTGACGTATGACTCTGACAGAAAGCCCCGGAGAGTACCCTGATGAAGGAAGAATTAAAGAGGACTGTTAAAGCCAAGAATATTTGACTTTATATTCTACTTTTGTGAATATCGTACAAACATTTCCATGCCTTGCAAATAACCGGCTGTATGTGATTAAATACACGTGTTAAGTTTACTTGAAGATTTATTCAGTTGAGACCCTTTTTCAAAATCACAGTCTGACTTATTTTCAGAAGTCAGCTGCCAAGCCAGCAAAGAACCTGCAGCAACAAATATGACTCTAACAATGGCAGACACTACAAACAAAAGGAAAAATTGCTGGCTTGCCCATGACAATACAGATCTCCTGATTAATTTATTCGCCATTAATGAGAAATCAAAACAGGCAAAATGCTGAAAATTGACTAAGCATTAGAAACACATGCTTTTGCTGCTGCATGCCTGGTTTGGATCTAAGTGTCTAAATAACAGGATAAGTTTGAAGGTTAGAAAAACAGATAATACTGAAGTATTCATGTATTCTGCGTGAGGCTATTTCTTATGCAGATTGATGATGGATGATATGCTTTACCTTTAATTTATGCTAATCTATGTTAAACAAGCTGAAAGATGATCCTTGGCTCTGAGTATTTTTTTCATTTTCACAAAGCTACCGCATGCAAGAATGAAAAGAAGACTAATATGTGATGAAGCCTCTTAAATAGCATGGCTGTGTAAATGTCAACAGAAAAGAGGTCATGAAATGAGAAACAGACCTTTGCATCAAAGTGAGTTCTGGAATAATCATCTTGTAAAGGCGTACACCGAATGAAATAAACAGCTGTAACAAACTCACCACAAAGACCAGAAGAAGTAATATCAAATATATATGGGTTTGGATATGTATACACTATGTATTCACTGTATACAATATAATTAAATGTCATCTTTTTAATATCCACACCTTGAGTATGATTGATTTCTATTTATGGTCTCAAACACTCTCTGAACCCATTTCAGGTTTAAACTGTTCAATATATATATATATATATATATATATATATATATATATATATATATATATATATATATATATATATATATATATAATAAAATACAATAGCTTACCATCAAGTTAATACAGTGTATCTGACCTCTCTTTTGCATCATCAGAGAAACATTGTAAAAATAGAGGGGAAAGGGACATAATGTACAAGCCCAGATAAACTCAACAGGGGTCTGTGTCATCGACCCTACTTCCCTGCAGTGACTTTTATCAATCACATAAGGAACTGCCATGAGCGTTTCACTTAACAATCGTCTATTGTGGTTACAGCACATTAGATGTTTGTTTTCATGTTCCAGAGCTGCAGAGAAGAATACATGTTCCTGCCAAAACAAAACTATCCTAAATCAGGTCTTAACAGTGTACAGAGCTTTATGCATTTTATCAGTCAGATATCATTGATCTGCAGCTGCACATTTATATACTGTTAACCAAAGAAAACTTCAAGGGGAACAAAAGATAACCTTTTCTACAAGGTTTTTCTACTCAAGCCCCCCTAAAAAACATGAGTTAAAGACTATATAATGTTATGTGGATGTAATAGAAACCTTTAGGTGGCTGACACTTAGGCCAAAACAAGAACACATATAGAATAAAATCTAAATGATTACAAACAGAGATTATATCAGACTTCACCTATGATAGTGAAGAAAATAAGTTAATAAGAAGTAGGGCTGTCAAATGATTCATATCTGTAATTGCAGAATTTTAAAAAGTACAAAAAACATGACTGATTTCACTTTTGATTGTATGCTTAGAACTCTATTATTTTGCATTTCAGAGCAGTTTTTAGTCTGCTTCAACCATGTTAAGTAATTATTCTATAAAATACTGTGTTTTTTAATGCTTCCTTTTCAAGGATAACACTATTACATATTGAGAAATCTCTAGAAGTGAAAATACAAAACATTCAACTGAAGCTTTTCAGAGAGAACTTTGACCTCTGACCTCAGTTAATGAGAGTGTTTGCACTTTTTCCAGTGCTCTAGTTTGGTTGCTTTCATTGTTTTATACATGTCCAATATGTTGGAAACTATTGCTCCCCAGGATGGAAAGAAATATGACTGGCCACATTATGTCAGCTCATGGAGACTCTGTGGTCTTAAGTCTTCCACTGTGTTGACTGTCCTGCAATCAATTGTCACCCATTAAGTAAGGGCTGTAAAGCATGTCTTCAGACTGATTTCATATGCTTAGCGGGTGGATTACTCAAACTTAAAGCACTGCAGTGATATTTTATCCACGTCACACAAAATGCAGAATACTTAAACGTGTAAATCAAGCTGTCTGAGATTTGTCAATCAATTTGTCGATCAATCAAGTTGTCCATCAAGGTGGAAGTAGGACACCTTGGGACAGTTTTTCACCTTGTTATAAACAAAAACAGCAGCTGGCCCTATAAAACCTTTAAAACTGCCCTCTTCTATTCAAGTGCCTAAATAAGCCATGATGGTGTGTTACGGATTTATTATTTGCACCTCTCTTTTGCAGGAGGTATGTAAAAATGTCCTAAATGAAAAACACCTCTCACATTGAGCGGTCGTACTGTCTGTAGTGTTACAAAAAAAGGCAGTGAACCAGAACAAACTGAACCTTCTCTCAAGGCTTCATAGATCCACAGTTCACAAACAGCTGTTGCTGGAGTACACCTTGTTTGAGGACTTGAACAGGCCGTGACATTCAAACACAAAGAAACCAAAAACAAGGCTCAGGCCAACAGGAGAATCTGCCTGTAACCATAGAAACAGTGAAGTGACCCTTCATGCTTCAGTATAAAGCAAAGCTGATTAAACTGTGAGTTCAGCTGGGTAAAACAAATGATTAAGTTTTTTTCCCCCTGCACTATCACAGGGTGTACTTTCTCCTTTGAACACAGTTTATTTTTTCATCTATTGACACATGAATTAATTTTACAATGAGTGTGAATACAATAAAGTCAGTTCTCATGTTTTCAAATGTCTGCTTGACGATTTTCATGATTTCAAGTCTTGTGCTGCATGTGGTTGCCTACTCTTTATCGCTAACACTTTATTCTCTGTCTACCTAAGATCCCTTTTTAATAGCATACATTCAAACTATCGGTCATTAACTCAAACTTAATTCCAGGTAGTCAAATTATATTACGAAAATTAAACCATTATTCTATTTATAGTGTAGTTCATTGTATAATTTATCTTTCAACCTTCCTTTATGCCTTGTGTATATGAGTCAAACTTATATCATCTATTTTTGAACTTTGTCCCACATTTGTTCAATTGTTTATTCCAAAATTTCAAACTTTAAACATATCTGAACTTTCATTGAATTTTGAGCTTTCATCCCTGGTGTTTACACTTTACTGTACATCAAAACTTAGGAAAGCAAAAATATTTATTCCACTTTTTTTGTTGGTTTGTTTTACATTCAGTAATACACCTAATACACATTCACTCAACATTTTCAAACTTGTTTTACACATTTATACTCAATCTTTTAGTTTGGACATTCAAACTTAAATTTCATTTTTTTCTTTTTTTTTCCATATTATCCATTTTTTGTTTTTTTTCTTTTGACAAACATAATTTCAGATATGGTGGATGATGGCATGATGCTATTGTCTCTCATGGACATATTTACCACACCACTCTTTAGTGACAGAATGGTTTGCCTACAGTGTCTGCAGGAGAGATACCACAAGAACTTACTGACCAGGAGCCAGACTTTCTAACAAAGCCTGTATACAGCTGTCATGTTACTGTAAGAAATACACCCAAATAATAAAAAGAAAGTAATCATTATTAGCAATCAAATATCTATAAAATGTTTGATTGGTGCAACAAAAACAAAAATGTGTGAAACATATCTAACCTTTTTGGTACAGTGTGTATAGTGTGTGGTAATTCTTTGAAAGTAAGGAACTTTTGGTTTGTGTTAGTTTTGGTGACCTCATGTGGACAAAGCTGCCATGTCTTTATGAGGAAATGTTTTAAAATTCTGTCAGGATTTTGCCATCCTCTTCTATTATTTGTGCAACTATACCCTGTTAGTTTAACTTTTTTTGTTATTTCTGTTTTGTTTTTTCATTTCAATTATCTGTCCACATTTTCTATTTACCTCTGTCAAATGTTGCGAGTCCCAACACTTAAAAATCCCACTGTGGGATTGTTAAAGGTTCATTTAACTAATTTTATGGTTATCTTATCTCATTCAGACTCTTCATCCCTTTATATTTAACTCTCGTTTCACATGTTCAGACTTTCACATTTTTTCAAACAGAATTCCAACCAGCCTACTATCCAATCCATACACAGCTGTTGGGCGAATATTGTACAAAAACACGAACCTTTTGCAGGTGTGTTCAGCTGTTCGTGGCGAAGAAAAGGAGAAAACACTCAGTAATTATCGGCGTTATTATAAATGTTCTTCTTAGTCCCGTAAAGGCTAAAAAATAAGTGCTGATCCATCGCCTTAAACCCTAAAAAACCATCGTGATTCAAGCTTATAATTTTAATTGGAACGAGCCACCTCCCTCTGCGCGCGCGGACCAGTTGTACGTCTCCAGGGCAACCAGCTCCATCCACCTGCAGTGTGCTGCCTTTGTCGCGTGGGGGCGGCGCGTAACGCTCTTTGTCGACCGTCAGCTTTGTGTTGAAGGCAGAGGTTTCCCCACACAGCGAAGGAGCAACACCAACAGGCAGCAAGTGAGTCACGTATCATTATTTTTCCATTACACCTGACTATCTGGGACGTACTGTACGGCTGATATTTACCACGTTTAAACAGATATCTTCATCACCTTCACCATCATCACCATCATGAGGAACATCACCGGCAAACACTTGTTGTGCCTCCTCCTGCTCATCTTCCCAATCTCCTGGGCAGAGATCACGAAGAAGGATGTGAGGAAGCCTGACAATGACACAGGTGAGGCTGGACTCAAACCTTTTTCCTGTAGGTGTTCGTGGACACATTGAAGGCTTTTTTTTCTAGAATAGGTGTCTCAGGAGTTATTAAAAGAGCAGCATCCTCAAAGAAAATAGTGCAGCTTATAAAACAGACAATGAAAATCACACAGAGGACGATATACTGATTCAGACTGTCCTTTGGCCCACCCCCAAATTTTAAAAGATATTGAAGAAATTATGTATTTTTTCCAGTCAGAAGTAAATCAGTCAGTCAAAAATTGATTGACAATTTATTGCCAATTCCTTTTTATTATATTCTGGATAACTGAAAAAAAGGAGACACCTTTTGCCTGTCCTCCAACAGGAGGATGTGTTTACTCTCCCACTTAGATATTTGTGAACCCTATTAAGCTTATCCAAGGAATTACTGCCTTGAAATGGGTGAAAACATTGATTTCAAGCTTTTATCGCAGGTATAGGTCACCTAAAGTGATTTGATAACAGCAGGAGTATAAGCACTTACCTTCAATGATTTACTCATATAAAACATCTGCAACGGCTTGATTATAATTCCCATCCAGTGTTTAAAGAGTTGAATGAGCACAAGTACATATCATAATTTTGATTGAAAGTAGTAAGACAGATTTATCTGATCATTAACCAGCTTCATTTTCTCAAAAGTTTTAAAAGGGGGAATCATGACAGTGATTCAAACACAAGAGGCTGTTTTGCATTAGAATTAAATGGATGGTAGAAGTTGTTTGTAAGGTCCTCATCTTCGCCTTGTATACTGTCTAAGGTCTTGAGTGTCAGGTACTTATTTTCTATACTAAGGTGCAGATTTTTTTTTGTAATAATGTACTTGATTTGCTAATGTTTCACTGTTACAAGGGAAAAAAAGAGTTGCATGAAAAATGTATGAGGATAAGGATTATACATCACATTGACATGGGGATGATTTGATACAATTACTTAACTTTTATAAGATGAAAAAAAGATGAATCGCTACACAATAAATGTCAACCTTCAGTTTAGAAAGCTGTCTTGAATATGGTTGCCTAATTGTTTGGTAAAGCCAATGCTTTAAAGATAGATTTCCACTAACAAGCTTATGCCATTACTGGGTTTGTGTGCTTGTCTGTTAGTTTATGTTACGGTCACTTACATTCTCAGAGAAATGTCTCTTGGGGTCTGAGTGGGAACAACTATACAAACAACAAAAGAAAACAGTCACTTGACCCCTGTAAACACTAGGAGAGCTAATATAAATGACAAATAAAAATCAACAACAAAAAACAGCAACAGCATAAAAGCCTCCTGGGAAGTCTGTGGTATTATGAATTCAATAGCTCCATTTATCATGGCCTTCAAACAGACAGAGCTAAATTGAGAACAGCGTTTAATCTGGAGCTCATGATAGAAGTAACCAGCCACCTAACTTCTTTCTCTTCTCTGTTGAGACTTTAAACGCAAAGTACTGAGGAACTTGAGCGGATGCAATATTTGGCTGCTAGGTCAGATAATCAATAAACAGACAGTGTTATTATAACCCACAGCCTTGGAAAATGGAAACCCAGGAACCCAGAGCTTGACTGGCTCCTCAGAAACCTCTTTATTTTACTGACTGCAAAAAAAATCTTAACCCTTTTATGTAGATGAACCTGCTCGAAGAATTTTTTGTCGATTTAACTGCTGAAAACTAAGTCCCATGCTAAAGACATCCTATATCTAGACTCCCTGTCCTTTAAGATACATGCAGATACCATGGTGAGAATCTTAACATATATGTTCAGAAATGTGGATAAAATTTCTGCTTGATGGAAAGGAGCTTTGCTCATTCAGAACCCAATAGCTATTTTCTGAAAATGACAGTGTCATTCGTGAATGATTCGTTCAAAAGAACTGAATCTTTTAAGTGAACATACTGAACCAAATCACTTCCTTAAATGATTCGTTCATTTCTCACTTCAGTTGAGCTGTCAGCAGTGCAGCTGCCATAGCGCACAGCACTGCCTGGCGAGCAGCTGGCGAGCAAGGGACCGCACGCACTGACGTCTGAATCACTTTGTGAACGAATTACGCAGTGAACTACAGTCTCTGGAATCATTTTTGTCTGAGGGATACACTTTCATGGCAACGGTTGTTCCCTGTTGTTTTCACAGATTTAGTTCGTGATTAAACAAACTTAAATTGATGGGCTGGTAGTAATGAGAAGAGAGTGAGACTCACCAGCTGTAGCAAGCTCTTGACAGGAGCGATGGAGGGAGATAGGAGTGTGTTCAAGTGTATCTCAGAGAAAAATAACTTTTTTTAAACTCTGCTAAATTGCAACCACAACAACTTGCATACAATAGGACACAGCATGTAACAGGTTCAGTGAACGACTCACACCCTGAGCCCAATTTACAGAGTAGACCAGATAGCATACCATTGGACAGTACACTTAAAACATCATGATTTATAGACAAGTTCATTTTCACAAACCTGTTTGTTAAAGCAACACAGCCACAACACTCTCGTCCCCCGTTCCCAGAAGCTATGAATCTGAACTGAACACTGAACCGTTCAGCTGTGTATCAGTTCAGGGAGTCAGAGTTGCAGGCTCCTCTCACCAAGTGCTGAATGATTCAGTGATTAGGTGAACGAATCTTTTGAACAAATCTTTTTAGTGAACTGATTCTAGTGATTCAGTACATCTAAAAGAACAGCCGTGCCCATCACTAATGATAAAGCGCTAAAGAGAAACAGCCTCATGTATGAGCTGACCAACAACTTGGATTAGTTAGAGTTAATTGTACAAATATAAACTGAACATAATATCATACAGATGTTGGAAAAGAGTAAACAGGAGCTTGATGTTTCCTGTCTTTCTCTGAGACAGGCTCACTCCAAAAGGTTGAGGGTCATCACACCTCCTCACTCTGACTTGTTTGTGGAGGGGGGGACCTGATTACTGAAGGCTTTAATCTTAACTACTTTTGGAGACTTCTGAATATACATCATGTCTCATACAGGAAGTGCATGTTCCAAGGTGGTAATAGGATACTTGAGCTCTGTTAAGCTCCATTTAAACTGCCAGTTCAAGAAGGAAATGTACACCCTTACATAATCTTGCCTTCAGAGCAAATGTCACAGAGGTCCACTGATGGGATCAAGCCATCCCACCAGTGACACAGTGTTACTGTGAAGTGATAATGGAAGCGAAACAGAACAGCACTGTGCATGTACATATCGGGCAATGTGTGTATGTGAAGCTCCCACTCCCACTGTGTGTGTACATGTTGTACCCCTCATGCTTTCACAATACCCATATGATATTACACTGTGGGAAATAAGTGCTCTGCATTGACTCTGCTGTGGACTCGCATTACAAAAAGGGCTGAAGACAGTAGGATGTTTGACCTTTGACAGCTTTGTAGGTGAAAAGACTGGCGTAGATTTTGATTTATACACTGTAAGACTGCTTTGGTACAAACTGGGCTCCAAAGGGAAAGATAGCACCATCTGGACTGGACTCCCTTGCTGCAGCTCCAGTAAATTCAGTACTTTACAAAGTACCTACACTGGCCAGATCCTGGTTCAGACCTGGAAAACACTCTAACTATGACACCCACCACTGATGAGGGTTTGTTAACTTGAAATCTCTTGTGTGTTATCACTGATGCCTGTCATTCTTGGGTTATGTTGAATGAGCTGACATTAGGGTCTTCAGCAGTAACAAGTCATTTTCAGTGCTCTGATTATTTTTGCTTGTTTGAACCATTAGTACCCACAATGGGACTGGTGCTGGAGACTAAATTTTCTTTCCAGACAATGATCACAACAGGGTTCTGATGTTGAGCTTGTGACAGCTGTAATTTGGGTGAGCTGTGGTTTTGTCCTGGATTTATTGTCTTCAGTTGAAGTGTTGCTAAACAGAACAAGCAGTGTAATTGCAGGGCCGGACACAAAGTATAAAATTCAACCAAAGAAATGAATAATTTCCATTAAAAAAAGAAAAGAATAGTGTCAACTTTGGATGCTCTTAATTTGTACCCTTAAAAATCTGCAAATCAATCAGTTTTTAATGTGAGAGAGATTTTGTTCTTCAGTTAGCAAAATGCTGTCACTGTGGAAAAACAAAACAATAAAATCAAGAGAAAGAGACCAAAAGGAGACACTATGTGTGGATGAAGTTATTCTTTAATTCTGTCCAAAGTCAGCTGCCTACTCTCCTCATTGAGCAGTAAAAGCAGTAATGTCTTTGCATTAAAACTGTGAAGACGGACTGGCTGTTCACTGTCTTTATCTCACATTTAATGGATCCAGTCTATCTATCAATAGTCCATTCACAGTAAATTGGTTTCCTTTGCCTGGTGCCAGTCCCAACAGATGCAGCTTCAGGCTAGACTGGATCAGTTTACTGCCTGCCTCTCTGCACAGTACTGTAGTTTTACAGATCAGTGTCAGTTAATTACAGTAACTGTAAGTACACTAAGTACTTGAATGGGTTCTTGAGGTTTGGTTGAAGCACGTGTTTGGTCTGGCCTGTGCTGGTGGGTTCATTGTGATATCTGACTGTTCCCTGCATGTGTTCGTCTTTGAAAGTGGGTTTTCAAAAGGTTTAATCTGAGGAAGACTGATCCAGAATTGGGAACCATTCTTTTTACTACCGAGGATCAGGTTATCTAAAGATTACAAAAACTATAAAATAATTCCACGAGGGATGGATCGTGTATATGACCAAACAAGATATCAGAATAATTGTTTACTTGAGTGTTAATTCATTCATTCATTTCCTAATTCACTTGCTCACCCATTGAATCTTATACTCATTTTACTCAATAGTTTTTGGCAAAGTAAACTGAAGTTTGTGCCAATATTTGAACCAGTTTTATCCAATTTCATTGTCCTCGGTTGTTTGGAAAAAGGATTTTGTAGTCTGATCACCTAAATATCAGGTTACTTATGAACAACAAGGCCCTGAATACAGTTTCAAAGGTACTTGAAAATGGAAGAGAAGAGTTTGAAGAGCTCATCAAACAGGGTGATTTGTATACATCTTAAAAGAAAACCTCAAGGACTAAAATATAGAATAGATGAGAGAGAACGAGAGAAAAAGTGACAAGACTTGAAAACATTTTATGAAGAGGGCCAAAGACAGATAGGCCAGAATATTTTAAATATTCCAGTAAAGGTTCAAATCAAAGCATGGTTAAAGAATGTAAGGAGGACACAGAGGACAGGAATGAATCAAAAACTGAGAAAAGTATTCACAGCAATGTTATGGTTAAGTCCACACAGCTGGACAGAGATTAGCTCTAAGGTGTTGAGCTTGACATTAAGAGATTATACAGTATATCATCTATTATCTATGAGGCAGAGGCGATCAGAGCCAAGACAGAGGAATGTTGATTTGCTACATCAGTGAACTTGTAAGTGTGTGCCAGATAATTTTGATTACCATTGATATTGACATAGTGAAACATTTTTTTCTGTCAGTAAAGAATACAGAGAATCCAAAACCTTTGAATAATGAGCAAGCTCCTTATATTTATGGAAACGTACCATCGCACTTCAAAGCTAACATCTCATTAAATGGCATCCTTATGTGCAAATTTAAATCTTCTATCACTGATTAATGTTGTGACAGAAGAAAACACATCAATCTTTGTCTCCTCCATGCCCTGCTGCCAAACCTAGAATTAGGTCAGGACTCTACATTCACTAGAGACACAACAGGCAGAGCACCAACAACAACCACCTACAAAAGTGGGGTGCCACTAGACTGCATCCTCAGCCACTTTGTCTATATCGTGTAAACTAACAAGAGTTTTAACGAAACACGTCAGTGACCACTGACTAGTTAGCAATTATTCTCTCAACTCACAAAGTCATAATAACTGAGTAGTAAATTCATGAGACAGAAAGCCATGAGGTTATCCAGAGGGGCGGCCAGGGTTTAAACCCAACCTCCCACAAATCCAAAACCATGAAATTACCAACAGACAGCTGGTAATTTCTTTGCAACTTGATATTGTAACATTTTGTATAAATGTCTGGGTCCACAAAAGTCTGAAATTATACGTAGTTTTCAAAAACAAACATGTTGTATACTTTTCACCTTACTTCAGATCGTAACGCAGCCTTACAGTTTCCAATATTATGTAACCACTTATGGCAGAGCACCCTCTGTTGTTCCAGCTGTCATAAATAATAATGCATAATTCTGTCCATTTAATCGTCTCCCTTTTTCTCATGGGGCTGCGTATCCAACACACCCCCATGTTCTGCACACTTTCCCTTTAAGTTGGATCATTCTGACATATTCCACAGAGTTGAGTAATGAAGGGAGGAAACATCACAAAAAGATACCTTCTGCAACAATATTTGATTAATGTTCAAAATGTTTCAGGTGGTTGTATAAGGTTTGACATAAATCTTTTTCTGTTACAAATATCTGAAAACTTGTGAGCTTAAGAGCTATTCCCATTCAGTGGAGGCCACTCAAGTTCACCCACCTGATAACGTGATTGAAACCTGTTGTGACAGGAGGCCCTTACTGTCTGTGAGGCCCTATTTTCTTTTCTACTTAGGACAGTATACTCCTTATTCTGAAACTCCCATTCCTGTCCTTAAGCTACCAATTGTAGGCAATGTACTGAACCCTTTTTCCACCCCCGCCATCTCTTGACTGTTTGAAGACAGAGCCAGAGTCTGCACAGTTAGGATTGACCTTAAAAGCCATGGCAATGACATCCCACCACACATTTGAAGCAAGCATACTTCACTCTGGAGGCAGAGGCAGAAATCATCCAAAGTTGTCAAGAATTGCATTTTTATGGGAGCCTAAGTTGGATTTGTAGCACCTGGTATACATTTGTTCTGGCTAGTGCTATGTGAATGAAAAAATCTCACATAGAACTTTAGTATAACATTTTAAAGAGGTGAAGCCTGATGAAAATGTGACATGCAACTTCACCACCTATCCCATTAAAGGGATATTCCAGCGTAAAATTAAGTTAGGGTCAGACACACTGTAACACCGAGTTAGACACCCCCTGGAGAGATGAATGTTGCCGACCGCTTGCTTCCTCCAGGAATCATTGTGGTGTAAAAGCAAGAGTGCTGCCCACTGCTTCAGTGTGCAGCCTCTTGTGTGGACCACCATAACAATGCTTGAGAGTAAAAAATACCACCTGGTCCCTCAGCCAAGGCAAACCAAAAAGAAACATTTTAGAACGTAAACATTTCAAACAGGGAAAAAAGGTTTGTCATTCGTGTGATCATCCACTCACTTTGAGATTCTAAACAAAACAGCTTTACTGGATACATGTGGTTTCTATACACAGTACTTTGCTTTATATGTGTTTTTACTGTGTTCTTTGTCTCACTGATGGAGAAAACTGTTTTTATGGAGGAGTGCTGTAGGGAAGGATGGAGCTGCCAGGTGAGACTGAGCAGCAAATGGTTGAAATGCCTCATGTTAGGTATGTGAGTCCCTCTGCAGAATGTAACCACAAAAGGTCATAATTAGCAAAGCCTGTGGAGTTATTCTAGACCTGGACTAAGTTATATTAAACATCCATCTATAATATAAAGCCTTGACGTAAAAATATATCCACTCCCAAATCCAGTTTCCATTCAAGCGTTGAAACTGCTGTGCCATTTCCCTTAAAGCTTGTCAGGATTGCAGGTCTCAAGAGTGTGGTGAGGTTTTCCTTGGCCAGTGAACTACGTTTCACTAAAAACACAGAATAGCGGTCATGTTCTAATAAATATTTAAAGAGGTGTTTTACTGTACTGTTAAGGGTAAACATTAACTTTTTTTTCCGATCCTAGCTGGAAGCCAGACAAAGACCAGACGGCTGTTCGCAAGGCGAAAGATTTCTCAGCCACAGGAAAGTCACCTCCCTGTAAGCTATCTGACTTCTTTTTGAACTTCTTTTTAACATTTTATAACTCCATAGTTTGTTTAGAAACCTCACAGTATGTGAGCTTGAAATGAAAAGGTGGGTTGAAATGTTTGCACAATGATGAATCATGCAATCAGAAAAAACATTTGGTTGAAATTATTGTAGTCTGTCTTCCTTCTCACAGTTTGTTATCATAAGTCCAAAACAAAGACACTTTTTTCAATCACAACTCCATGCTAATAAACTGTCTTTGAATCTGTTGGAGACTAATAAGTGTTAGCAACATTCATGATGTCCACACAGCAGCACTTTCTCTCTGGACTTCTGCTAAAGTTGAGAAACTGAATGTAGTGGCAACTTTACAGTCTCCGCTTACTCACTCTTTACGAGCTAAAACTTTTTACATAATTGAATAATAGCTAATGTTAGCATACCACCAATTCCTGTTTAATGCTGCTGTGAGGCTGTGAAAGCTTGCTGTGAAGCAGTCTGGAGAAAAGGATTGTTGTACAGTGGTAACCATGTGTTAACTGTGCTACAACAACAACAACATGAACTCCAAAAGATTAACCAGTCACCTATTGGCCCTCTGTGTGGGAATGATAAAACTGATTAAATTAAGTTTATTATAATTTCAACAGGACCAAAGAAGGCTGCTGTGTAAATGTTTTGACTCACATCTACTGGTAAACTGGGTCAGCGGCCACCTCCAGACATATTACAACTCAGGAACTTCAGAGAAATTCAATGTATGACGTCCAAAATACCACAAGAAGGAGGTGTTTATGTGGTGTCTTTTTGTGATCCTGACCACATTTGAAGGCTCCACAACTTTACCACAAATCTAGCAACACCACTGTTCACCAGGACTTTAAATCTCTCCTGTTGTATTGTTGTTTAATTTAAGACGTTTAACACTAGCATTAGCCTTCGCGTATCATCGGCTGTCATATATGTTGGTCTACCGTGAAAAATAGCTCAATGTCCATTTGGATTTTCTCGACTCATTGCCTTCTTTGGGGTTAGAGAGCTTGTGCACAAATCAGATTTATTGTTCATTTGTTGCATTGGTGAACTGTAAATTCAGCAGAGTGACATTCAAGTGAAACTTGTTTAATCCTGAGAATGATGTCAGAGGATCACTCTTCAAGCACTGTATCATCTTTCAATAACAATGATTATAATGACTCATATTTTCATTATAATCAGACTTTTTTGTACAAGGGAATGCCAGAGAGAAAGAACAGGATGCTCTCTCCTCATGGAGTATTGATGGTGAGGCTGCTCCAGCCAAATAAAAATAAACAATTGCCTCCTCCTGAGGGAGCTATCCTATTTGTTAAAAATGTCAATATCCTTCCCAGCCAATGCTGAGCAGATAGCAGATGCAGTTAGCCCTTTTTCACTCCTAGCAGTGTAAAGATGCATGAGAGTAAATAAAGAGAAGAGATTTCCTCGTAAGTACAGCAGTCTGAGGAACATTAAAATACTCTGAAGAGCTGAGGGGAACGTTAGGGTTGAATAAAGGAGCTGATGGGTGAAACCTCCTTGATGTTACACAAACTTTGATCAGTTGTATATTGTTTTGAGGTCAGAACTTTGCATGGGAGTTGCGATTTTCTTAAAGTGAGTGATAGAGCCTGTGGGGATTTCATCATTTTTCAGGGTTTCAACATTCCTCGTTGCTGTGGGATGTTTCATATAAATAAATAAATAATCTTCCTTTTCATTTTTTTTTCAGAAACACAAGTCAAACCTCATGACTCCAGCACGCCGCTGCGGTCGTTTGATGGAAAGCTGCTCTTCTCACATGCCATGCTGTGACCCCTGCGCCTCCTGCCGCTGTCGACTCTTCAATACCATCTGCCACTGCTGGAGAATGAACCCTCTGTGCTTAAAGAAGACGTAGATTACAATAAAAAAGGCACTTACAGACCAGCCCAGCTTGTGTACATATGCAATGACGCATAGACGCATACCTACGCAGAAATGCAAACACATGCACATCCCCCTCTGGCACGTAATCCACAGGTGCAGTTCAGAGAATTTTATTTCCGCTCAGACAACACATGAAACACGCCAAGACTGAAAAAGATGAAAAATGAAGCCTTTTTTTGTCTTCGTTTTCAAAATCAAGTAGACACAGAGATGTTCCCAGAATGCCCAAATACCAAACATGATGGAGGTTAAGCAGGACTAGAGAGGGATGATGCTTTTTCATGTATGTAGACAATCACGTATAAAAAGTGTGCTGTGCCTTAAGTATTCGCCACAATTATCAACGCCTATTAATATGATAATCATTTCATCTTGCTCTGTGGGAATGTAGATGTTTATTTTAAGTCAGTTACTTTTGTTAACTATTGCCTAAAAGATGGTCTTATGTTTTCAGTTATCAGTAGCTTACCTAGAAGTTCATTGCAGTTAATTATGGTGCTTTAAGTACTATAGTTTTTTTGATTGTGAAATAACCCTTCATTGTGCCATCGCTAACTGTGCTTAACAAATCTATAAGACCACCTGTCACAAAAAGTGAGAAAACATACATTTTGGAAAACTGTCAAAAACTAAAAATGTTATGTTTTTTATTTGGGGAATAACAAACTTGAACTCAATAGTCCCTATTCACACATAATAACTTCAAAATTGTCATATTTTGTTTGTATGGCCTCCTTTGGCCTTGATAACATCTTGCATCCTCAGTGGCATGTTTTTTTCTTTTTCAACAGACTCTTTTCTTATTGAGTTCCACATAGTTTCAAGATGATCCCAGAGACTTGGTTTAGATTAAACTTTTGTGTGATCAATCTTTAACTCCATTAAATCCCAATTTGTTCAATGGGATTAAAGTCTGGACTCTGGCTGGGCCAGTCTATCAGTTCCAGTCGTTCGGATTCCTTTTCCCTGGTCAAATAGTCTCTGTACAGCTTTGACGTGTGCTCGGAGTTATTGCCTTGTTGATATGTGAATCTGCAGCCAATCAGATTCAGTCCACAAGGGACTCTAAGATGTTGTGGAAAGAGTTCTTGGTTGCAATACCAGTGATTTTTAGAAATGGAACCCCAAATCATCATGGGATCTCCACTGCGTTTCATTGTGGGTGCAAAACATCTGGCATCAAAATGTTCTCCAGCTTCTCTGTGGATATAAACATGACGATGCTGACAGAAGAGTTCAAACTTGGACTCGTCTGTCCAAAGTATCTTCTTCCAGTCATCAACAGTCCAGAGTTAGACTCAGTAATGGCGCTTAAGCAGCTATTCTTCCCATTAAGCCTTGTTCTGTCCATCTTCTGCTCATGGTCATTCAGGAGATAGAGGCATTCATCTCTGCCTGAAGATCAGCAGTGGTCCTCCCTTTGTCTCTAGCACTTAAAATCTTGAGGTGTCGGACATGTGCTTCAGTTAACCGTCATTTCCTGCCTCTTCTTTGGTGTATTTTGTAAATACCAGTCTCTGCAATTATCTCGAGAGTATATCGTGAGAACATTTTATGTCTTTCCCTGTTTTTCTCAGAGACCATCCAGCATGATGAAGCGCTTTCATGCAGACTCTTTCATTTCCAGTCGGCTCTCCATGTTTCATAAATTTGAGCAGGAATGAGGAATTTCAAACTGATTTCCTCCCTTTTTCTTTCCCAAATTTTCCACTGACGTACTGGTCTTCTCTGAGAAGTCAGAAATCAATCAGGTATGGCAATCAACCAGGAAAACATTTGCAAGTAAATAACCATAATTTCACATCTTGATCAAGACATAATGATTTACTTTATGATTTTTTCTGTTTTTTTTGTAAAATAGTAAATCTGAAAAATTATGGATAATAGTAAGACTTATGTTTGCAACAAAAATATCATTTTGGTGATAGAGCTTCTACATGTTGATGTATGAACCATAGCAGAAACGTAAATGATTTTGGATTACCAATGCTGTTAATTCAGGGCAGCTGTGTCATAAACCTTACACTGTGTGGTGGTCTAATAAACTTGTCAAGCACTGTTTGCTCTTTGTTTCTCTCTTGTTTAGGAACGTTTAAATGTTGGACAAAATAAAATTCTCTTCAGTGTCACTCAAAAAAAAAAAGGACTTCGGATAATTTAATGGCATGAAAACAAATCCAAAATTAGCATTTTACAGATGTTTGCCGGCAGCTATCCCGTGGATGGGCTTCACCTGCTTTGTATTTCTCTCTGTGACGATTGTGTGGAAAACAGAAAGATGCTTAACAAAGTCAATGTGAATTGCAAAATAAAGCATGAATCTTGACCAAGTGATGCGTGGTGCATGTGTTGAATTACAAAACCAGGGTCTGTGATTTTCATGCACAGTTGGGGGAGCGAAAATATGACAGTGACCATAATATTTTATTGTTGATTTATTTTCAAATATGTAAAGACACGTTGTGTTTGCCTTCAAACGCCATGACGAGCAGAGTAATAACTCTTCAGTAACATGACCAAGACAGAGCGGTCCACATAAGGTCATACAGCTAAGCAAACGTGTGTTGGATCAGGCTCCTTCAGACTACAAAGTCAAATCAAAAGCAGTCATACTTCATGGAGGGAGACCTAAAGACAAGTCAAAGGTCAGATGTAAGATAAATCTGTCAGCTTAAACCTAATATATGAGGGAAGTATTTTCACCTTATCTGGCATCTTGGCATAAACTCATTTCACACATGCAAAGAATCAATAAAGTGGGAGTGTGTTTCATGAGCGGAGAAGAGCGAGGATAAATAGGTATTGTAAAACTTGTATCTGTTTTCAAATATGTGTGCAAGTTTTATTCTACCCTGCAGGCAAAGATATTATCATATGGCTTGTTTCAAAGTGTCCACGCAGCTGTGTTTTTCAATGTTTCTTGTGCCAACTTCAATCAAAATGATTTTGGAGGCTTCAGATGTTGGTCAGCAGTTTTATGTTGCTCTTATCTCCAGGCATTCATCCTCTCTGAGTATCATATGGTGTAAGTATGTGAAATATATGTTATCAGTATGTGCTATCTGTTATCTTTACAGCAACCTAAAATCCACAAAAATCTTCAAAAGCTGAAACAGCTCTCCAACAGTGAGTCTTATGATCATAACATACATTAAAAAGATTTGCAAATCTTTTCTTTTCCATACTCAAAGTACTGACAAATAAGTTCCTGTAAATTTCACTTACAAAGGAATCAAATCAGAGACTGTTGCTTTAATTTTTTTTTTCTTCTTTTTTTTTTTTTTTTTTTTTTTATCTAATTAATTCTGCAGTCTTATCAAAGGAACAATTACTTTGCAGATATCAGTCTTGCAGTTCTGGCCATGCTTGTCCACCTAAAGCGGCAGGTGTTCACTTCAAATTGTTAATGTTTTGGAGTTAAAAGGAGTTAAAACTGCAAAAAATAATTTTAAAATACATTTATTGATAATTCCAAACGAACTATCCCTCTAATAACATGGTAAGTAAAGCTTCCATGGTAGAGGTGTTTTTCGAACAGCTTATTTGCAGGTCAAAATTAAGATTGAATTGTTTATTGTTATTCATGATAGAGTCAAAGCATGAAACAGCATGAGATGATAAAAATATTGTGTTAATTTTGGATGACTGAGATGTTATCCCTGGCAACCCAAACTTTTCCATCTACACACAATCAGTATTGTTTGCTAACTGTTGCATGTGCCATTGCTGTGTAGATCAGTCTGGCAGATGTCAAACATGATCTTTCATGCCCACACAATCTAATGAAAGTAGAAACTGCTAAATTAGCTGTTTTTTTAAGAAGGAAGTTCAACAGTAGTGTGTTTTTTTTTATCCGATTGTCAGTGCAAACTCGATGATGCTTTCAACTTTGATATTACGTAAGCATTTCTACCCTTTCAAGCCCAATTTCAATCAGCGTAATAATACCAATGGTTTTTTTAGGCACACTCAGAGAATATCTAATCATGGAAAGACCAAATGTACTTTGACAAAGTCATACAAAAATACTTTTAGGAGCAGCTGTGGAATTTCTTGGTGACAAAGGGGAAGGGAAAATATCTGCATGAATGTTAGTCAGAGGGGGTAAAATGGAGAAGTTACAGTAAAAAAAAACAACAACCCTCTAAAGACACAGCTGTGCAGGAAAAACACATCATACAGCCAGTTCACTAATTCATGTCATGGAGGAGCTCAGTTTTAATGTGGATCATGGGTATCTGGAGGGTCTGGTTCGAGGTATGAAGGCCGGGATTCTTACTTCCACAGACTACGAAAATCTGTCTCAGTGTGACACACTTGAGGGTAAGAATATATTACATTTGTAGTCATCTTTAGACACAGATAAAGCATATTAAAAAGATAGAAATGTAATACGCCTGGAGCTACAGTCTTTACAAGAATTTACTTGCATGTGGGTATCTTAAAAGGAGCTGCAGTGAGGTGCTGACAGGGATCATCTGGACAAATTTTTTCATCTGGCTCAAATTTTTCAAGGCAGTAATCAAAATGTTTTATTCCAGGAAGCAGGAAAGGCTTTCTGTGAGAAACCGAAGGCCAATGATAAATTAGATGTTAGCACAGGAGGCATCTCAAGGAACATTCACACTTCCACCCACCAGCTGAATAACTAGTTGGCTAAAATGACCTAAATTGAATCCAAACCCTGTCTCTTTTGACACAGCTGCAGTCTGATTAGAAACAGTCTTATGTGTTATATACTGACTCGTATTTTACTGTTTTGAAAGAAAAACTTAGCATATGGTGCCTCTCTTCTCCTAGATATGAAGCTGCACCTGCAGAGCACAGACTATGGTAAGCTCCTGTCCTCCTCTGAAGAGGATCTGACTGTGTCTTTTGTGGACAGCAAGCTGAGAGAAAACCTGGTGACTGAATTCAGCTGCCTTCGCTCCAACGCCCTCCCTCCACTGTCCACCTTCCTTGACTACATCACGTGAGCTCATTTCTCCAAGTTCTTAACATAAACCCGACTAAGTTCACAGAAATTTGATCAATGGTTTTTTGTACTATAATGAGATGAAAACATATGCAGGAAGCTCATTTTAAAATTCAAATTCAACTTTATTTGTATGGCACTTTTCAGACAAAAAATGTAGTTCATAGTGGCTCACAGAGGCTAAAAACAACAGTTAAACAACAATAAAACCCGACCCTGCCACCCACACACCCACCAATGGACCCACACTCACACAAAGACACACACCCACTCTCACTCACCCACACATGAACACACACAAGCGCACACAGAGTGAAAATTTAAGATACATTGTTAAAGAGACATAGCCTGACCCCAAGACATTGCGTGAGGAAAGAGCTACCCCTAGGAAACACTGGAGATAAAAAGGTAAAAAGAAAGACTAAAACCTAATGGACTAAAACAAGAAAGTAATATAAAATGAACAAATAAGTGAGAGCTCTTTACCATGTAAAAGGGGTAAAAGAAGTAAAAACTTCTATGGCAGGAATTAAGAAAAAGACTAAAAACTGAGATAATCAATAAAACTACACAAAATAAACATTAAGAACTTTGATTAAAATGAACAGTAGCAATCAGAGAAATAAGACAAGGCTATCAGTGAAAAGCCTGGTTAAAAAGGTGAGTCTTGAGCCCCTTCTTTAAAACATCAACAGTTTCTGTTGATTAACAACTGTAATTATTAACAACTATAATGCTTCTGAAGACAAATGTGAAAATGGTGAAGACAGTAATGCAGACAGACACTGATCAGCGGCAACATCATGACCTCTTTCAGCACTGACCTGATGAGCCATGGACTCCGCCAGACCTCTGAAGGTGTGAGATAGTATTTGGCTCCAAAACATGAACAACAGATCCACAGAGACCTGCAGGTTGTGAAGTGAAGCCTCCAGGGATTGGACTGGGTTTACCAGCGCTTCTCACAGATGCTTCACTGGACTGAGATCTAGAGAATTTGTCAACACGGCTGTGGTGTTTTTCCAGACAGCCTTTATCTATTACCACTGGTGCTTAAAACTTTCAGCAGTAGACAGCTTGGGAACCCAGATGCATCCATGCAAGCCCTAAACAAACTGTAACATACCACATGTTCTGAACCTTTTATCTAATCAGTTTTTTTCACAGTATTTTATCTCCAGAGCTTTCCATCAAACAACACAATAAAAGGAACTAACTAAGAGGGATGAATGACATCCCATCAGTCAGAGATAAAAACATGTCTCAGGTACAATGTAAAAAAAAAAAATCAAGATTAACAAAAATCCTATTTAAGAAAATGTGTTTGAAAGTAGATGTAATGGATGAAATTGATTGGGCTGTCCTACTGGATGCTGTTTCAGAAGGGGTATGGAACCCTTTTTGTTAAGGGGTCTTATAAGAAGTCAAAAGATCAGAAATAAAGCAAGCAGTCAGACATTTTAATGTCCTAAAAATGATACTCAAAGTTTACTCTAAGATACCTTATATTTTTAATTCATTTAAAGTATGCCTCTTCTGTTTGGATAAATAATTATTATATCACCAAACACCATCTATAACCACAGACACAAATTCAGATAGGATTCTCATAGGTCTCTCAACATGTTTTATGATGGCAAGTTTCAAAAATAATGAATGAAATAATGATAGAAATAATTTCTCTTCTGCATTAGAAAATAATGATAACTAAACATTACCTCTGTTGTGTAAGTAATCCAACTTTAACAAAAATAGCTCTCACAAACATACAAAAATGAAGTGTTCTTCCTTAGTGACCAAATGAAAAATGATGAAATCCAGGACATTTTCATCACTTGATAAAAGACAACCAGGACAGCCAGGACATGACATGTTCTGGGAAAACAGGACATTTGGTCACCTTACCTAAGAGTGCCTCAAACACACAGACTTCAAGGACATGATGTTCACTTGCTCTATGATTATCCACCAACCCACAGGTACCTGGTGTAAACAGATCACTAATGTTAGTCCTTTCACCCATCAGTGGTCCTAATGTTGTAGCTGACTGGTGTATATAAGGACATGTACTGATTCTATTGTCCGTGTCTTATAGATATAACTACATGATCGACAATGTGGTCCTGCTGATCACTGGGGCCCTCAAACAGAGAGATGTGGAAGAGCTCCTCCCAAGGTGTCACCCACTGGGAGCTTTTGACCAAATGGCAGCAGTTGGAATCGCTCGAACCCCAACAGAGCTGTACTCCGCCATCCTGGTGGACACACCACTGGGTAAATCTATGTGTTCAGAGATGTTCAGTTGTTCACCTCTAGTTCAACCTGTACAAGACAGGGAAAAACAAGACAACAACAACTTGACTGCTCTTCAATATGCTTGTGATGCCTTCATGTTCAAAAGGGTTGTCAGTAAAGCCCTTGAGTTTCAAAAGATAATTCAAAAGAGCACAAAAGCAAAGCAACAGCAGCATGGAACTATTGGTGTCTAGAAGTAAACAAGGCTAACCATTTTAAATCTAGCATGGATATGTAACGCAAATCAAACAAAAAAGGAAGTGTGTCATCAAACTGTATCAGACCAAAATGATCACATGACTACTAATCATCCACTGTAGTGTTCATTTTACCACGTCTGGAAGTCAGTGGGTCAGCAGCACATACAGTGCATCAGTGAAGTATTCATACCACTTCACTTTTTCCACATTTTGTTATGTTACAGCCTTATTCCAAAATGGATTCAATTCCTTTTTCCCCTCAAAAATTCTACACAAAATACCCCATAATGACAAAGCAAAAAACTTTTTTTTAGAACATTTTGCAAATTTATTAAAAATAAGACACTCAAATGTTGCATATACATAAGTATTCACACCCTTTGCTATAAAACTCAAAATTGAGCTCAGTTGCATCCTGTTTCCACTGATCAGCCTTGAAATGTTCCTCCAACTTGATTGCAGTCCACCTGTGGCAAATTCAGCTGATTGGACAGGATTTGGAAAGCCACACCTGTCTATATAAGATCCCACAGCTGACAGAACAGGTCAGAGCATAAACCAAGCCATGAAGTCAAAAGAATTGTGTGTAGACCTCCGAAACAGGGTTGTATCGGCGCACAGATCTGGTGAAGGTTACAGAAAAATATCTGCTGCGTTGAAGATCCCAGAAAGCACAGTGGTCTCCATGTGCTACGTTTGGAATCACACAACTCTTATTTTTAATAACTTTGCAAAATGTTATATAAAAAGTTTTTCGCTTTGTCATTATGGGGTATTTTGTGTAGAATATTTGAGGGGAAAAAGGAATTTAATCCATTTTGGAATAAGGCTGTAACATAACAAAATGTGGAAAAAGCGAGGTGGTATGAATACTTTCCGGATGCACTGTATGCCTTGGAGCTTTAAGAAAACAATCATTTCCATCATTTTGTAAATCAACAGAGGTGTCATTCAAATGGACTTCACTCATTAATGTGGTTACAACTATTACTGGGGAATTGGCTAGCTAAATACTGAGCATGTCAGGCTGCCGGGTTAAACAGTCATAGTTTCCCTTTAGCCCTCATCACATCATCTGGTGTTTTTCCTCCTTGTTGCTCACAATTTGAGCAAGGAGTTAATGGAAGTGGCCAACCCTCTAACTTGTGTGCTACAGATTTTGTTAACAACAAACATAGTTAAGACAAGTTGTTCTATTTTCAACTGTGGCTCTGTTTACCAGCACATAGAGACAGTTTTCACTGGTCAGTGGCACAAACTAAAGTGTCAAAGTTCAACACATTAGTTGCTCTCAGCTCAAGCTGATTGATCGCATGGTTGCTTAAAAATTTAGGAGCAGCTTTGGACCAGAGGTAGAGTCAGTAATCCCTGAATCGGAGGGGTTGATCCTATAGGTTTTTCACATGCCAAAGTGCCCTTGGGTAAGATGCTCCACAAAACGGTCCCAGGTGGCTGTGCTCAGCAGTGTATGAATGTGAGTGGATAGAAAAGGATGAATAGTTCGTTGTTTGTCTCATTCCATCACCATCTCGCTTTTTATGTACTTCCCTCTTTCCCTTTTCCAACTCTAACACAGCAGGCAACCATCTACCAACAATCTGGTTCTGCTCAAGGTTTCAGCCTGTTTAAAGGAAGTTTTTTCATACCACTGTAACTTAATAAATGCTTCAAAGTGTTTATCTCATGGTAGAAAGCTGAGATAGGAGTGGGTCTGGCGTTATCAGAGCGCTGACTCAGTCTTATCTTTGTATTGGGTCTTTAAACGACTGAATAAAAGACTGTGGTCTAAATCTGCTGCTTCTGTAAAATATGACTGAGATCAAGTTTGTTGTGAATTGTCACTATATTGATTGATTGAATTATTGACCATCAAAATTACATGCAATGAAAACGCTATTATTCAGCCAATCGTACCCTGTAACATCAGCTAGTGTTTGTAAAGTGTTGATGTTTTGAGTGTTATCATTTTCTAATGACTTTATCATCCATACTGAAGGTATTGATTAGATTGGTTTAAGATTTGTAAATCACAGACTGGTGATGCTGCTGTGTTGTAGCTCCGTTTTTCCAGGATGCTGTGTCTGAGACCAACCTCGATGAAATGGAAGTTGAGATCCTCAGGAACAAACTTTACAAGGTGACTAGTAGATGCATGTGTTTTGTTTTCCATAATGTTGTTTTGTATGAGATAAAGATGTACCAGTCTCTAAACAACTGTAAAGCTAACTACAATGTCACAGTCAAAGGCATCAGTGAAACAATGTAATGAAGGTTTCAATTGTCATCTTTAGTCAGGGTCAGGTTTTCAGTCATTTTGCTATCCTGTATTTACGTCTTGGTTTTGTTTCAAAGGCCTATTTAGAGTCTTTCCACTCTTTTTGCAAGAACCTCGGTGGAGCTACGAAAGACATCATGTGTCCTGTCTTAGAGGTGCGGACACAGTTTGGACAGCATTGGCTAAATTCATGCAGTTTTTCAACATGTTATAAACGTTGCACAATATAGTGAATCTACGCGTGTGTGTGTTTGTTTGTGTGAAGTTTGAAGCTGACAGGCGGGCCTTCATCATCACTGTGAACTCCTTTGGGACAGACCTTAGCGGAGCGGACAGGAGCGCTTTGTATCCATCCTGTGGCAAACTTCACCCTGAAGGACTGCAGCTGCTGGCCAAAGCAGAAGACCACGAGCAGGTCAAAGCTGTCGCTGACTGCTACTCTGTGAGTCAAACCCTCAGGACTTAGAGAAAACTGGGGAAGCTTATTTTAATCAGACATATGGTGAACTTCAACCTTAATATCCCTGCAGGAGTATAAAGTTGTTTTTGAAGACCCCGAGCCTGGCTCAGATTTCAAGACCCTGGAGGACAGATTCTTTGAACAGGAGGTAATGTGATTTTAATATCATGTGGTAAGAGTGTCCTATGAACTGGGAAGGTCTTCAGAATGATGTTGAATTTTTCATACAGTAAAAATACTTGGATGAAGTTACACATTTGCCCCAAGCCAAAGCTTAACGCAAATTAAAATATGAAAATCTCACTTGCACTTATTTGTCTTTCCCAATTGATCTGTTCCAGGTGAAGCTGAACACTCTTGCTTTCCTGCAGCAGTTCCACTTTGGAGTATTTTACTCCTACATCAAACTAAAGGAGCAGGAGAGTCGCAACATCGTCTGGATCTCTGAGTGTATCACGCAGAGACAGAAGTCTAAGATAAAGAACTACATACCCATCTTTAAAGGGACCTATTAATTAAAGAGTAGTTGTGAGAAACCCAGCTGTTTAACAACACAATGATGAATGCATTAGATAAAGACATCTTGATATATTTGTTAGTAAAAAAAAGTTCAGTGTTTGCACTAAACATCATAAAAATACACAGATGAGGCCACTTGATCGTTTTTAAACTGCTCTCCTTAGTTTGTTCACATTCACATGATTGACACAGTATCTGTAGAGCAAAGTGTATATTATAGAAAGAATAATACTGAAAAATGACACAAAAGAGCAAAGAATATAACACAAAATAAAGAATATCAACACAAACAGTGGTATAAAAGTGTAAATTTTGTCCCAGCAGCCAACAGAGGTCATAAATCACCAATGTTGCTCTTCATTCGCTCGCCGTCTTCTCTTCAAACTTTCACTGAAACAAGAAAAGATAGAATATGCATTGCGTTTATTGCACTTATAAATTGAAAACACCTGCCGCATCAGTATCAGAGATTGAACACAATATGCGTCTAATCATGCACATCTTGGTTGTGTAATGGTGAAACTTACAGCACTGCGCAGGCACCTCCAGAGGTATGTAGTTCTGCTGACAGAGATGAACAAAAGCAGATGCTAATCTGCAGGGGGCCCTGGAGGAGCTCGTCTCACACACAGACAAGAACTGACTGGGACTCACCTGCAGACACACACATAGACACACACACACACACACACACTGTGAACATAAGGCTCACACAACTACAAGGATCTCGGCGTTAGAGCCTGCTGAGAAAACACATTCAATTCGTCACGCACATATCATGTTATTACTTTAATTTCCTTTTTATGGCGTGTTACATTTCACGCTTCTGTCACGCAGCAGTTTGATCGCAACATTTTGATTTCCAACAAGCTTAAGGAGGTTTTTCTACATTTTATGTTCACAGAAAAATATGCACTTTTATGCCAAAGGATTTCCACAACACAACAAAGAGCTACAGTATATTGTGTCGGCCAGATTTCCTTGATGTGGCGTGAATTCACAAATGCATGAGGACTAGATTTGACCATATGTGATTGTTCCTCATCGTAAGATAAGTTAAGATAAGATGAGATAAGAAGAACTTAATTTATCCATGAAGGGAAATTCTTTACTTGAGAGTTAACATGAAGTCAGATTACTTCATCTCAAGTTTTTATTTCACACCCCTTTAAATCAGCACATGATAAACTGTATCTGTCAGTGCTGAGGTCTGTGTATCAGTTCATGTTTCCTAATCTAGGATAGGAGTATCCTTGTACTCACCACCTTGAAGCAGGAACTCAGCGGGGAGTCAGGAGAAGAAAACAGGAAGTCACAGCTCACAAGTCTAAAAGCTTCTTCTGAAAAGCCATCACTGACACTCAACAGTTTGGGACACTCTGGTTTCATCTGGAGACACAAAAAGATGAACAAACTGCAGCTGACAACTGAAAGGTTGGACCTCTTTACAACAAAATCAGTCATGGAAATTTTTCCCAACACCTGGCTCAGGTCAGGACACAAACTTTGCTAGGGAACGCGCAATGTATAGTGAATTGCTTTGTCCATCACCAACTCAGATTTAAATATAGAAATAACTTTGCTAACACTTTACTTGACGCCTATCTCTATAACGCATTATAGATATATTTATGATGCATTATAATCACATTATAGCACTGTATAACTATAGTTATAAACATTCATAAATGATCATAATGCTTTTTAGCAATAATAATAACACATTATAAAGCATTTTATCATGACTTACAAGGTCAGGTATTATAATGTGTTATGACTGTTAACAACAGTTGTATTGCATTATCTATGTATTGGCATTGTCAGTGAGTTGTTTACAGTTATAACACATTATAATACCTGACCTTGTAAGTCATGATAAAATGCTTTATAATGTGTTATGATTGTTGCCCTTTAACTCGATACACTAAAGTCAGTCTTCCACCAGATGTTCGTTATCTCTGTTATTTATGGTAGGAAGTAGTAAAATGATAGTCGATACGTCGGATTTCCTGAATGCACAAATCCTTACATATAACTCATATAGCAAACTAGCATCAATACTTCCAAATCTGAGATTTACGAGAATCTATTAGCCTATTTGGGGCAGTCTGCTATAATTTAATCTGATATACTAAAGTGGACTGGGATGATAAAAAAAAGATTTAATTCAATCAGTCTGTTTTTCTTAATCACTAAACATCTAAATCACAATTGGACACTTTTATTGCATAACCCCTTCAGACATTTCTTAATGGGAAATGCATTTGTCTATATAGATGGAAAAAAAAACTATTAGGTAAAAAGACACTGTGAGGATCACTGGAAATATATCCATTGATCATGTATCTGTTGTTGTTGATGGTATTAATCAATCTTTCCACTTTGTATTGATGATATTGTATTTTGATTAAATGGATGTATCTGTCAGTGTTGATGGATTATTCGCCCCCAGCGGACACAAGAGCTCAGCATCTGTCTAACCTGCCAACTGTGGAAAAAACTGTCCATGTCATCAGCCTGAGATCCATCCAGCAGAGGGAAATCATTTCCAGCTTCATTATCATTCGTTCCAAGAAGACCAATAGACGTGCCTGTGTAAACAAAGAGACAGAGATTACTTAAAAACTGTTTTCTTAAAATTCAAATGAGCGTTCAAAATGTAAGTCCAAACACTGATGAAGTTTTACTAAGATTTTTGTTTCCTACCATGGGACCATCCATCAAGAGTGAAGCTGCAGACCTGAAGCCGCAGATCACATGACACAGCAGCTCCATTTTGACTGGTCACCTGAACAACGTTTGACCCTCTTCTGACTGACACTCCATTGTCACTGTGAAATGTGTGTGTCACAGCACTGCAGCAGTTGGTTTTCACCTAAGAGAGGACGATATTTGCTTGCTCTTTTCGCTTCTTGGCTCATATTAAGATGAGTTTAACATTGATTCATACCTGTCCGTTTCTCTGGATGCTGATGGTGTTGTTATCCATCCTGATTAGAAGTAAAGTGTTGGAGTCTGAACTGAGCATTATCGTGAACGAGGATTCAATGCTAACATCCTGAGCGAGGAGCTGAGGACAAGAGTTTGGCAGCTCGTACAAGTGACCGTCGAATGTGACCAAAAACTGATCCCCCACCAACAAAGCTTGATCTTTAAGACAAAAACAAAAGGTTTACCCGGTTACGCTCCTGTATCACAGAGACCCTGTTCTTAAATTGCAGGAAAACATCCATCTCCAGTCTTACATATGAATGGGCTATCCATGATTTTCCTTTTTAGACGGTACAATTCAGCCACAGGTCTGATGGAAGCAAGAGTCTGCAGGGGCCGCAGGATCCACTGTTCCAGGAGGATCTCCACCAGACCAGATTTGGCCATCCTTGACCAGGGGATGGGTGGCAGCGGCATGGACACAATCACAGAGCCCTCACTGGAGAAATAAAGCGCAATCAGTTAAAAATATCTAAAGAGAGTCACTTCCTAGCATCTGGCAGAGCATTTAATTGACCATATATCAGCCGGCATCAATCTAATAGAATTTGATTTAAAGTTACTTACTGTAAATATAGCTAAAAATCAGTCAAATCCCCTCCCCCCAGAAAATAAAGGCAGTTTAGCTGAGTTTTTACAGTGTGCCTCCTTTTCATCTGGGTTGGATGGGCCTACAGAGATATTATCTTCAAAACATCCCTCTCTTGATCTCTTGTAGTATTTTATGAAAGGATGGGCTTTGGGAGTTTCTCCTCATGTACCTCTCAGACATGTGCATTACCTCAGGGAGAATTTGTAGACAGACGCCAGTTGTTTCCTGACTCCAGACAGAGCCATTGCCAACCTGTTCTCCACCCAGTGGTAGGTTTGTTGTCCTGCCTGAATCACATCGATCATACAAAAGTGCATGAGGGTGTTGTACACATGCTGATATTACAGATTGTGTTTAGTTAATGTAAGATGTGTATGTAAACACAATCATGTACACATTAGTCATGTTTACATGTGCAAAATTTCTTGATCCGATTAAAAATTGAGGGATCAGATAATATGAATCCACTGTTTATATGGGTGGAAAATCAAATAACCCGATCATGAAGTGCGTATACATGCACCAAGCTTTCTTCAGTTTAGCATTTGGATATGCGCAGAGTTGTCTGATTTCGCTAAAACAACCGCAGAAGAAGAGTTGTATTTACGCCTGTGCTGTCAACAAACCAACAAACATAGTAGTGGCTTACTCCATCCCATTCCCCCCTGTTGTTAAATGTTGTCACTAGATGGCGCCCTTGCGTACTTATTTTACTGTTCTGTCAAAGGTTGCACTGTGCGTGCAGATGTGACATCATCACGCTGTATGAACGCCTTGTTATGTTATTGGAGGAGCAGACACGGCACCTGCGGATGTGTTCTATGACAGTGTTAATAATGAAACCTGCTGTACTGACCTCAATAAATAAGTCAAAGGCTAAAGAGACAGAGAGTCATGATGGGAATCAATGTTCGCATGGACGCGCTTCGGAATAACAATCGGTATAAACCACCCCTTCTGATCGGAATACAATTCTCTTTCCGATTGAGCCGAATTTGATCAAAATCTTCAGATCGACATGTTTACATGACGCATTGTTCGGGCATTTATTCCGATTATTTGTGCCCATGTAAACGCAGCTAAGGAGGTGAAAAAGGAAATCACCAAGCTACCTTTGCTCAAACAGTAAAACCATAAAAAGAGCACCACTGTGCCGATTTCTCACTATATCCAGAGCAGCGCTGAGTGTGGCCACACAGGCCTGAGTTAGTGGTCTCAGCTGGGGGTTCTCCAACAGAGCAGGTAAGACCTCCATCAACCCCTCAGTCCACAATGAAACAGCTTCCCTCCACAATGCCTCTGGTCTCTGGCCCTTCACATCCTGGTACACACCTGCAAGAGTCGCCAGAGGCCCTGAAGGAGGTACAGAGCGCAGTGTCAGGATTTGTGTTTTCATGTTGAATGCAGAGAGACGTCTCTTAGATCATGTGTCACACTTGAGTTTGGAGAAACAAAACAGCCAGAGGTGCAGACGTCAGCAATATAAAATCATATGACTATGTCAGAGATGAATTATAAAGCAAGATATGATGGAAAAGATATTTTTGTGCATCTGTTAATGACGTAGAAGAGGAGCGTATAAGTCTTACAAGTCAAAAATTAGATTTGTGTCCATGAGAAAAGGCAGTGACTGACTTAACTATCTTATCTTGATCTCTGACGCAGTGTAAATACATAAAGTTAATTTAGGATCTACAAAACCAGATAAAGTTTGCTATATACTGTAAATCCAAAAAACTTCCCTGTCACTGGATCTCATTGTCCTGAAGAAAACTTATTTGAGTGAAATCTGACACCAAAATGCAATAACACAGTTTACACCTTCATTTCCAAAGGTCTTTGGAGAAGCTTAGGGACACATTTTTGTAAAAGCCTCTCGCTGCTTTAGAGTAAGTTAAGTCTTCAAACCAAAAGGCGAAATGCTTTTCGAATTATCATTTCTCTGTCATGATTGCTTGCAGTTCACAGCAGTGACGGATGATGCTGGACTCACTCCTCAGCTCCTGTTGTCCCAGTAGAGAGGCATGTTGCAACAAGCCTAAGAAGTGTGGCAGAGTGTTGATCATAATTTGCCGCAGGACGCTGCTCTGCCACGGAGCCAAAGAATCTTTCATCCTGTTTTTTAGCAGCGCCTCTGCTCGCTGGACTATGTGAAGAGGCACCTCGCTCAGCTCCTGGAGAAGCTCACTATCCTGAGACTGAAGGGAAAAGAACTAATTGAGTCAAGAAATGCTCATTTACCAGTGTATCCTTACAGCATTTGCTGGGCTGATCATGTCATGCATATGTTTACATTCAGGAGTTTGTGTTTTGCAGATACCTGTTGTCTGAATTGGACGAGGAGATGCTGCAACATCCTGAGTTTCCCCAACAGTTTATTCAGTATCTGAGAGTTCAGATGTCGAATCCTCCCCTGTTTGGATAACATTACACAGTTTTTCATTGTCATACTGCACTAAAACAAAAACACAACTTCAGTTTTAGGGATACCTCCATTGCAGTTAGACTTTCCAAAGAGCCTCGCGCTCCCAGCATCAGCCTCTGATTGGCCGATCCCACAAACACCCAGCCCAGAGTTTCACTTTTTCTGCTGCGGTCTCTTCTCTGCACATCAAGCACCAAACTATGATTTGACCCCAAACATGCTGCAACTGTGACGTCCTCATCAAGGCCTGGACCTGGACACGATAAGATCGAACTCTTCAAAACTCTAGTTAAAACGTTGTGTTACTTTTGTATAAACTTCAGAGGTTCTGCATTTACCGCTCATATAGCCCGCTGTGGTCCTCAGACATTGCCTCTCTACACTCCCATTCAACCAGATCTTCTCCCCACGGTTTAGTCTGGTCTGTACCTGCAGTCCAGACCCCCCGAGCCAAGAAAGAGCACTGCCAGTGACATCCACACTCCAGTTACCAATCCTAGACTGTGAAGAGGACAAACGCGCAAGCACAAACACACATTTATAAAATACAGTTTCACAGGCTAGTTACCTTTATTTAGCTTGTCTACAGCCAAATATTATCTTACAAACTTAAAAACAGTGTCAAGCTTGTCATCTACTTCCTCACAAGAACAACTTAGTCATAATTGTTCTTAAAGGGATATTCAGGCGAAAAATTAATTTGGGGTCGAACACACCATAACACCAAGTTAGACACCCTGTCGAGAGATGAATGATGCTGACCACTTGCCTCTCCAGTTATACCAACTTTAGTTACGACCACAGATAGAAATACACAGCGGTCTATGGCTCCATGCGCAAACCTCAACCAAAAAGCCACTCTATAGCCATAACTAATGCTCAGAACAGCACCTAACTTCATCAACAGTACATATAGCATACCAGCCACCAAACATCTTTTTAACTTTGCCTAATTTCTTTAGCAAAGACACTAAACACAACTCACCTACTCTCTTCCAGCAGCCGCTTGTTTCTAATGAGACCTCAAACCAGTCCATTACGGACTGCTGCAGGGTGACGTAGCTCAAGGAAGAACATTTATGATCATTTCTTTATCATTTCCTTGAAGTAATAATCACCATATTAATCATTTTGCACTGCAGATGCAGTAGTTCTTCTGCCTTAGCGTCTCGATCTGATTACATTTCCATGAAGAAATTACTAAAGTTGGTATAACTAGAGAAGCAAGCTGTCGGCATCATTCATCTCTGGATGGGGTGTCTAACTTGGTGTTATGATGTGTTTGACCCTAAATAAATTTTATGCTGGAATATCCCTTTAAATTTGAGAGTATTTCTTTAACCTGTCACAAGTATACTCTAAGCTCAAATCCTCGTCTTTACCGTCTAGGATGTGAGGATAGACTCGGAGTCTTTACCTTTTACCTTTCTAAAAAATTTACTCTTTTTTCATGGTAGTACTTCTGTTGGTCTCAGAGAGAAAATGATAAGAGAGCAAAAGCAGAGCAGCAGCCACTGTTCAAAAAGTGCTTTTAAACCAAATTGAATACAGATCTCAAATGTCGTAAAACAAATGTAGCCTGTAATTGTGACAGAACATGCATGCTTTTTTAAACTAAAGTCATGATTCTTCACTGAAACACGGTGAAGGCTTGTTCGAGTTGTTTACCTCAGAGAACAGGGACACCTTAGAGCCATTAGGTCTGGATGAGTTGGTCAGAGCAAAAGTAAGGCTGCACTTGTTGGGCTGCCCCACCACTGACAGTTGTGACTGGGAATAAAACAATTCATCTCCAGACCTCACTCTGTGGGATCCTGACCACATCAAAACCTGACACATGCACAAAGAAAGAAGAAACAGCGGATGATGACACAGGAAAACAGCCCAGAGACATCCTGAAGATCTGAAAATTTGGGATTAAGAAGTCGTAAAAGTATCAAGAAACATCTGCGTAATATATATGTTCAAAATTGACATATCAATTACCGGAAATAAAATCACTATTCAGCTGGTATCCATCACTGTATGTTCAAGGAAATTAATATAGTGCAGCATAACCACACACTGACAGACCATAACTCATTTACAACCACAAATGTGAAAGAAAATCCATTAATAACAGCCTGAGGGGAAGAAATGCAGCTGCGAGGACTCACAGGCTGGGGGGGACAGAGGCCAAGCAGCACCATGTGCTCCAAATGATCCCTCATGTTCGTCTGGACCTTAGTAAGGACTGTGTGTGAAGGACAGGGTTCAGGAGACACTTTATCCAAGCCAACATTAACCTGGAGGCTGTGCATACCTCGCAGACCCTTCTAGACATGACATACAAAAACACGAACTGATTTTTATTCCCGAAATACAAACCATCTGTTAACACATCACAGGAGAGTGTTAAGTCAGTACCTGATACTTCATTCCCTGCTTGATGCTCCTGTTGTCCCATCTTAACTCTGCGTTTTGAGAAAGTGAGTTCCCGTCCTGACCCACCGACACACACCCTTTAACTAACGACACCAGCATCTACGCACAAAACATACACATATATCCAACTCAGTGGGGTTCCCTATAGAACACAATCACAAACAAGGAGTTTGAGCAGGTTCTACCAACCTGTTGGGCTGTGAACTGAGCACAAGACTGCCCCCTGCTGGAGTTATTCTGCCACTGTTTGTTCAGGTTGATGGAGATGTTGACTGGGACAGTGCTGTTCCATGCCAGGTGGGTCTACATGAACGATCAAATGTTGTAAATAAAGAAAAAATTATATAATTCTCAGCAGATATGGCTCTGACTAAATATATGAATCAGGTGTATAAAATATCTAAGGACAGAGAAATTATTTGTTTTTGCAGTTATATCACAAATTCAAGTATGTAGAATTATAGACTTTACAAAAGAAGGTGTTTTTGATATTTTAGTTTAAGAGTTTTAGTTGATGTTTCAAATCACATGATAACAAGAGTGACTACATTTTGTTTTGGGGCTGAGACTTCTTTTGAACTGGTAAAAGTGGGTCAGCTGAGCTTACAGTGTGACTGCTGTGTTGATCCTTGTGTGACGAATGGGTCAGACTGTGAAGGCTCATCTCGCCGAGTGTAGAGGAGAACGGCTGTTTCAGCTCCAGTTTGGTCTCGTTGATTTCCTCTGAGCGACTCCACCAGCTCACAACTCCAACCTGATGAAAAATCAACAGTGTGTGACCGCAGAGAGCTGTGCAGAAACCCAAACCAGATAAAAATACTACAACAATCATTTTGTCTTCATTGACAGCATATATGTTAAGCATATACGCAGCCAACTCAAAACTGTGTAGATCCTACTTAATAACCAGATGTACTGGAGTATTTGTGTCTATGATGAAATGATCTGATTTATTTATCTCTGTTGTGTGTTGAAGCCAGAGCAGAGGGAACAAGGGACTCTTACATACAGATCAGGTTCATGCTCTTTGCTGGGATTTTAGCCACAACTTGAACTTTCATTTCTAGATAAAACAAAAATAATCCCTGATTCATCTCACATTTTGAAAATGTGATTTTTAAATATCATTTGTAGACAGCTCCTTTGCTCAGTGCTGTTGTAAAAAACCTCTGGGATTACATCGTAATACTAATGTGATATTTTTTTTCCTTGTTTTGCTTTATAGAGTCGGACCTGCTCTAGTCGCCCATGTCTAGTCCAGCCCAGTACAACACTGTCCAGTTGGCTGTGTAATGAGCGCTCCAGTATCAACTCCAAACTGGTCCAACGGGGAACGCAGCTGATCTGAACTACAGTCAGGGACAAGAGACAATAACATCAGAAACCAGAGGAGGCCCAAAACCTGATGTAAAAATGCATACAGAATGACCAAAATAACTTTATTGATATGATTCCTTTAACACAAAACAACTTAAACAACAGAATGACCAAAAACACTAAACTACAACAAATCTACCAAATCAACGTAAAAACCCAAACAACTTGATTAAAATGGGTTTACCTTTAAGCGTCTGGTTCCCCAGCTCCAGAGCAGGGGGAGCAGAGTAGAGACCAGACAGGCTGAACTCCTGGTTCCCCCAAACGGCTCCATGCTGAACCTGATAGGTCCAGTTCCTTGCCTCGTACACAGTCCTCACTGCGATGGCTCTGGGGATTGGCTTTAACTACAGAGAAAGAAGTGATAACTGAAAAATTCAAGAGCTGGATGTGAATTAGCGTTGGTGTTTATGAAGAGAGAATAATTATTCATCTCAGGGGTACCTGTGGGTACGAGTGTTTAAGCTCTATACTCTGTCTGTATCCACTCTCTATGGCTGTCAGTTCAGCCAGAGTCCACAACCTCCTCCTGCCTGACAACACCTCCACCAAACTTGCAACACTGGATTCAGACTGGTTCAGCTGCAAAGACAGATAACAGATGGCAGCATGTGATGGGAAACATATCCAGCCGTGAAATAGTTTTTTATGGCTGATAAAAATGTTTACAGAAAGGTTATAGAGGCGCAGACCACATCTGATGCAAAGATGTTGAGTCAATACATCAAAAGAATAGACCCTGGAGTCTTTTACAGGAATGTCAAAACGTCTCAGAAAAAGTGACTGTTATACAAAAGAAACACAAGGACATGTGGGTTTTAAAAATAACAAACTGGAAGGATGTATAGGAGAAATCACTTTTTCAGAATCCAAGTGCAGGACTTTCATGATTTTGATTTAAGTGTCTGTGGGGTAATGAGAGCTCACCTGAGAGCGCACATTGAGCTGAGACGGCAGGTAAACCAGCATCATGGGAAAACTTTGGACCATCTTCACCATCAGGTCCTTACTGGACAAAAGAACCTCCATCATTGAAATGACACCAGATAGGAGAACTGATTCAGTTTCTCTACGTGTGTGTTTACAGTACCTGTGAGACAGACGGTGGCCTTGAATGATGAGTGCTAATGAGGAGCTGCGTTCTGGGTTCACAGCCACAGAGCACCTCAGCTGTGACTCGGTTAGTCTGCCCCAGGCCTCCACCTGTGGTCACAGTCACAGACACTGTCAGCTTGGAGGGCAAATGTATGGAAATATTGAAAGTATGTTATCCTAACCTGTAAGGAGGGGCTGGATTCTCCATGCAGGATGTGTCTCAGTGTGACTCTGGCTTCTCTGGACCCTCCATGAGCCCCCCAGCCTCCTATATCCCCCACAACTACGACCCTCCAGTCATGTCTGTAGATGTCTAGAGAGGCGCTTCGTAGAGGCCCTGCACAGAGGAATGTAGCAGTGGATTTAAAAGTTAAAGTCATTCTACATAATAAATTGTCCTTTCCTTTTACAAAGATGACTCTTTGTTCCTGTGATTATTTTCCTGTTATATATTTGTGGGAATAAAAGAATGGCATGTACATAAAAAATTGTTTAATTCAAGTTTTCAATGAGGAAAAGACTTTAAAATGATGATTAACGATCTTAACTGCTCATACTGCTCCATTATTTTTAGACTTCTTTGGCATTGTTAAACTTCAGATAGTACTTTTGTTTTTCAGATTTTAATCACTTTCTTTGACATTTTTATATATCAAATTCAAATTAGCAAAACCAGTCCTGGCCTGTTTGTACGATCTAACTTCTCATAATTTAGATCAGCTCTTTTTGATTTGCAACAGAGTCATTCTCCATTTATGATTTAAAAAAAGTATCCCACATAATTTCCTCTAAATTGGCCCCTACTTCCCCTCTGATGACAGTAAAAGTCAAACATGAACAAATATGTATACACACAAGCATATAATGATAGCTTGAGACCCCTTTTAAACCCTCAATGTTTCCTTTGTATCTCACTCTTTACTTTTCAGTATACTCTATCTTCTTTGTCCTTCCCTTTTTGAACCAACAGAGAGTTTGACTGAAAACTTAAATCAGCTCCTCAGACCAATCAGGAGATATCTTCTAGAGGGGAAAAATGTACCCTTCTGAAATTTACAAATCTCCACTAGTTTCACTTTCTGCAGACTTGGAACTGACTGCCCAAAATTATTCTACTTCGATTAATAGTGACACCTGCTGGTCAGTCTTTAATACTGCACTCTAATGGCAGGGTTTAAGGCAAAGGGAGACATAAATCAAGAGGCACATGTTGCATTAGTTTTCATGAACAACAGCCTTGGATAAATTTTATGAAAGAACAAAGGAGCCAAGAAAATTATTTCGACATCCCAAATTCCAGGAAAGAGTATTGTAAGAAAAACAAAGCACACGTACACTAACATAGACGTCAAAATTAGCTGACCTTTGAACTGAGCAGTCAGAGACATGCCCAGACTGTGCCGAGTCTCTGTTTGATTAGAAGATGGCTGAGAGGAGGACAGCAGCAGGGATAGATGCCCATCAGACAAACTGACATTCAGACCAGAGAGAAAAAGCTTGTGTCCATCCACGGAGAGCTGAGCCCGGGACTGAAGACCAGAAGAAACCCCCTGGATTGAGCACAGACCCTTGGTGAAGAAAATAAGAGGTGATAAGGAGGTTTATCCTAAATGTGGCTCGAACAAAACAATACAAAATAAAAATGTGATAAGTATACTGTTATCTCTGTATTCAGGGGAAGTCCTTTGTCCTTCAGCCACACCCAGGTGTACCACATGGTCCCACTTATCTCCTTCGTCACTGGGAGACTTTTCAACTTCACTCTGATTCCTGCCTGCTGACCTCTGAACTGCGACTGTACGGTGAAGGTTTTCCCTTCAGAAGAGCCAAACTCGATCTGCAAACAAAGTCGTAACATTTAGCCTCTCAAAGCATTTCCACCGTCATTAATGAGACTGAGCCAATAAACTGTGAGAACTTGGACTGTTTCTTACCAGGATGCTGTTGTTAGCAGGGACGCCCAGTTTCTTCAGATAGTTCACAGTGTGTCTAAAATTACTCTTGACTCTGACTGTCTCTGATGTCTTGATTACCGTCATCTCTTGAGTCACCTGTAAAGCATTCAGAGAGCTGTTTATGTGCCCACTCATGTTAGAACTCACCATCCGATTTCCATTAAAACAGCAGAATATCACTCTGATTATTTCAAAGCGGGAACTTGAAGAGAGAGCTTTTATATCTAACAAGTTAAGGTCTGAATCAGGACTACAAAATCAAACATTTTCCTTTACTTAAAGCATTTGTTCGCAATGTTCAGTTGGTTTTGAGTGTGACTGGGAGCAAGTAAGACCATCAAAAATAACACTGGTTAGATGTATAGTTATTTTTTTATACCCATCATCCCTGCCATAACATAGGTGATTGTGAAACATTAAACATTTAGAAGATAAAAATGATTTTTTTTTTTTTTTTGCAATTTTTGTCTGAAAATGTTTTTACACATGTGCAGATGAAGGCATCAGGAAGAGACTGGTCATAAAGCTTTGCACTACTTGCCAAAATCTGTTCTTATTGGAGCGGTAAATGTTTTTTAATTCATTAATCATATAAAATCAAATTTTATTTATATAGCACCAATCGCACAACGGCCATGATCCCAAGATGCTTTCCAAAAAAAGAGCATGTCTGACCATCATTGTTTGATGAATTACCAAGACCAAACCTTTAAATGGGATAGATTTGACCCATCTCATCTAACATGAGTGACAGTGGCAGGAAAAAAACTTCCTTTTAACAGGCAGAAACCTTGGGAAGGACCAGACTCACGTTACTGGGAGTCTGAATGGTGCGAAGTTGTCTCCGTTACCTTACCGGTCTCTGACCTAACCTTAACTCCAATTATATCTCGAGTAAAGATAAATACTTAATGATAAAAAGAGATATGTTCTGGGCAAAGCAAAGACATGAACTCTGGAGGATAAGAGAGCAAACATTCAACAGTCTGGAAAAACAGAGTGGTCTACAAAAGTTCCACAAAAGGATAAGAACAAAATGGAAAAGACCTGTGGTGCCAGCCTATCACTTTATACAAACTATGGAGCTGAAAAGCTTATTTCAGTCATTGAGTAAGTGGGCAGGCCCGCCTCCTTTTCTTGCTGCATTTCATTTGATGCCCTACAACATCATAGCCTCTGAGGAAAACATGTCATCAAACATCAAAATGGCAGAATTTATTGTAGAGCACTCCTGCTGCCTCCTACCTTCTGATGTCCTGCTCTGCTGTGTACGAGGTAAGAATAAGAGCCATCTCCACCAAACCCAGAGCTCATTATTACTGCAGCACTAACAGGAAGTCCCAGTCTCTTCAGCAGGGGCACAGAGTGGTTTAGACTCATCAACACTTCATTTTTAGCCTAAAGGGAAATACATGATATAATACATGAACTACAGTCCAAATCTGTGAGAACAGTTCAACTGGGGCTAAATCTATTTGAAGTGAAGTTTGAATTCATATGTATATTTGTGTAGTTTTAGTTTTAAATCATTTTGTAATTTTTTAAAAATGTCACTGTATTTCCTCACCTTGTTGTTCTTTTGCACCACAGATACATTTAGTTCTTTGTCATCTAATGCCAAGGTGAGCTGAGATTCAGCGACAGTCGGGTTGACAACCAACAAGACTGAAGACCGCACCCTGCCAGGACTTCCCCACTCCTGTAAACACAATGAAAATCAGAAAATGGAAATGATCATAGATGTGATGGCTGATAAATCACTGTCAGTTTTGTGTTCTGTACCTGAATCACTGTGCAGTTGTTGTGATACACCAACACCCCCTGCAGGCTGCCCTGTGACATTACACCTCCGTTGACTCCAACAGTACACCCGTCCATCTGAATGAAGGCTTCGCTGTCATATCGTTGTTTCCCTGCCTTATAGTTCACTCTCAACCTGGAGAGCTGAGGGACATCACCGAGAGAAGGGTGGTTGTGTCTGAGCTCACCTTCCACACTGAAGTCTGGATTTGTCCTTGCATGCAGCCTCAGGAAACCTCTTTTGCCCTCTATATTAGTGTCTGCAGTGATGGTCCAGATCCCCTGAGGGTCCTGCCAAACTGAGCCATTCAGATGAGTCTAGCATGGATAGAGATGCACACAGATGCTGTTACTATATATAGGAGTGGAATAAACAAACAAACACAAACATCGGCAAACACTTTCAGAGGATCAGATGATTCTTAAAGGATCAGATTTTTTCATTTTGTTAATGAGGTTCCCTAAGCCAAGAGGAGGTGAGGGTAGAGTATATGTGTATGTTTACTGAACTACATCATTAACATAGTAAATCAGATCAAACTAAGGGTTAATCCACACAGATAAATCAGGTAGTCTCAATTCTACAATGCTGTTTCATGACATATTCAACTGTTTGATACTGTATAAAAGAATAAAACAATGTATTTAATATTGTTAATTAAAGATTGGTTTAAAAAATGTGGAAAAAAATCAAATGCAGTGAGGAAATCAAATAACAACAAAGGCTCTAACAACCTTAGCACTTAACTAAAATACAGTTTATCAACACTAAAAGTTTTTTGCCCTTTGATAGTTTCTGTTTGGTCAAAATCACGCTAAAGCTCAGAAATGCTCACCTTATACGGATTTCTTTTATTTGGATTTTAAAATATGACATAGCTTATAAAATATATGGCTTCTGAATTCACCTGTATGTGTTTGGGGTCTGTTGTAGAAGTATAAACATGTCTTCAAAACCTCAAACTATCATTGGAATAGAAATATGAGCTGACACAATTCAATATGACTTCTAGCTAGCTTTAGCAATCAGCCACAGAGATCAACAGTACCTGTATCAGTGGACATGCTGACTCCAGAGCCCAGAGCCACTGCTCCCTGCCTTTAGTCTCCATGACTCTGTGGGCCCTGATATAACATGTCCCAGCTTTAATAAACAGGGCCCCTCTCTGTTCAAGGCCCCCAGGAGCAGAGGCCTCTATACTGATTATGTGGGGAAAACCGTGGCTCCTTAGTGTGAGGAACGAGTGTGTGAGGGTCCCAGAGAGACGAGGAGGCCTGCAGAGCTGACTCAGCTGCAGGGAGAGGTCCTGGTCGTCTGCCTGTAGAGAGGAGGTCAGAGAGAGCCGGCAGGGAGAGACTAACAGGACGCTCTGAAGAGACGATGACACAGGGAGGATTGTTCCCTGCAACAGAGACAAACATGGATGAATTACAAACTTTTTTAAAAACTCTGCAGGATTTGGAATAAAAGGGTTTCAACTAATGGCACATTTACTAACACTGACACTTTACATGGAGGGTTAAATCAAAATAAACTCAACATGAAGTGTTTTAGAGTTAATAAATAAACCCTTGACTTGCTTATCAGGGGGACTTTTGTAAATGTAAATACAGTACATGAATGTGTGACCAACTACTAACTTACATAATTTAACATTTTAAAAGTCAAAAGGTTGTGAGGGCTGTCCTCAGGTCAAGGAATAAGGTCATGAGTTCGCTCAGATCATCTCATATTTAGAGCAAGAAGAGGACTGTTGCCTGCAAATCTGCAGAGGTTATTAGTTTCAGTTTCAAAAGAAGATAATCATAGAAGAAAATTACATTTTAAACAGCAAATAGTAAGAACAAATGTAAAACTAATGTGTATTTCTGCTGTTGGTGTAAAAATCTGGAATTCTTTGACAGCAGAGGAAAAAGAATGCAGAAACATTTTTCTGTTTACGATGAGGTTTAAGTGAAGAATATGGAAGCTATACAAAAGCATGTTATGATGAAAGGGTTTTGTTTATGTTTTTTTGTTTTATTTATATATATATATTTTCTTGTTTTGTATATAACTTTTCTTAAGGTTATTTATATGATCACTTTTCTTTATTTTATTTGATTCATCTATGGGGTTGTTACAGCTGATGTAAGTGGATACTTGTTTTAAGCAAGGTGCAGGGATTATAAATCCGCTTCATCCTGCACCTTTCCAGTCCCTGCATTGAAAAAAAAATTAAATTAAATGAAAATAATCTTCTGTGTTGTTATGCTTTCATGACAGATGATCCTTCGCTTATACTTATAATAAATTGGCAGCTGTTTCCTTAGACGGCTGCGCTGACAAAGACAGGGATGAATCATTCATAAAAGTCCAGTTCTTCAAACTGGGATGAAAGACATGACTGGGTGCTGTCACAGTGAGTGGTAAGAGTAATATTTAAAACTTCAACATTCAAGTTTATTCAGCTTTCCACAAGCAACATCAGACTGAATTTATAGACATTCCTACCTGTAGAGCTGGACAGTAGTTGGTCACATTAAAAGTGTAAGAAGACCACTCCTCTTCTGTTTGTGAAGTCCTTGTTTCCCCAAAATTACCTCTGAAATAACAATCTCCTAACTCCAGTAAAACCTCCAGACCAGGCAGATGTGCTGATGAAACACTCAAAGTTAACCCTCCATGGGTGGGTAATCCTAGCAGCTGTATCGGTTCTATTGAGTGCTGCACAGATGATTTCAGACTGAGGTGTGGGTGACAAGATAGATTCAAACTAAGGCTGCCCTCCTGTTCACCCTCAGCCTGGAAAATGGTGCTGAGATTTGTGGAACAACCAGAACGACTGATGGAGATGTTGGCTGAGGTTTGTGATGGCAGAAGACTCTACAAAGAAAAAATGGAAAACAAATGATTACAAAATTGAAAATCTTCATGACCTCTAAACACTGTGCATGCATTATACATTATAGTATGTATAATTATTTATTATAATACATTATAGTAGTATAGTATGTTAACATGACGATGCGTCTGTGTACAGTGCGACAGGTAGCTTTGCAATCACAAATATCTTAAAGGGAGATTCCATCGTAAAATTAAGTGAGGGTCAAACACGCCGTAACACAGAGTTAGACACCGCCTCGAGAGATAAATGTTGTCGACTGCTTGCTTCTATAGTTATACCAACTTAAGTGTGATCATTTCTTTATCATTTTCTTGAAGTAATAATCATCATAATAATCTTTTTTGCACTGCAGACGCAGTAGTTCTTCTGCCTTAGCGTCTCGGTCTGATAGCATTTCCATGAAGAAATGGTCATAAATGTTCTTCCTTGAGCTGCGTCACCCCGCTGCACTCAGTGATCGACTCGTCAGGGCTCCCCTACAAACAAGCGGCTGCTGGAGGAGAGTGGGTGAGTTGTGTTTAGTCTCTTTGCTAAAGAAATTAGGCAAAGCTAAAAAGATGTTTGGTGGCTAGTGGTATGGCTGGGACTTTTGTGTACTGTTGATGAAGTTAGGTGCTGTTCTGAGCATTATTTGTGGCTATAGAGTGGCGTTTTGGTTGAGGTTTGCGCATGGAGCCATAGACTGTGGTGTATTGCTATTGTGCGGTCGTTACTAAAGTTAGTCTAACTAGAGAAGCAAGCAGTCGACAATATTCATCTCTTGAGGGGATGTCTAACTCGGTATTACGGTGTGTTTGACCCTAAATTAATTTTACGCTGGAATATCCCTTTAAGATACACAAATAAGACCACCACTGAGATGATTATTAAACTCAAATTCCCTGCATTATATCTTTGCAGTTTCCATTATGCACAACATGACAGTAAAATAGTGTTTTAATAATGTACTCTATTTTGAATTTGGACAGTGCAAAGATACATCTTGCAGAGTTGAATAGCAAATGTCTGCTCGTTTGCTGTATAATTAAAATTAGAAGAACTTTATTGACCCCTGAAGGGAAATTCAATTAAGTTAAAGTAATTTGCTTTACATAATCATAAAAAAATTATAAGCTTTAAAAAACTGCTTGTAGAGTTTTATGCTGTAAAATTGGACTACCAGGTTATAAAGGATTTCATTGAAGCTTACAGTATTTCTAGGAGCTTCAACTATTGTTGCTAACATGCCAACAGACTATATCCCTATTCTGTTTAATCTATTCACTAGAATTAAGTTTCATATGTGTTAAATTAGAACTTCATGATATTATTTGATTGATTAAAGTTTAATTATTAATCAGTTTGCTGCATCTTCACCAAGGCCCTGAAGTTTTTGGACAAAGAGGGGAGTATTGAAGAGAGAAAAACTAGCCTGTTGACCTGGTACTAAAAAACAAAACAAAACGACTGTCCCAACTTTTTATTTGAGGCTTTGTGAATGCTAACTTGAACTTTTGTTTATTTGAGTGGCTTAAATTAATGGTGAGGCCAAGGTTAACTTTAGCTATGGTCTTACTCATACTTTTTCATACTGCACTGGTGGGATCATGCAACAGAGACTGATATGGAAAGACAAGAATCATCTGAAAATTGAAGATGTTTCTTTTGCTTTCCTTCTGTTGGGAAACAAGTTTCCTGATGGTTTGTCTTGTTTCCTCTCTAACCTTCAGTAAGACACATCTCTGATGGACAAACAAACTCCAGCTGGTCCTCCTGGTTTTTTCTCCTCTGTGTCCATTTCCCAACAGAAGCACAGAGCACACATCACTTTCCACTTCGAGTCCCGTTCGATGATCTGTCGCCGTCACGCTAACAGTGAGCTCCCCTGGTAAAGCAGCAGTGGACATGTTTTGATGAATCTTGACCCTCAAAGTGTTGGACGGCTCCCAGGCAGCAGTCATGTTGAACTCAGCGGAGCGGGTTTTGACAGAGACTAGAGCACTTCCATAGAGAGAGTCATTACTAAGCTGACCAGCCCCCTCGAGGTCTACTCTGTTCGGGACAAAGGCGGCAAGAGAGGCCCAGTGATGCTGAAGAGTCCAGTCAACTTCAGCTCTTTGGTCTTTCAGCAGTATAGACAAAAGGCTCTGAACAGACTGGTCCTCATTTTCTAAATCCAAAGAACCTTTAAATGCATCTTTCACTGTTTGTCCGAGTATTTTCAAAGAAGTTTTGTGTGACACATCCCCTTCATCTCTCCTCACCTGGACCCACACTAGCTTCCCAGACCCTTTACATCTGAAAGACACCAACAGACTAGAAGTGATTGAGTCCAGAGCTACACTAACATCTGACCAGATGTGACACCAACTTTCCAACCTCATCCGACCAATCACCTCTGCTTTGTGAGAAACACTGCTAGTCCCAAACTCAAGCAGCCCATGCCAACCATACAGCCCAGGCTTCTCCAACCTCAGTCCTAGGTTAAGGTCTATTTTCTGAGAGCCAACAGCCACCCCCATCCCCAGAGCCCACCTCTGAGGCCCAGGACGGAGCAGAAGCTTGAGACTAGAGTTTGTGGACAGGCCCAGGTTTATCAGCAGAGCAGAAGAATGAGTGAGGCTGACTCGGAGCTCTTTCAGGCCATTGGGTGCGTGACAGCCTTTAGCTTGAGCGCCGAGGCTAAAGAGAGTGAGCCACAGACCATAGCAGAGCCTGCTGTGCGGCCTATAGGAGCGAAAGACTCGTACCTCCACAGGGCCACCAGCCACATTTCCATAGCACTGAGCCGAGAGTCGGTCTGCAGTGGCGTCCCCTGTGCAGTTCATCTGTGAAAACAAAACCCTCCGTTAGTATTATTTATTTTCATAAGAAGACGCTGAGGGAGGACATGGAAGAATTTTAGAGGAATTACTGAACTTTTGACCAGCAACATAAAGAAACCAAGACACAAAGGAGCCAGTCCAATCTGACACAGTGAAACAACATGTGCTAGACATGGGTGCAGTTTTTCTGTTTTACTCTTTAAAGCTCTGTTAAACATTTATGATCATATTAGTTTTCTGTTGGCCATGAAAAAAGGGTAATTACATCTATTTGAACATAACTGAAGAAATATGCCTGCTGTTTTTTATGACATAAATAAACCTCATTCTGCCGAGTTAATATGGAAGCAGCCAGTTTGCTTAACTTTGCATAATTATTGGAAATTAACGTTTAAATTTTGATATATGTATATAAAAATTTGACATCAGGTGTTTTCATAAATTATTTGTGTTCTTGTTTATTTACTCTATTTATTTTCTATTATTTGTAAATATGATGTAAATATGTTGGAGAGACTGACTGTTAATTGAGTGGTGGAGAAGGGGTAGGTTTAAATAAGCATAATGTGTCATCCCACTCCTTTTTGGACATGTTGGATTCACATTATTATTATTATTAGTTTTTTTATTTTTTTATTTTTTGCTTTAATTATTGTTATTGTTGTTTTCAATATTCCCATTAGTTTTGTTTGTTTGTGCGTTTTCGGTGTACTGTCTTGTGTTGCACGCACATGTTTGAAAAAAAAATCTAAAATAAAATAAAATAAATAAATAAATAAAAAATAAATATAGACCTAAATACAATGGTAAATGTGTGGGTTTAAATAATAAAGGAGCAGCCAAAGTTTCGCTCCTACAGTCAAGAAGTACTGATGTTGATTTTTTGAGATGTATAATAGTACTTTCAGACACAGACCAAATTTTGTGTAGATAAAAATGTGTAGATAACATCAAATTTTCTCTCAATGATTTCGGAGTCTAAATAGAAACTGCATATTTACCTGTAGAGACTTCGGTATTAACCCCTGGAGCTGCCGTATCTGTTGCCACAGGGACACTTCCAGTAAAACTGTATTACTTTTGGCTCCAACATTAAAAAAGACATCTGCTGCTCTCTTGTCTTCCATGTGAAGTATCAAGCCTGTGTCCAGTCTGTCTGCCTCGAACTAACAGTGGAGAGAAAAAACATCATTACATTATTGCAGGAATGGTACAACAGTACACATTTAATCCAAATGAGTTTTAAATAACATACTAACTTTTTAAAGATAAAAATAGATGACGGTCCTACACCTGGTAATGTGCTTTGGCCTGCATGGAGCTTGGTAGGCCTCTTTCTAGCAGGGTTTTGACTTGATGCTGCAGCCTGGAAAAGTACTCCCATCGTGGGACAACACTGTCCTTCTGGCCTCCTTCATACTCAGCTCTGAGATGTTCGAGTCCGGCCTGCAGCTCTGCCAGGACTGATAGTCGACCTTCAGCATTGACCCATTGCCCCTTGGCACTGCTGTTAGCAGGTACACCTGTATCCAGTAGACAACAACAAAGAGAGACCTTGAGACACCATAATGTCCGACATGTAAAGTGATTCATGTGTAAAGTCAAGATTACCTGTGGCACTGAGCAGGTGGGAAGAGTGAGATAGTCTTGTGTAGATCTCACCCGTCCCGTGATCTCCAAGTTGGCGGCTCACATTCAAACACAAATGCTCAGCTCCAAACCAAATACACAGCCAATCACGAGACACATACGGCTTATTTCCTGTTATTACTCCTTTATCCCGAGGATCTTCAGTATCTTCCTGATGTTTTAGCTCAATGCTGTACAAGTCCTCCATCACTCGAACTCTCAGCTGTCCTGCGACAAGATAAACAATGATGCCAAGTGCTCAGGATATTTCTCCAAATTCATTCAGTATGTCAGAATTGTGCAACTATGAAACATTTCATATGACCGCTACCTTCAGTGAGGGTGTCAGACTGTCCCAGCACCCCATCCAGCCCCAGGACAGGAGGCAAAAGTTGAAGGCTGGTAATTGAGTTCCTGAGGTCCCCTGACACAGCCAACTGGAGACCCTGTGTGTTTTTTAAAGACCCTTTGACAAGGGCCATTAGAGCCTCATGCCCCTGTGAATAAGAGCCGAGGAAAGACACGCTGCAAGACAAGAGGTCATCGTCACTGTACATCTGATAAGTATATGTGGCTGCACCGACACCTCTGAGATGGTGGAGGTCCATACCTGTCCGAGGACATGTTGGCTGCCATGTTTACTTGCAGGTCTGTGGCAGAAAGCAGCACACTCTGGGATAGGTTCAACTTCATTTCCATGGCTCTGTCTCCACCAAGGAGAGAGTGGGACATCAGGGCCTCCAGTTTGACCCTGTCCTTCCCATCGGCTTTCACTTTAACTGAGCTGTGTCCTCTTCCGGCTACTGAGGCAATATCTGCAACTGCTTTCACCTTAGGATCACAGCAAAATGGTTATTTAGTTTGAAGTCAAGAAACCTCATTATTGCCAACATTTTCCAGTAACTCAACTTGTTGAAAGACTTGACCACTGAATTTGTAGTTTGCAAACCCACCTCTAATGTCTTGGGAATTTTTGATTTGAATGGATGCCTCAGCGATGAATGAAGATCAACTCTTCCTGATGTTCCATTGAGCTGCACCGAAAGCTAAAATGACCAAAAAATAAACATTAAACTTTATTTAAACACTGCTGATTGAACAAGTGAGTTGTTTTACTCACTCTGCATTCCTGTCGCTCAATCCTCAGTTTCCCTCCAGCCTGATAATTAAAGTCTGTGTTGCTTTTGGGGTCCCAAAGTATATTCCCTTCTACTATAGCAGAGGAGGGGATCTGCAGCTGTAACAGCAACAACAGTGAACCGGTCACAAGTTTGTCCTTTTCCACAGTAAACTATGATTGACACCGTTGGAGATGGATACATGAACACATCCTGACTGAAATCACAACAACTCACACATGTCTGCACGTCTCACAAAGTGAGAAAAAACTGATGCAATTGGGGAAGTTTTGATGAATAAAATGGTATCCAATTCAGAGAGGAGTTTGTTTACCTGGAGCTGATGGGTGTAGTTGGCTCTGACTTGAATCATGTGGTGACTTGAGTGCAAAGGGTTCAACTGGACTTGACCGAATAAAGTCAGTTTCTCTTTGCTGCCGACCCGTAATCTTCCTCGAATGTCCTTATGGGTCTGGAGAGCAGATTTTAGTATCATCAGTATAATCAGAATCAACAGGTATTTTTTAAGTTAGGGAACACTTCCGCTGATATATACTGTACTTAAGACCAACAGATTAATTTTCAAAGCATTGGTTTACCTGATTGTTGGACACAGCCACACATATTTCTGAGTCTGAGGGGATAATGTCCGTGTTGAAAGGATGAACAAGTGCTGAACACACCTGAACAAAAGAGAGGGGCAAGATGAACCAGAGTACAGATATCAGACGCTCCCGCACTCTCTTTGTAAGTTGTACATGCTGAGTCCATAAATTATCTTGCTCCTAACTTACAAAAGGCTTTGGTGGTCGGTAGCCAAGGGTCAGGGTGTGGATGACCTCTCTGTTGCCATGGAATCCAGCTTTTGACTCCATGATGTAAAGGCCTTTGAGAAGGTCTACAGTGAAAGTCTCCTGCAGGAGTAGAGTCTGAGGAAGGATCTGGAGGGGCTGTCTGTGCGATACCAAGAAGCTGTTATAGCCAGCTGTACTCTGGTGTCATTGATTTTTGTAATAATAATAATAATAATAATAATAATAATAATAATAATAATAATAATAATAACAATAAAAGACAGTGTCAGACTGGTGTAGATTGAAGCACAGACCTGAGGTGAAGCATTGCTTTTTTCTGATAAATCCTCTTGTCCTTCCTCAGCTCTTCCACCACACCTTCAAACTCCAGATCTGAAGGAGGACTTTTCGGCTTCGAGAAAGTCATCTTCAGATGCGCCTGCCTCTTTTTTAGCTTCTTAAAAAAAAGTATGTAGTGTTAATTCAAGGAATTACAAAAGATCAAACTCTAGAGACATTGCCAATCATTAATAGTTGGTCAGCAACAATGAGCAGGAAAATCTGAAGGAAGTCTGGTCATCCTGTAAGATTCAAAATTATTAGTTGAGGCCAGATAACAGCAACAGTTATCATCCACCCACCTGTTAGACAACACAGCAGGTACTTTTACAAAATTAAAAAGGAAATTTCTCTAAAGTTACGATCAGTCCTGCTAACTGCTGCTGGAGTTAAACAAATAATTAATAAACAAAGTGAAAAGGTTGAGAAATGTGTTTTTGAATCAAATGGCCTGATTTCCCTTTGAATTTTCTCTGATTGTTGTTTGTACATTTGTCATTTTGTTACCACTGTTATCTGTTCTGTCATTCATACATTATGTAACCTGGGTCACATTGATCCACATCGTGACAGCAGAGGTCTCCCACTCTGAACATGACATCTGAGGACAATCGCTGCAGGATGATTATGGTAAATTTCATAGACACAAGTGTTTCCACCCACCTTATCTGCTGTGTTCAGGACGGCTGTGAGGCTGGCGTTGTTCTTGCCGAAAGTGGAGGTCATCTGTAGGGAGTGGCTGAGTTTCGAAGCCTCCAGAGAGATATCTCCTCTTATGAGAGGAGTCCACAAGGAGCTACAGGAGCAGGACACCCTTATACTCTGCTTTCCCACCACACCCCAACCTTCTACCTGTGTGGGTTGAGGAGTTTGAAGAGAGCATGAGATGGGCATGTAAAAAATATCACACAGATAGGTGAAAATTCTTCTTAATGGTATTTGAAGTTATACAAAATGTAAGACATGATGGATAAAATAAACAGACATGGCAGACTACTCAACCCACACCATGTCTGTTTCATACTATGTATCTTATATTAGTCAACTTTTACCAGTTTACTGAACAATTGCATTTACATGACAGGTAAGTTCAAGGTTTGATTTTGAAAAAAATAAGAAACTGACTTAACCAAAGTTAAATAATTTATTGGTTTTTGAATAGGTTAAAAAAAATTGCACAAAGCATCTACTTTCTGAAGACACCCTCTTTCTTCAAATGTCAATAATGATCAATTTTTTTTTTAACATTTCATTTTTTATTCTGAGTCAAAACTGAACCACAAATGCATAAAACTGAGATTACCATTATGAAATCAAACCAATAAAACCTGATACTGCAGGTACCTGAATAGAGCAGCATCTTCTCTCTTTACCTGGATGTAGGTGAGCGCTGGTATGTAGAGCTGAAGGCGGGTCTCCTTCTCTCGGCCTCTGTTCCTGTAAAAACCTTCCAGCTGGAGGTTACGGACAGTCAGCCACTTGCTGGTTGTCAGCTCTGATGTGAGCTGCAGTGTGTGGTGCTGTTGTTGGCTCAGTTTGTGTGAAGTGTAGATGTACAGCCACGGTGTGTCCATGTTAAAAGTGCCTGGACAGCATAAAGACAGTTGGTGTAGATTAAAATAAAACTTCATCTTTAAATTAATATCCTTTTACAAACCTAACAAGTTTGGTACAAAGGCTCAACATACCTTCCCATTTTTTCTGCACAGTGTCTTTTGGAGGGCTTTTCCAGTGCAGTCCAGCCACCAGCGGCATCAGGTTGTTGTAGTTGACCTTAAGGTGAGTGCTGCTCTCAGCCCCCCGCTGCCTCAGGTGAGAGTGCAGGAGCTGAGTCCTGTAGATTAAATTCTTTTCTGGCACCTGGAGATTGAACTGGAATAACAAAAGCAACCTTTTATTTACACCAGTAAAAGGTTCAAACAAAGAGGATCTCACACTGAGAAATTTATGTGTGATGGCTGAGAACAAAAATCTACTTCAAGCTAATAAAATGACAGGAGTACGAAAGAGGATCAGGACCAAATGAAGGGGAAAAAAATAATTACAGGAAGGAGATTCAGGTCGAAATTTTAAAATTAAAAAATCGAAATTCTGTCGATAAGGTAGCAATTTTGGGATCAAAAATTGTAATTTGAGATCGAAGTCGAGATTTGACATTACCAAATGCTGAAAGGGGACAGACTGTCACACACACACAGTTTAGTTTACCTCCAGTGTGTAGCTGGTGTGATTTGGTGAGGACTGATTTTTGAAGGACTGGCTCAGGAGAAGAGTGCGCTTGTTGTTGATTTCGTCCCAGTGTTTGCCATAGCTGATGTCCAGTACAGATTTTATGTGGCTGGGACTATCCTCGTGTCTAAAGTTGACCTGTGGAGGCACAGAAAATGAAACCACAAAACTTTAAGGATAGAAATGTGAATTTATTTGTTCCACTCAAATGTGACTGAATACCCTAAAAGCTGTAAGTGAACACGAATGCATCCCTTATATATTCAAAACGGAATACAGCAAGTATAAACTTAATTCCAAGTAACTTAAGGGGGTTAACAACATTTGTAGTCGTACTGTCTCCTGTCACCTTGTGGTTGATGGGTGCGGTGTTGGAGCAGTAAAATTCATGATCTGCTCTCATAATGTAAGTCAGGTTTGAGTCCCTCTCACTCCTCAATCTCTGAGATGTGTAGCAGTCCTGACGCAGGTGCCGAGCATCACCTGTACATGAGGACAAGAGTCAGCACAAGGTGATGATAGGGGTTTAAAAGTGAATTACATGCTTCTCCCTGGAGATGGGAGATTATTTGCCTGATGTTTCCAGAGCCATAAGTCTGCTCATGTTTAACTTAGCTGGCAGGTGGATCTGAAACCGCTGTTATTTAAGCAATTTTCCCTCTGTGTCAGGCGCACTGACCCAATCGCAGTACTTTAATTAGAGATAACAACACAGGACAAAATGGCAGAGGATAATCTTTGTTGTGGACCGGTCTAGGAAAACTTTCTCTTTAGTGAGATTTCTTGGAGCTGAACCTTTAGTGCTGCTAACATCTCTCTACAAACCAGGTAAAAAATTTTATAAAATCCGAAACACAAACAACTTCTTTTTTTCTTAACTTCATACTGTAGTCTTTTCAGTCACACACCTCCCAGTCCGTACTTGAGCCTGAGCGCAGAGCTCCACAGTGAGCCTTTCTGCTCCATCAGTCCAAGCATCCTGGTGCCCACCACTCCTGGTAAAAGCAGCTCGGCCTCCACAGAGTGCTGCCTGCTGCTGCTGTCTCGCCTACGCTCCAGTGCCACTGATGATGAACATTGACATGAATAACTGATTTTGTAGATAATAACTGCTCACTAATGAGCTGCATCTGACAAATACCTGACAGTGATGCAGTTTCTTTAAACACATTCTTCACGGTCGCAGAGAAACTAGTTTTCCTGCCGAGCCCACGAGTGACGTTAGCAGAGAAGATCACAGGATGTCCACTAGCGGCCATTTTGGCTTCAAGGTGATAGTGAGTTCTCTGCTCAGTAAGAAGGCTCTGAGTATCGACCAAACCCTGAGGATGACCACAGATAAACCTTTTTATTACTGAGAAACCTTGAGATAAAGACATTTTTACTGTAAATACCTTTACCATGATATAATAATGGACACCATCGATCAACAGCTCCAGCTTTCCTGATGTTGTTTTTCTCTCTTTTTCAAGTTGACCTGAAAACACAATATATTTTTAACATCAAACCCTGTCAAACATTGATTGTTCTCTTTTTTTAGAGTCTTGACCAACCTTGTATGAGGACAGTTTTCAGAGGATGGGTAAGTCTCAGCAGCAATCTGCGAGGGTTAAAGGTCAGGTCCAGAGACATGTCCCTGGGGATGGTGGACTGAGGTGTGGCCAAGAGGAGATGGAGTGAGGCCTCTCTGGGGAACCAAGAGGCCTCCTGAAACAGACAATGTGCACACTTTTGGACATTAGATAAGGAGATCTCACACACACATATAAAGTCATTTGTACCACTTTATGGTTATGCACATCTCACATGCTGAAAGAGAGCATCACTGTAAAAATAAAACTTGGAGATTATTCGAACCTGAGGCAGCAGTGAGTAGGCAGCCTCCAGCAAATAGTAATGCAGTCCTCTGTCCAGTTTAAGTAACCTGAGTGAGACATGAACCGGTCCTGGCGGGGGAAGAGAAACACCTGCAGCAGGTAATGGATAGGAAGCATTGGAGCACAGCTGCCAACCAACCATCTTGGACCCTGTGAGAATGCAGATAAATAATTAGACACATCACCGTTTTGAAGAATACTGACAAAGTTTTATTTTTTTCAGCATTTTTAAATCAGCAAGAGAAGAATTTAAAAAGATTTTCTAATGTTAGGGTTCAAGCAAGCACTTTACATGTCTTCGGTGTGCAGGTGCTCTTCAGAGCTCGACTCTTTGGCCCCTTGATCTCTTCTCTAAGGTCTCCGCTGAGCTGAAATACTCTGGAGCTGATGAACACAAGCATAACACACAACATACTAAACTATTAGTAAGAACAGAAACATGATAAAAATGTTGGTCATCAATGAGAACAAAATGAAGAAAACTGAAAATTAGTGGAGAAAAACATTATAGTGACACAGTCCAGTTGCCTGTTTTTAAGTCTTCAAGATAACCATGACCTGGATGAATGAGAATCTACATGGACATTATAGTGATGTTAACATAATGCACTTGTTGTCAGTGTTTGATGTTTTAGATTATACGACATCAATGTTTTAATGTACAATTCAAAACTTTGGCCTTAAATGGATAAATTAAGGACTTGAATACTTTTATGGATATGTGTCATTCTTACAATAATAGCTTTAAATCTATCATAATTTGGGTAAACTGGAAAAGCCCTGGGTAGAACTACAAGGAACTTTTGGTTTGGACTGATTCTGGCGCCCTCTGTGGACAAAGTGATCCCTCTTATCTCTTGTCCTGTCATATGAAAATAGTGTTTTCAGAGAAAAAAGTCACGCTGTTGTCTTTTTACAGTGAAATATATCACAAAGACCTTTTCTTCAGCCCACTGCCAATCATCTGGTTTGAACCTACCCCCTCGCAGCGTTTTCAGGCATTAAAAAAATTACAACAAAGAAATGATTATTCTTGTTCCTGAAGGTCTCATCTGCTTCTGAGGATCATAAATAGGTCTCAGTGTCAGTTTTAGACTGTTTCTTAACCAGTTAAAAACTCCTGTGAAAAGGACATTCTCAACCATCAACACCATTCACAGACCCCTTTAACACTTCCCTAAGCCAGACTGTTGCTCCAGCATGCTTCAAAACCACCTCTATCATACTCGTGCCAACCAAGTCCACTCCGGCCTCTTTCATTGTTGCACTCACCCTCATCATCATGAAGTGCTTTGAACAACTAGTCATGTCTCATATAAATCCATCCTCCCCTCCACCCTGGACTCATTTCAGTTTGCATACCAAGCCAACCAGTCGACCAAGGATGCAATCTGTGATGCTCTCCACCCTGGTCTAACCCCCACGGGCACTAAGAACTCATAGATACAAATGTTGTTCATAGATTTTAGTTCAACATTTAACACTATCATCCCATGACAGCTCATTATCAAACTGGACCAGCTAGGACTCAACGCCTCACTGGGCAACTGGTTTCTGGAGAGGCAATAACACTGCGAGCACCATCACACTGAGCAAAAGAGCCCCACAGGGAAACGTGCTCAACCCCTGCTCTTCACCCTGCTGAGACCCACGACTACACACCAACATTCAGCACCAACCACATCATGAAGTTTGATACGCCTGTGGTGGGTCTCATCTCAGACAACGATGAAACAAACTACAGGAAGGAGGTCAGCCAACTGACCATGTGGTGCAGCGACAACAATCTTCTTTTAAATGTGGACAAGACAAAGGAGATTGTTCTGGACTTTAGAAGAGGTCACACTGAACACCCCCCATCTGATCATCAATGAGAGTAAGCAGCACCAAATTTCTGGGAGTGCACATCAGGGAGGACCTGTCCTTGACAGCAAACTGCACATCACTGGTGGAGAAAGCCCAGCAGCGCCTCAACTTCCTCTGCAGACTGAAGAGAGTGAGAGCCCCCGATTGATCATGTGCACCTTTCCTCACTGAGAGCATCCTGACCAGCTGTGTCCAGCCCCTTGCACAGCCTATTCAGTCACCTGATCAGGCTATTCAATATGTTATCTATTAGTAGTGGGGTTAAAAGACTATTTATTTTTACAACTGTTGTCAATAAGCTTACATGACCCACAGTAAAAAGGCTAAAACATGCAACAACCCCTTAACCCTTTAATGCCTGAAACCACAAATTATGGCCAGAAAATTCAAATTTTTTTCTAGCTGAAATGTTTATTTCACTTACTACTGAAAACCAAAAAAAAAGACAAAAATGCCCTTTAAATTTAACGAATATATTTATTTATCTTATTTGATACATTAGATGTTTATGGAAACTGATAAACCACAAGAGAACATTTTTATCATTTATCGGACTCTACTCAGGTGTTTTTCAAATAATTTGTTGATCATATTGATTTGATAAAAGTATCATAAAAGTATGTATCAAATATGATACAAAAGGCATTTATCATGCAGTGACTGTCCACACTAACCTGACTGAGATGATGTCCATGACATCCTCGGGTGTGTTGAGTGTGACTCTGAGATCTCGCCCCTCCTGAAGCTGAACACTGCCATCCAAACTGGTGGAGCTCTTCAGCTCTGAAAGCCAGTCCACTGCAGCCTGACCCAGAGCCCCGTCCACCCCCATCCTTACTGACAGCCCAACATGGGCACTGGAGAAACAGAGACAGCAGTTACACTCTATTTTAGCTCCATGCATAATGTCTGAGACACATGGTGATGTTTAAGTACTTGGGTTTAATGTATCCAGTCAGGGAGAAGTGTGACATATCTCTGTAGTTGATGTTGCCTTTCAGACGCAGTGACAGAAGAGAGGTCATGTTGATGCCCAGTTTGACAGGCAGACCGGACAGAGATGGTAAAATCAGCTCCTCTGTCACCAGCACGGCTCTGTGGTTCAACTGGACCTCCTGACCCTGCAGGACTCGAGGGAAAGACAGTGTGATGAAAATGAAAGACGAGTGATTAATAATGTGGCAGTCAGACAAAGTAAGAGATTAAGTGGACAGTCTAAGTCCAGCATACCTTGAGCAGTTTGACAGCTAGTCCTGCTGCACTCAGGGAGAGCTGGTTCATTTGATTGTAGAGATCTTGACATGTAAATACACTCAGCTCATTTCCAAACACCTTCACACCAAGCCAACACTTTAGTCCACTCTCTTCTGTTCTCCTCCTGTCAAACAGCTGCAACAAAGACAGCAAAACGTGATGGAGATAGTATCTAAACCTTTTCAAACTCAATCAGGTATTGAACCATTTTCCGTGTGTTTTCTTGGCAGGTTTTTTTGCTTTTTCATAGTGGTGTAAACATATTGAGATGTTTACAATTACTGATTTGATTTAAAAATTTAAGGTACAACAGACAGATCATCTAATATTGCCTAATCCATCAAAATCAAAGTCAGGCTACCGGCAGTTGAGGTTGGTTCAGTAAGTAAATACTCAATTTGATCAAGTTGATCAACAGATAATTGATCTTTAACTGTCTTATGTCTTGAGTGGCATAATTTGAAGACTCAGATTTAAAAATTTCAGAGTTTCAAACTTTTATCTCCTTCAGTTCTTTGGTTTTTGAAAAGCTATTTAGGAACTGTTGGTTTTGGCTTTTGGAAAATGTTGTGGCCATTGTTTTAAATTTGTTCCTAACCACCAAATTCTGGACCCTTTTTATTGAAAAGTACACTGAATCACATACAGTATGTACCTGAACTAACTAAGTCACTGCTGCTTACAGTGGATAGTACGTACATGACAGTACTGACCAAGAGGTTAAAACCCAAAATGTAATTCAAACTAATCCCCATCTGTCGGACAATAGTAAGTATGGCTAAGCTTGTATGTTCAACCTGCTGCCTTAACTAAACCCCCATCAGACCTCAGCCCAGTCAGTAAGACCATCCTCAAACAATGACCTCACCATGGCCCTGGCCTGGTCCAGATAACCGCTGGTGCTGGATGAACAGGTTTCTCTGTCTGCTCCGCGGACTTGATCTGTTCTTGTCCTCATCGCTTCTTTGGACTGTTTTTGGCTTTGAACCGCTGACGCTCCAGCAGAAGGAGGCATCTGGGGGCCAAACATTTTCTTCAACAGTGGTTCAGCGTTTTCAACGTGAAGGTCCACCTTCATGAGGAGACATAATACATGGATTTAACACAGTTTTATGGTTGTTTTCATCATTTTACTATTTATTATGTGTCTATAATTTTATGCAGTATTTACTAGATGAATGAATTTCAAATTATTAAAAAAGTACTTGAAATTGTAAAAATTCAAATAAAGTCACCTCCAGAAGGTTTTGAGCTCTACCCTGGAAATATACGGTCAAGTTTGCAGAGGCAGATCTCGGCAGAAATGATTTTGGGGAGAAAATCAGAGATGTTTCCATGTTTGTAGTTCCCATGTCTGAAACACATAAAGAAGGAGGAAAAATCGGTGCTCATCAGAGAACTCATCCTATTTTGTTAAGTGAAATAGTTTCTTTGGTAGGAAATTTAAACGACTTTAATAGACATTTTTGCTTAAAGTTCAAGTAAAGTGATCATTACCTGATGAAACAGTGTAGTCAGAGTAGGAGGAGTATTTAATAAACTCAGCCTCAAAGTCTCTGCTGACAATGTCATCAGGCAGGGACTCGATCAGAGCCTGTTTCATGGGGTCCTCACTCCTCAGGACATTAGTGAGATGACTCCACACATATGAACCCACTACAGAAGAGGAGAAAAAGTTGATTCACTTTTGTCAACAGAAAAAGATGTGTTGTATAACTAAATTCAGCTCTGTTACACAAAGAACTATTTTCTTGCCTCTAAAGAGTTACATTGACTCCATAATATTTGCAAATCAAAGAGAAAACTATTTGGCCATCTTCCTGGACACATTTGATAAATAACTAAAATCAATACAGAAGAAAAGAAGCCCGAGGATATAGCTCTGGAGGACGCCACATCAAACTGTGCTCTGTGTGGGCGGCAACTTTGCTTCTCAAGCAGCTTTTACTCTATCACTAATATCTACGTTGCTTAAATTTACCATGATGATGCAGTTTACAGTTTACAAATCATTTTGACTCTGTGAATTAATTTTTTTGAAACAAAATTGCAGTGTCAGTCAGCCATTTCATTCACACTTTTACAATCACTGAGGAGAAACATGGTAGAAATGAAATGTCTATATTTAGAAAATAAATTGTTTACTTTGCACAATGTAAAAGGAAAAGTCAGAAGTGAATGTAGCCTCCTTCCCCAATATTCAGAAATAGAGAACATCTGTTGAATGTTGCCTAAAATTATACAATTTCTCCTGATCACTAAATATATCCTTCAACAACACAAAACTCACAAAGTTAATCACTGTTTTCAACCATCAAACATTTCATTCTTTGGCTGACACTTTTATAAGAGTTACTTCAACAAACCAACAGAAGGTGTGGTCAAACCTTGGCTGGAGTTCTCATTCCTCAGGGTCGTCTTCACTGCTTCAAACACGGCCTGATCAGGGCAGCGCATGAGCTGCTGGTATGCAGCGATTCTAACCTCTGAATCCTCCCGGGAGGAGCAGTACAGCTGCAACAGCACCGATCTCTGAAGGAAGGAAACTGCTGTCAGTCACTGAAGCTCCACTGTCACTCATCTCCTCACCGTCACCTCCACTCATCATGAACCAATTAACATCTCATTGTGAAAGCAAGCATCTTCTTTGAAGACTTTTATTTACTTTTAAGTGATGTTTTGTCAAAGTCAACATTTGCTCACACTGAAACAGTGTTTGTTTGAATTTCCTTTTTCTTTTTTTTTGCTGTATGCTATTTAGAGTTTTCTCCATTTTTCATATATTACTGTCTCAACTATAACTCGACTCACATCAGCTGAGCAAGAAAAGCGTCTGAAGGCCTGGATGGCAGCAAGTCTCAGCTCCAGTGCAGCAGAGTGGCTTTGCATGATGCAGTTCATCAAAGGAATGAAGACCGGAGCAGAAAGACCAACGTTTCCCACTGATTTCAATGCATAAAAAACCTGTTGGACAAAATGCATGAAAAAATGTTACGCATACATTTTTTGTGTTTGATCCATGCTTAGAATAATTACATCAAATCATTAGGTCTAGTAGGAGCACAATATGGAGTACAGTGGATGTAAGTGTCTGTTTGGAAGCACCTTATCATGAGTGAGTTGTTCTCCTTCACAGCCCTCTTTTAATGTCTCCTCCAGTGTTTGTACGAAGGTCTGAACCTCTAAAAGTTCACTGCAGGGGGTTTGAGACTTTTGGCACAACTGATAGACCAGAGCTGATCCAGATAACAGCGCCTTGGACCTCAGCTCTGGCACCTGCAGTAAGACCTGACACAGAAAGCAGAGATTTAGTATGTGCTGAACATCTGGATCCTCAGCAAATAATAAGAGCATATATTTGTATGGATACATGCAGTGAATCTTTTTTAAACATCTCAGGAGCAAAACCAGGAAATATCTTAGATGAGAGAGATTTGGGTCATCATTAATGTCACCCCAAGGATCCTACGTTGATGGAGTTGATGATTTGTGGTGATGGATTAGGGATGAGGACTATGGTGGTGAGAAAAGCATGAGCCTGCTCCTCCTCCAGCTCTTTGGTCATCATGAGGTTGGTTAGTAGTAAGATACAGTTTTCAGATCCACAAGCTGGTAATGCGTCCAACAAAGGCTGCCTGTCCAAAGAGTTATTCAACAACATTAACCTCTCTTTGCATGAGAACAGTTTAGTACTATCACATAACATCATATTACATAACACAAAAGCTAAGAAATAAGAAAACCCTAAATACTGACTCTATTTAAGTACAGAGTATGAGACTGTTGTTCACTTCACCTAAAAGTTTCATTTTAGCAGAAGTTTGAACCTGGAAAATGAAGGTTTCAGGAGGGTATTTTTGTAGATTCACTTCCTTGCTGAGAGTAACACAGTAAGATTAAGACAGCTCACATGTGTGACTATGAAGCTACTGCCTGCAGCTGTGTTAGCTTAACACAAAGAATTGGAGAGAGGGAAACGGCTTGTCTGGCAAAGCATGCTTGTCAACACTTAAAACTAAAACTAGCTAATTAACTAAGCCAGTTAGCTAATTGTAGAGGACAAATGTTGTAGGCTATCTTTTCTGTTTTATAGCCTACATAAAGAGGTCATGCAAACCACACTGACTAGTTTTATAGGGTGCTATAGGGCGCTGTAAAATCCAGATTAGCTGTTTTCCACTTGTATGCTAGGTTAGACTGCAAACTTTATTCAGCTGAAAGATATTTAAATGGAACCAAACATAATAAATTACTGATGTATTTCTTTAAAGTTACCTCTGCTCTCTTTCTTTGGGTCAGTTTGAAACAGAATAGACCTTTGCTTGGCTGGATGTTTATTATGTTTTATGCTAGTTGATTCATCCCAATGCTAAGAGTGACAATGTGCATCATAAACAACCCCAATGAAATCAAGAACTGAAGAAAATGAAACAGATTAATTAGTAAAATTATTATCATCATGTTACTAAACACAAGGAAAATACTGACCAGTCATTGCGGCACTTGAAAGAGGCTTCTTGCCAAAGTGTCTGGAGTTGAGAAAGAGTCAGATCTCTTAGCTGGAAAGCCAGTTGAAGGAACTCTTGTGATACCTGTGGGCATAAAATCCAAACACATAAGAAGTCATATTAACATCATTTTAAATTATTTGTCTCTTTTTAAAAATAGTAACCATCAGTATAACTGTGAATACACTTCGACTCCATCAATCACCTGATCCCCCACACAGTGATTTAACGTCAGAGTGTGTCTGGCTTTCTCTGTGATTGCCTCTTTCGAACACCTCCCATGTAAACAGACTTTGATGGAGGTTGCCAGATGAAGTTTAACTGCTCTCCTGTGTAGGGAAAAACTTAAAATGCCTGGCTCATATAGAGCAGAACCTCAGAGTGAGTTAAGCTACAAATTAGAAACACAAATAAGCCAACAGAGTGTCTGGCAGGGCTCAGCTACTTCAAAGCGATTTATATTACAGGGCATATTTTACTGCTAAGATACATGAATCTGCGTTTTCTTCTTTTTTATTTATTTTGGCAAATTAATGCATTTTAAATCTGGATCCTGTTGTGACTTACCTGTTGTGTGTCTGAGGTGAGACTGCATAACATCCTGACCGTCTGACCAGCTTGCTGGGGTGTTGATGCTCTACTTTTCCCTGAAGCTCCTTCATCTTCAAACTGCAGGCCAGTAAGCACTCCGTGATCTAAGGTATCTGCATTAACAATTATCAGTGCAGATTTTAGCACCTGTATCAGCAAAACATTACTTAACCACAGATGTGTTGGTGCTACTCCTTACCTGCATTTAAAGGGGTCCCTGGCTGGGCCCTGAGCAGGAGCAGAGTGGACGTAGTTTGTGTCTTCACCGGTCCCTGATTTCTGGACCATGTTGCCACAGACACAACTTCAGTGCAGTTTACCTCCTCCATCACTCTGGAGCCAAACTTCTGAACACAGTGCAGCTCGGACTGCAATGACTAGTGAAAAATGACAAATGTGCTACAAGCTTTAAAAAAATATATAAAGACCGTGACCAACATGACTCAACTATCTCTTTTTTCATTAAATCCAATATTCTATTTTACAGATTTATCTCTGTGATAACCTTTCCTTTATACTACAGCAGGTTTTTTAATTGATATAAAAAAATCCACATTCCCTGCACTGCTAACTTTGAAGAAGAATTTTACAACAATTTGACTTGTAACCCCTCTATAGAGCTCTATATCATTGAATCCTTTCCGATAAACAGGCAAAACCAGGACCATGATCAGGGTTTCAAAAGTAAATCACTATGTTTATATGACATCCTGGGTTTTTTGTCTTCCTGCTGTTTCATATGCAACACACTGATGAATTTCAAAGAGAACCATTTATTACTAAAATCATTTATTGGGCCTAAAGAATAAAAACAGACTGAAGTAAGTAATAAACTTCAAAGCAGCCTTTATCACAGCCATCATATCTGCAAAGGACAGAAAAACTCACTGTATCTTCCGTTACTGGTTTTGAATGAGGCCAGAAGTTTGCCAGTCTGGACTGGTGGCACTGTTTCAAATCCCTGCTCTTCAGCAGTACAGGTCCTCGCCTCTCATACCTGCTGGTGCATGTCCCATAAACATCGGTCTGAGAAAGAGTCATTAGAGAAAAGTCTTATGATCACCCTGTGAACGCACTTAATCATGGCTTGTTTACAATAACTATGGTTATTGCTATGTAGCAGGAATAGAGGTGGTATTTGTCGGACTAGAATATGTAATTGTTGTATTTGCTTTATTTTCAAAAGACTTGAGGCTCCTGCATGGGGCCTGTTTTACACAGAGCAACAGAAAGCTCATCAACCCTCACCTCCTTTTCTAATTCCTGTTTGGAGGCGGTGCGGGAGGTCTGGAGCATGCTCAATAGAGCCCTCTTAATGTTGAGGGCCCACACCTGCTCCCCCTCCTGGAGACAGAGGGCCGTGACCTTTCCCCCCTGGAGGGAGAACTTGAGGCGCGTTCTCTCTAGTGAATCCCTGGGAAATAAAAACAGCAGATGAATTCCCCTGGGACCCAGAAACAGACAAGTGGGACGTTTGAACTGAGTATCACACACATAGAAAAACAGTTTTAGCATTCCAAAAAGATCTGGACTCACACTTTGAACAATGCAGACAAAGAACAGACAGAATAAGGCCTTAAACATGGTAACTTTTCTTTGTAAAAATGCACCAAAACTGTGCAAAACCTTCGCCTTGTTACCTCAAGCTCTTCAAACGCTGCACTGAGTGTTCCTTCTGAGGAGACAGGCGCTTTATCTGTGGATTCCTAATCTATTGGAAAAGCATGTGCATGAATAATGGACATTTTGCAAAACTTGACATGTATTTTTCTCTGACACTTTTCTTAAAGCTGACCTGCATCATTAGGTGACACCTGGAAACAACATCAATATCAACCACGCAGTCCAAAGCCAGTCCATTCCTGCCAGCACTGGAGCCATAAAGTGTTGTAGTTATTGTGGTCCTATATCTGTAAGTGTACCGTACTCCTCTCTCAAAGGACAAGTCAGTGCTAGAGAAACCTATTAAAATAAAAATGACAATAGGCAAATATGGCAAATTTTGTTAGAGAGGTAAACATCTGTCATAAAAGAAACTAGATATGATCAAAAAGCTTTAGTCTCACCATTACAACTTGAATCACAGGGATTTGGTTCTGCCTGAAAGCAATCACCCACTGCATAAAATAAAGTAAGCAATATTTAAAAAATTAAAGAAAAACTTTTTTAGATAAAACATACCAACCTGTCATACTGAACACTCATAGACGCCAACTGAACTCTTAGTCAATTCAAGATTTCACTAAAGAAACTAAAGACGCACCAAGAAGAACAACAAAAAACTTACCGTATAGCAGGAGAAAAATCAGTATAACATGCAGACAACTTGGCAGTAACAAGTTCATAGCCATAGCAACCCCAAGTCACTGCAGGTCTCTGACTCTGAGCCTCCACATGTAAGCAAGATGAAAACCAAGCAGTGTTCAAGGCCACTGAATGACCACGCTTGTATTTGGGCTTCCACAGTGACCCATAGTGCTCACAGCAACCAATCAGGAAATACCTCCAGGACTGGAGCTACAAACACACGGTGAGCCAATCACTTAGCAGCAGACTTAGGAAAAAAAGAAAGATTTTTTGACTGCATATTCAGATAGGCTACATAAGACAGGAGTCACATATAGAAGAGGAAAATTGTTTATTTCAAGATTAGTTTAAAGATTGATATTCAAGTGATCTGGTCATGTAATTTGAGATGCATGTAGCTTTATACAGGGGTGTAGGTAAATAAAAGAATATCTAAGTGGTACATTTAAGTAGCTATGTAAAAAAAAAAAAAAATCACTTAGTCTGGTGTTTATACTAGACTTTTTAAATATATATAATTCAACCACATTTTTACAATAGGTCTACACAATATAATAATACACAAAGTCAATTCGACCATAATCAATACACCAAACCACCAGTGTGGGCTCTAATCTGTCAGCAGCCGTTTCATAAACTTGTCTGGAGAATAAATACAGTCAAGGGAAGCATGCTGATAGAAGAGAGACCTCTAGTGTAGTTTATGTGTCTTAAGGTTCAAAAACAGTTGAAACGTAGAGCTTTCGTGTGGCTTTTATAGCTCTTTGTAGAGCAGTTATCCCCGCGAAAGCCCTCTCCCCTCAGCCACATTTTATGCCGCCGACAGAGCTCAGACTAATTTACCCAACACGCCTTTCATCCCCATCTCCTTCCCCCATCATTACCCAAGCTGCCTGCCACCTACTTTCCACGATGCACCCGCCGCCGCGGTCCACGCCCGTGCTGCGACGTCAGTCACTGCGCGCTACTGGTTGACGCTGCGTTTAAGTACACGGAGAAAATTGTATATTTGTACCTCCTTTGCGAAAAAGCCGATAACCTGCCTAGACTTTGGGCTTCATGGCATGAAAAAAAACGAAATTGTGCAGTTTGTCTCGTTTTGTGCTTCAGTGTTATTAAAAAAATGATATACTTGTGGTGTAAATACATGTGAAATATTCTTACAGAACAAAACTAAAATGAAGGCTGTTGTTTGAGTGTGCTATTGCGAAGTGTTATTCAAAATCACCTAGTTTAATGTTAAAGCCGTCGAATCGTTACATGAATAATTTTAGATGTATGACAGTAAATATTCAGTAATTGAGGTTAATTTCTGTTAGATGTGTTCACATGAACACTTCTAACACGTTTCACAGGATGAGACTTGAACGCACCCCTAGTCCGGACCAGGGGGCGTAGGTTTGACCGGCTTCTCGGAGCCCAGACACAATGAACCGTCAGACGGTAAGAGGCACGCTTGTTTGGCTAAGGACACTGGCACACTTTTAGCACATCACCTCTCTAATTTGTGCCTTTTCTTTGATGTACTTGGCGTTTTTCTAACTACTAACACTCTGTATGGCGGTGAAAAGGCTCAACTGGAAACGGTTGCTTCGTCGAGTTTGATGAAAACGAGGTCTGGATCAGACAACCGTTAGCCCCTCCTGGTGGATTTTCGTCGTTATTTTTTCTTACCAAGCAAACAAAACAAGGCAGATAACAATGTCGTTGACTGCTTCGTCTGATTATTTCGCTGCTGAGTGCCTGGTGTCGATATCCACCGGTCCTGTCCTGCACAGACCCACCCCGGTCGCCCCCGCCAGCCAGCCTGCCACGGTGGGCCTGCTCCCCGGGGAGCCCGATGGGTCGAATGAGGACAGGGAAGTGCGCGAGACGCTTAGGCTGGAGGGGGCGAACATGATGGCGGTGGCCGGTATCCTCACCGACCTGCATGGTAAGTTCCGCCCTATGTCGGCCTACTCCGAGAGCAGCAACTCCTCGTGCGGAGGGGAGAGCGGCTACACCACGTTGTCCGACCCAACCACCCCCACCATGACCCCCTCCGCCACGCCGGTGCCCGGACAGCAGCAGCAGCTGAGGGGGGGAGGAGGAGGAGGAGGCGTGGGGGTCCCGCGCTCCCCGGTGAAGCGACACCAGTGCACTTTTGACGGATGCGACAGAGTTTATGGGAAATCGTCCCACCTGAAGGCACACATCCGGACACACACAGGTACGAGGACAACAACAGTTCTCTGCTAAGTCTCCACAACTTGTGCTCACACGCCCACGCTGTTATCACACCATAACTGACAAATATGGAAAGTGCTGTCTTTGTACTTTACAGAGTGAACAGATATCAGCTCAGTGATAGTACGCTTGTTCTTTCACATTTATCCCTGTAAAAACGTGGTCAAACAAAGAGGGAGAGACAGAAAGACTCCCCTTCCGAGGCTCTGACAAAGAAGTAAACTAACAAAAGAACTGGGCTGGACGTTAAAACCGGTGACGAAGGTCTTCCTCCCGACTGGATTTGCATATGAAATGAACGTAAGACGAAACCTTCGCGTCGGGAGCAAAGAGTTCATTGTCGGTCGAAGCCTGTCCTGTTGATGGCAGCAGTAGTAGCTTCTACTCGCTGTTATACTGAAGTTTTTCTTTAGGTACAACCACTTTTCTCACCCGTTACAGCCATTGTTAGTATCTACAAAGAAGGAATGATCGATAACATGTTAGAAAAATCGCGGGAGAATGATTGTAAATGCGTCGCCCCTTTTTGTCTGATGCACCTTCTTTGCTTTACAATAACACGATTCGCAAGTTTTGCAGTACGCCGACCCCACAGGCTGCATGTGTCGGTTGATAATACGCCCACCTGTTGGCGGAGCTCTACCATTCTCTAAAAATGTGCATGTGATTTTGCTCAGAAAGAGGAGAATTGGTGCGTTCAGGGTCACTGAGCAGGCGCAAACGGATTAAGGACAGGAAACGGCTGAAAGAAACTGTGGTGGGAACGCCCCCAGCGAGTTCTGCAACAACAACGTGGCCTGGCTTTGTGATCTTGAAAATGGCACCGAGTATCCTGCTCTCTTATCCTGATTTTACTCATGGTGCCTGTCAGAGATTAAGGCTAGTAGTAGTTTAGGGCGACTAATCTGAACCATCTAAATCCTGGATATATGTTTTGTCACGTATTTAACAATCTAGAGATGAGTATTTTTGATTGAACCTCGTTTGATAGAAGTAATCCAGGCAGAAGATTAATCTCTCATCTGGGTATTTAACACTTTTGGTGTAAACCTGTGTGAAATAAAGTCATCAAAAATCAATACATTTAAGACATCAGCTGAACAAAGACAAGCACAAGGAAATCAACCTGCTTTAGAACTTGTTTTTTGTAATTGATTTGAAGACAGGTAACAATATTAGTAAGACAAAATACAGAGAAAGAATAAGATGTTCAAGAATAACTGAAAAATGGTAATATTAGCAATCCACAACAGTACAACAAGCTGGGATTGAATACATAGAAAATGATTTGGTATAAACTCAAGGTAGAATTTCCCTATATAAATGTTAATATAATTGTACAACTTTCAAACCCTCCTTGAGTTAATAATGATTTGTTGATGTTGAATTTACATAATACTAAACTGTTTTATTCTCACTTCTCTGTCAGGTGAGAGGCCCTTCCCGTGCACCTGGCCCGACTGCAAGAAGAAGTTCGCTCGCTCCGATGAGCTTGCTCGCCACACCCGCACCCACACAGGGGAGAAACGCTTCCTGTGCCCACTGTGCGACAAGCGCTTCATGCGCAGCGACCACCTGATCAAGCACGCCCGCCGTCATCCAGACTTCCAGCCCTCCATGTTGGGGCGCAACAAGGGCTCCTCTTCAGGCCTCAACATGCACCATTAAAATGGTTTGGGCCAAGGAGCACAGATGGTCACAGTGGTTTCAAGTTAACCAGCTACAATCAGATCCAATGATTAGGGTTTAGTATGTCTGTACTGAACAAAAAAAAAAAAAAGTGCACACACCACATGTACACAGGCCAACACACACACACAGCTGGATGTGAGGGGATGTAGCCTCATCTCTTTATCCACATGGATGAGTCTTGACCACTATCCACCGACTCAACATAACTAGGGTTGGGTCTCAGGACAGTTCTGAGAAGACCTGGTGATTGTTAAGAAATGTGCTTTTAGATTCCACTTATCAATTCCTGAAGGTAAATTTTGGACCTACTTCTCTTCATTTACTATGCCGGTTGCATGTGTTTAAAAGCAGGTGTGTAATGTTTACAAAATGCAGGACTGACTGGAGCCAGCTTTAAAATGTGTGGCTATGCTTCTATTAAGACAGTAACGATGCAGTGAGATGCAATTGCTGCACAATAATTGATATATGCAAGCCAATGAAAAGAGCCAGTCTGATATGACCACACATTGTAAAATTATGTCAGAATGCAGCATTTTGAAGCCTTATATGAAGACATGATGAAATGAAATGAACAGGGGATATTTTTTATAATTCAAATAGACGGATGGGAATATTTTCAATGGCTCTCTTGAAAACTGGACAGATTAAAGTACTACATCACATTGATGCAAATAATTCTGTAAAGCTGTAAACGCCATAATGCAGTCCTGATGATTGGTAACATTACCTACGATTACAATATCTTGAAAATCTGAGTCTGACAATGAGGCGCAGCTCAGAACATTTTCTTTTTTAACCAAAAACAGAATATAAAGTAGTTTGTCATCGATTACCTGTTGATGGCAGCCTACAACGTATGAGAATAAATGTGTTTTTGCATTTCAACATAGTTGCTTTTTATTTCTTGCTCAGGATTTGATTGGATAAGGAATCTTAAAGCAGATTTCATCACTAAAAAGAAGCCCAGCCCTATATAACCTCACTATCTCATACTGAAACACTTTCACAAATTGCAGGGATTTTTCACATTATCTGTAATCTGCACACCATCATCAGCCAAAACTCCCCTGTTTTCTTGTCCAATTTGTAGATTGTTGTTGTGCTCTTGAGTACCATTTCTTTACCATGAGTAGCACAATGTGATGTTCAGTAGCGAGGCAGTGACTAGAAGTCTTTTGACTTTTTTTTAAATTATTACTCTTAGGCTTTGCTGATTCCATGTAGACATTTTAGTGGTGATACATTCCCTTATTTTTATTGCTTTAGTAACCATCAATGACGCAAATTGTTTTTTTTTTTTTTTTGTGCGTGTGTATTCAATTTAACTGTAGATCAAATATCAATTACCTGAAGGTGGCTCAAACTTCACTGTAGAAGAGCTGTTTGTACGGCAACCTTAAGTCTAGATCAGTTGTTATTCAGAAATGCTGACACATAATACGCAGTAGTATTATGTCTAATACTGATGCAAATGTATATAAGCTTTAAGCTTTTAATGTAGAAAAATGGCAATGCTACTAGCAGGAGAATTAATACATGTGATGAATTGTAGTCCTTATATTAGGGGTAAGAGTATACGCTTGATAGGATGGCATTGCTTGTGAGTGTCGGTGTGTATGTGCTTTTATTTACCTTTTTTTTTTTTTTTTTTTTTTTACTGGTCTGGAGGAAGTGTGTATGCAATGGTATCAAAATACTCTAGGGAAAATAGACTTTCAGTCTACTGCCTTCAGAATAAAAGTGTTCATTCCACTTATCAGGACAGTAGAGTGCATTTCAGATCAGGGATTATAGGCATCGATAAAACTGAAGTTTGACTCTTATGTAGGAAACAAGATAAGTTTAAGAAAATAATTATATGGAGGAAATTCAGGAAATATAGCATTGGTAATCTTTAAAGTAGTGGATATATTGCCAAACCACAGGTAAAATTAATACTAGGAATAATGGCTCATTTCTCTGTAGGTGCGTAAATAAACCAGCAGTTTAAACAATATAAAGGTGATAGACACTTTAGAGACAATACGGTCAGTATAAACACTATTCATTATGCCTGTGTTTGAGTCAACATGTCCATTCTGATAAAGAAATGTTAATATGTTGGTATCAAAATATTCTGTCAGCCAAAATGTTCAAAAATCTGTTTGTGTTGCTACAGAAAACTCAGCAATCTAGATGTTTAATCTGCATTTGAGTACACACAGTGTCGGGGTCTGGTTGTAGAGAGCTTGAATTGTTATTTTCTGTGTTTCCACACTGTTTGTCCAGGACACGGACACTTTCCTTTATCTCAGAGAAAAACACTTCTTCTTCAGGAAAAATCTGAAAGCCTTAAACTATGTCATTACTACTTTGCACCATGTTTACAGTTGGATCATTGTATAGGTTTATATGCCTACCTGTGGGCTCATTACAGATACTCATTATGCAATGCAGCACTTTTTTTCTTACAGTTGTGTTTGGCTGAATAGTGTATTGGCTTGCACTGTTACTATGCTTCTTCAAGCGAGCACTGTGGAACTTTGCTAGTGTGTTGATAACCAATGGTTTGTAAAACTGCCTTTTTTTTGTCCAAGTGCTTTAGAGGGCGTGATAAAAGAACTGGCTAGTCTTCTTTTTATTTTGATTATTTTAGTATTTGCTTAGTCATCCAGGCCATCTCTTATTGTGGAATGTGTTCTCTTTTGTTTTCTCAAAGGTAAAATGCTTCATTTGTCTTTCCAGATCTTTTGTTTGTCTCCTCCAGTAGAAAGTCTGTATTCATCAACATCCACCTTAACATTTCTGAAAGGAGCTTTTCTTGTACACAATTTTCTTCAGGATTTTGATCTGTTTACAGTTTCGGGGTTGCTGCTGGCAGTAATCTGGAACGCTTGGACTGCTTAACGAAAGGGACACTCTTTCTTTTTTTTTTTTCCGGTCTGTCTTCAAATGGACATATCCTCTCTTGTCTCCTCTCTTGGACAGGAGCTTCTCCTCACACAGACTCTGTCCGGGTCTCAAAGCTATAAAATCACAATAAGAACATACCTCACTCATTTTGTTTGCAGAGTCTGTACAGAATCCATCCATACTGTCTCTCAGAAATATAAAGCCACTGAGCCTTGGATTTCAGAAATGTGTTTTTATCACCTAGATGGTCTGTTGTATATCCGTATCTTCCTCATGTCTCTATATGCAAGATCACTACTACCTGTGTAGCAGCAGAACTTCCTTCTCCCTGCCTCTGTAAAGTCTTGTCAGTAGACAGTAGCAAATGGTCTCCTGGATAAATCAGCCTCTGTCTCTCGAGCCCATCAGGAGTTGAGGCACCATGGGAAAGTCAGTGTGGGCTCAGGCAGAGGCTTAAAATGGGTATTAAAGTAAAAAAATAATACCTACAGGCTGTCACCTCACTGCAGATTCAATTAAGAGCTCAGTCCAAATCTTTTTGTTCATATCACTGAATGTGGTTTGATGTCAGACGAGCGTTATCCACTTTGGATTTCATTTTTTTTCGCTGCCTCGCTGAGAAAAAAAAATACTGCAACGATCACCACACTAAGTCAGATATGCACATTGTACAGAGATGGATGTTTTTTAAATTGATGCCTAATTTTTACATTAATGTAATTTTTAAAACTCCTCTTATCAAAGCTTTAGTCGAGGTAAAGAGGAGGATCTGTGGAACTAAATACCTGCTGCAACAAGCTGTTTTGATATTTATATTCTCAGGTGTCTTCAATTTTTGAGCATTGGACTTTCAATATTTCCTGTTCAACACCTAAGTACAAGCATGTTTTATTTTCCTTTTTGATTAATTTATTCCAAAAAAGTGTATCATTTGTGTGGTTTAATTATTCTTTCATAACTCATTTTGTGAAATGGAACAGTACTAATATTAAATGGTTCCATTGTTTGCTTGACATGAAAATACCATTGCTTTTTTTTTTTTAAAGAATAAAAATCTTAAGTTGATTGTTGTGTCTGTTATTTCATTTGGTTTTTTTGCCTCTGACCAGCAAATGTGTACTACACATAAAGATTTAATTACATGACGGCATATCAACAGATACAGGCCTATCTAAAGAGAAAGTATTCCTCTCTGATGGACTGTATTTAACTGGGAAACCAGAAACATGAGTTTTACGGCTGTGATCAACAACAAACTCACGGACGCAGTATAATTTGGCATAGTTGAGATTTAGGCTTAACAAACATGTTAAGTAGTGTTTGACCAATTGCAGTTTTTCAATTAACAAAATAAACTTTGTGGTTAAAATGCAAAAGAAAGTGGTGTATAAATTCATTCAGTTGTCCCTAAAGCACATTAAAATGTAATATACATGGTTGTCTGAGTCAGTAATATGTTACATTTTTAATACACTGGTAAACAGAGAAATATGTGGAGTTAAGCTGTAAATTTCAGAGTACTTATATCGGGAGCAATATCAACTAGTATCATTATATACATCATTAGTTACTGTTACTGTTTTTGATTGGATTTGCTGTCATTGGGGGTGAGGTAAAAGTGTTTTTGAAAGACCTTTGTGAATCCACCTTGTGAGGGACCTTGCCAGTCTAATGCTGATTATTACAAAATGCCATTTTTGGATTTATCTCAAATGTTAAGGTTAATCTGAGGCTGTTTTTAAACTATAACATTATCCTTATCCAAATTAAGGGATTATTTAATAAACTCAGGTCCCCATGAAGATTATACTGTATGCTAGTTTGACTTTGTTCCTATGCTATCTATGAGTTTCATTTTAAAACAGAGTATTACTTAAACTGTAGACATACACAGATAACAAAACAAAAAAGTTAAATTCGAGGTGAGTTATATCTGGCTCATACAGTTAACATATTTATAATCTTATAAAGGTAGTGACATTTCAAAAATGATCATGTATTTCATCACAGCTTATGGTGGAACAAAACGATCTGTTTCTGTTTTCAGTGTTTCAGTAGCTGCTCACTTTAGAAGAACACTATTGAGAATTGCTGAACATTTTCACATAGGCCGAAAAACTGTTTTTGAATTAAAAAAAAAAAAAAAGAAATATTCAGGGTTGGAAATTTACATGACATGAAGTTTAATTTGGTTCAAAAATGCACTTGCCCTGTTCTGTTTCTAACATTCTGACAAAGAAGGTGGATTCTGGGTGCTGGATTGAGTCTCCCTGATGTTTCATGGGCTGAAGTCCTTCTCCTGTAACTTTAACCTTCTGTGTATCTTATTTATTACATCAGTCTAACACCTAACTGATGCGACATGGTCAAATAAGAGTTGGTGGAGAGCAAAAGAGAGGCAGTGGGCTTCAGCAGAGGAGTGTGACATGTGACAGGACAGTGAGAGCGAAAAATATGCTCATACACTGCATGGAAATACACTGAGTTAAGATGGAGAGCTTTGAAAATGTCAATTACAGAGTCAAGTTCAGTCAGTGTATAATTACAGGAAGAGTCTGTTGAGTGATTCTGTCAGTGTGTGGGTGAAACGCTTCTCTTCTTTCTCCTGAGTCTGGGCTGGTTTAGAGGGAACTGGTAAACATGCTTAATAGATTTTTGGTGCAAACATGCATCTGAACCTCTGCAGGGAAGAAGACATCATTTTAAAGCAGTCAAGAGCTCCTCATAAACTACGTTTAAACATATGATCATAGATTTTTCCTTTGGCAGATATCTGTTTGACAAGGAAATTATGAACACACAATTCAGAGACCATCCACAGGTTAAAAGTGATATTCATAAGATACTACTGGTGAAAATAAAGTGATATCTTTCATGTATCATCAGTGATCATTCATATTAGACACACATTAAAATGTACTTATCTGTAGTATCATTTTTAAATCTTACAGTGGTGTTCACACACACACACACACACACACACACACACACACACACACACACACACACACACACACACACACACACACAAAAACTAGTTTTGTGATTGGTGCTTGTTAACATTGGTTGTCTTAAATTAACAGCAGTAAATACAAAGTTGTGATTAGACAAGGGTGTTCATGTAACTTCTGAACTTAGAGATATGCTTCACACTTGGTTTTATTTAGTGTTGTGTACTTAGCTGAAGAATATTACCGATCACAGCAGGCATGCAAGTTTCCTACAGCTTGATGAGACAGTGGTGAGCAAAGACTGTGTAAGAACCTCTGCTTTTAAAGTTAAGCTTAAACAAAAGCTCCATTAGACTGCAGTCTTTATAATGATCAGCAGGGGGCGACCACTTTGATTGCAGAGCAGGTCTAAATGAATGAAATCAGACATGAATCTAGTTTATCACCACAGGAAACATTTGCACACTGATTGAGCGTGTGTCGACACAGGGTGGTGTCCACTTTATAAAATGTGTCCCAAGTTGGAGTAAAATCATCATCTGATGGATCTGCTGGAACATATCTTCTTCTTCACTCATGGCCACTTCTGGCTCAACACGGATACAGATCAAGGGCCAGACTAAGGCTAGAACAAGGCAATCCTAATACCTTAGCTTGCTGCATCCTCCTCTTTTACTCAGTCCATGGGGTTGGCCAGAAGATTCATCAGCCTACAATATTTTCTGCTTCCATATCTGATAGCACTTACTTGGCTGATCCTCTGTGAGTTAGGCCAGTGTTTTTCAACCAGTGTGTCATGACAGATAGTCAGGTGTACCCTGAGAAATTATCCAATTTCACTTTATTAGTCTATTTTTTTTTTTTTAAATAACGTATTATCTGTTAAAAATATGCAATTCTTAAGTGTTTGTGCTGTACACTACAGCCCCAGGTTTCACACTGGGTGAGTATGAATAAATTGAGAGACTATATTGTCATTGTATAAACTGTATTACCAAGTGTCATTTAGTAACATTTTTGGTTGGTGGTTTGCCTCATAATTTTTTTTAATGAAAAAATGTACCATGGCTCAAAAAAGGTTCAAAAACACTGAATTAGGCTATTTCTTTCCATAAACCAAGATCAGAAAAGGTTAAACAAATGGAAGAGTGGATATCATGATAGAAACGTCTTACAGAAAATATTCTTAAATGGCATAATCTTACATAATGCTTTTTTTTTTAACAATTGTGAACAAAATGCAGTCAATTCAGAGTCACCAGGCTGCTGCGAGTGCTGCAGGTTCAGCTGCAACAAGTGAGTAAACCAAGAGTTTGTCGGAGTGTTGGAGACTCTTCTCATTTTAGCAGATGAAACGAATATCTTATGATCAGATTCAGCATACATGAAACAAATGAGTTTACTACAACTATTTCAACTGTATGAATGAAATATTTTAGGTAAGTTTTTCCTCAAATTGATACAGCCACTCCTACTGCACAGATCATCATGACCACCACAATAATTCTTTTTTTTGACTGTTTAAAAAAAGTTTGTCTTTGTTTAAAGATTTCTCTCCATAAAAGATTATTTTGTGTGTGTTTTTTTTTAGAGATTTGTACAACATAAATGTACACTGAAACGAAGAGAGTCCCTTTTATGAGATACGGGGATGTTTCTAATGGATCTCAGTATGTGGTATTCTTCTTAATATCCAGCAGGGGGCAACCTCACTATCTGCCAAAAGGCCTCTGATATTAACAAATTAGAAAATTGCCTCTTCTGTCGATTAATTACATGAGTCAACATTTTCTGAAACAATATTTTTTTTCTTGCTCATTTGTTGGTCAAGCATGGATGCCAATATTTCCAGATTTTTAAGAACCTTGTTGCAGGTTGACTGGTGGTCTTCTTTCTTATCCACTCTCTGCAGTCTCAGGCAGCAGTGAGATAACAGATAACATCACTGAACACCAACTTCTCCACCTCTTTTTATTATCTATGTTTAACTCTGAAAATGAGAGCTTTTGACCACCCTGAGGGGGTAACCACCAGCTAACTATAGCCTACATTATCCCTTTATATGAGGACTATAATTTTCACATATTTCCTACTCTGTGTCAGGATAGCTCTGTAAATCAAATCATTTAATTTTCAGCTGTGACTGTGAGTTCATAGAAATAAAATAAATACAAATAATAAACAATGTCCTTTACAATTATGTAAGCTAATTTATGTTTCTTTCCTCGCGTGTATCCTTAATAAACGATATCTTCTTACTCCTTGTCATTTGAAATAGACCAAAATATTAACAATAAACTATAAAACACACAGAGAAAGATACAATAACATATCTTTTAGCAGCGCTTGGATTTTTACCTCTCTTATTTCAGTTTGTCAGGTAGAAGCGGTTCCTGTTTCTGACAGGCTGTGCTGGAAACGTTTTCCAGTCGGACATTTTACGATGTAGCACGCCGGTAACTCACAAACACATGCAGTACCAGCAGCAGCAGTAATAAGCGCTGGTATTTGTCAGTCTTAAGAAACGTTTAGCTTTAAAAAGTAATGTCAGAGAAATCTCCTCAAAACTGGATCCTCGTGCATCCAGCTGTAAGTTTTATCACCGTGTGTGTTCATGTGTCTGATGTTAAATCGTGCAATAATTAGTGTTTTTTCTTTTCTAGTACCAGCAAATGCAGAAATTGGAGGTTGAAGACAGCGAACAGATTCATGCTGCTTTCCTGGTGTACATGGACCTAACTGAAGGTGTGTGAATCACTATTAGAATGACTGTTTTTCAGACATTCAGAGAGATATGAACCAGTAACAGCTGATGATTAAACAGATGAAAATAAACAATGATGCCTTTTTATTGACTACAAAAGTAATTGTGTCAAAGGAAATACATCAATGATTACATTTAGTCAGAGCCCCTGCTGCAGGCCTTAATGACCACCAAAGTTACCACCATTCTTATGCTGTTTTTCTGCAGTGCGGAGGTGGAAGGAGGTGTCTTGTGTCAAGAGTCCAGAGCTGCAGCTGGTTTTGCTTGAGGGGAAAGAAAAGGAAGACACACCAGTGCAGACAGTCCTGCCTCTGCCTGTTCACAGATCTCTGACCCACAACAGGTTTAAAATCTAACTGTAACCTCCTTCTTTTAAAGACTACCAGTAGCTCTCAAATTTTGCCAACTTTTGTTTTTCTCCTCTTTATTCAGCATTCGACAAGTGATGGACAGAGGCTTCCCCATGCTGCTGTGTGCTGTTGCTGCTGACTCCACCCTGGTCTACCAGAGGCTGACTGACGGGCTGGTGACCCCTGACCCTCCTGTTGGACCCTTCCAGGATGTCGGCCGTCGAAAGCACCGCAAGAGACGACAACAGAACTGAGCAAGTAGAGAGAGAGAGACTACGCTTTGGTGTTATAGGCCAAACATAAAGGAGCAGAAATGGTCAGTAGATGAGCTATTATTGGTCACTTTGTCTGTCTCCATGGGCTGCACCTGAAATGAAGAGAAAGATACACTGAGAACATGAGCAGCAGGAGCAGATGGACATGACCACAGAGCGCCCTCTGAATATTCGGAGTGAGATACTGATGACCTCGCCTAACCTGTGAAGTTTGAGCTCCCAAATGCCCAGACTTTTGCAATTTCAATGGCTGCCAAACTCAGTGGGCTGTGAAGAGATCAACCATAGAGAGAATTTTATTTTGAGCGTTCTACAAATGAAAAGAAGATGTTACATTATTTGCTGACTTACAAGAGGGAAAAGGAATGATTTTGTGTATAAATGCATTTGTCTTTTTGCTGTCTTTATTTGTTATTGCTCATGAGAATCCTGACTTTGAAATCACTTTTATAGTTGTCTGTTTGCTCGCTACAAAGTTGATTTCAAAAGCTCTGGTGAAAACCTGTGACACAAGCCTGATGCATCCAATCCACATTTCTGGAATAATGCAGTCAAAAGAGGACAACACTGTGAGGGTAACTACGAGCCCACTATTCCTGTCTCTGACTGTGAACTTCTCTGTGTATCTCTTCTGCAGGAACCCAAAGTGGACATGCATCCATATATTTGATTCACTCTGTTTTCTCAAGATCTCAACTTATTTTTCCTGACATCTTGGCGTAACAGAATAGGTTTGTCCATTATAATGGACTCGTTTATCTCATGTTGAATTCTTTCTGGTGTAATGCTCTACACAACAAAAGACTAGTTATGGTGGCAGATGAGACCATGACATGCCATGCTGCCACTGTCATCACCAATGAGATAAGAGATTTGTTTGTTTGTTTGTTTGTTTGTTTGTTTGTTTTTGGAGCTCTGGAGATGAGTAATAATCATCTTAAATCAACTCATTGTGACAGGTAAACAGAATAAAACGTCTTGATGCGTGTTCGCTCAGGGCTTCTGCACTCTCTACAATAAAGTTGTTTATCAAACTAAAATGAACCAATCATTGCTCAGAGAGTTGTGATTCTAAAGTGATATCCTAAAGCTGGAGAATAAACTTGTCACTTGCAGTATGAAAACTATATATAACAATGGTAAAATGAGAACACTGTGTCCTGCCCTTTGTAATGGTATTTCTTATTAAACAGCCATGTTGCACACCAGTATTACTTTAAAGCTGTTATTGCCAAATAATAGTCAACAAAGCAGTGTAGCATAAGGAATGCATTTGAACTGACTCATAATGAGTTTTTTTAAAGCAACAGTGTATTAGTTATGTTCGCCATTAATATGGTCCACCATTTTAACTACATTTCATTTGACAAAATGTTAATGATTAATGTAATGAGTCTATTTTTAAATAAAAGAATCAGGCAGTTCTGTTGGCTTTGCACTCACTTTTTCACTCCTTTGCTCCAAAGTAACTTCAGCCATAAGAATAAGTTACTGGAAACACTTTTTTATTTTCTTAAAAAAACAAAAGTTCAACATAGAAACTGAACACAACGACATAACACTGGTGAGACACATAATGAGATTTCTTCGTGGGGTGTTCACCTGTTGGTTAACATGGAAACAAACTGGAGCGGGGGGACGTAAGTAACCCCGCTGTGTGAGTGCATGAGTGTCTGTTTAATGGTGCAACAGTGTCTTAATGAAAGGAGGGACTGACTAGATGAGACAGAGATTACAACACTTCAACCCTGAGCCTTATTGAACATAAATACTCTACATCATCTCAGAAACAGACATGGACAGACAAATACACTGTACTGGCCAACGTACTGTAGAAAAGAGGTTCATACTGTGTCTTGGAATGCAGGAAGTTTCAACCCCATGACTTTTCAGCGAGGCGTTCAAGGATGACATGTTCAAAATGATGCAGGTGAGGACAGTACTTTCACTTTGAATCAGTCTGTAAAAGCGCTAGTTCCTTCTGCGGTTGAAAATAATGTTTCAAATGTTCACAGGAAGTCTCCTGTTTGTCAGGGTTTGTCCAAGCAGTAGAAGATTAGGCGTACATAAGTCCCAGGATCTTCATCACCCTGTGATGGCTTCTTTAAGGAATTGAACCTATAACTTCTCTCCCTTTGGGGAAATCTTATAAATACTGAACCGTCTTTAACTCTGGAGGTCATTTCTCTCCACCAGAGTGGTGACCAGCAGGAACTAAAGTTGTGAGCAGGAGGGCAAAAAGGTGCTTCATTCAAGTCAGTAATCCATTTTCTTTAGGCGTGTAGATACAAGGGACAGTCAAAGAAGACGGGGCCCCCCGGACATTTGAACGCATGGTGGGGTCCATCCATAACACTGGAGTGACAGCTCTATCACATCAGGAACAGGGACCACAGTGCTATGTCATATCCTCCTCTTCTGAGCAGTAGTCCCGCCCCTGGAAAACAAATAAAGTAATAATTCAAAAGATGGTAGATACTCAGCAAACCCAATTATTTTAACACTCAAACACCTTCAACAAGGTGCAATACAAGCATGAAACACCCAGCAAACTAAGAAATAATGAACTACTAAATTTGATAAAGAGATTCTGTTCTCTACTTTCATGAGACATAAAACCAATATGATCATTTTCCAGACATCTCCATGTTTTTGTTCTATATTCTAAACTCCGAATATGTATTTTAAGACTTGCCACACTGCTCCTATTTCGAAAAGAACAAAAGGACGGATATATTGTAGGAAACCTAAATGATCTGATAAAACACCACAAGAATGTAGTTTTAAAAATGACAGAGCTGGAGATCTCTAGCTAAAGATGAGTGTTAACAGGGAATAAAAAACATGTTCTCTGACAGAGGTGCTAAATTTGCAGGAAAAGATCATGGGATGTATGAAGCATGTAGTCTCTGTAACATTGGCCCAGTTTCTGGAGAGGCGGTCTGAAGCCCAGCGATGGTTGTCATGTTGGACATGCTGACTCAACCCAGACATTTGCAAATAGATGTGTGTTTTTTTTTTTTATCTGCCATGTGCCTGATATAGATTGTAACAACTAGTGTCCCACAATATTTTAAATAATGATGCTAAAATACTGATTTAACTTACAGTTGTTGTTTTTTTCCATGGAGCGGCTATTTTTTGAAATACATTATTCTTAATCTATTTGAGTTTTTACTAATCCACTCTCCCTTATGACCAGATTTCATCACACAGCAGCTCTGTCTGCACAACATGTTTTCCACAATTCCACCTTAAATAACCTCATCAGCAGAATCACTGGACCAGACAGATTGTGGCTGTTTGGTGGTATCATCGTGTCATCTGCTGCGTTCAGATTTGTAGCACTGAAAGGATTAACCTCCATGATGTTATTTAGCGAGGGCTTATTGTAGAAAAAAACATGATAACCAGAACGCAACACTCTAGGAGAGGGTCCTTACTTTTTCAATTTTCTCATCCAGCATCCTGAAGAATTCCTGCTGGCTCTCTGAGGAGTGGATGCTCCTGCGGGCACAAGAGGTACAGCAATTTCACAGCAATGCAGTACAGCTCTGAGCTTAAGTCGCCCATCACAATCAGACAGCATGAAAATATATGAAAAACAAGAATAAAACACACACATCAGTCAGTAAAACTTACAGAATCTTTCCATTTCCATTTCCATTTGACCCTGTTTCATCAGTGTGTTGACCTTTACCCAGGAGCGCACTCTTCTCCTGTGGGACATCAAAACACACATATCCTTAAACACCTCCATTCAGCTTTCAAGTACAGTCTAAAAGACAGTATTTGTATATAAAAGCAATCAGAAGATAAATTTGTGAATTTAAAGTCTCCATGATGGCATTACTGGAGTGCTTCTTCATTCTGCATCTTTACATGCTTCCTAGAAACTTCTTAGAGAGAAGACTTGCCAAATATATTGATTATTGAATACTGTAGACAAAATCACATAACTTCAGCTAGCTTCAAACACCTGTGTACTATAAGGAAATGGTAAAACATGTCAAACATTAAACTAAGATTAAGTTTTAAAAATGTCCTACAGTGCAGAAGAAGTTATCATTTTTCTCACATGGTCCAGATAATGCAAATTTGAAAACACTATGAACAATGGCTACATAGGGACCTTTGTTTTGCAACAGTCAAGCCAGTTACTATAATTAGTCTAAAAGATAATTACCTTGTTTTCACAGAGTTATAACATTTTTTGCACAAGATAAAAGTTAGGAAATTCTCTGTTGTCCTAAAATTAATCAGATTTTTTGTTCTTCATATGTGGATGTGAAGGTTTAACAGTGCTGCCCACACAGGTCTGAGTGAAAAGTTTACATCATGACTTGTTTTGATGATAAATTTACCTTTAAAAAAACCCAATACAGTAGATTTGTAAATAATAAACAGAATAGACAATTTCTTATTAAAAAAATCCACGCACTGTGCTCTCCTGGCCATCCTCTCCTCCCTCCTCTCCGCTGATGTACTTCACTTTCTCCACTCCTTTCATCTTGTACTCATCTGTGACGGGGTGAGAGACGGAGAGGCAGAGAGAAACACGTCTCCTCTTATTAATACAAGACAGCAGACGATCAGCACAATCCTCTGGGTTAATAGATCTAGCAGTTCACTACTTGGCAAAGTAATTATGCGCTTCAATTCTCACACTAAAACTAAATCCCTCTTAACAATGGTTGGCAAGCGTCAAACACATGAGCTGTCAGCCTGATCCATCCCTCCTCTCAGCTTCTCCATCTTTTCTCTCACACATGCACAGCCCCCTCCTCTTTCACGCTTCTACGCTTTTAGAAAGATGAGATAAAAAAAAACAACTTAGCAACCATGCACAGTACCAAGGCATGGTGAACACAGTAGATACTGGAGTTTTATGAAAGATACTGTATACTAGAAATCTGCTGCAGCTTTAAATCCTATTATATACTGTATATTAGCCTGTATTTACAGAGGCTCCAAAAGAGACTCATCCTTGACAGTTGACATTAGCGCTGTGTACACTTGTAGTTCACAAAGCGACTGTAAGGACTGCACAAGGATTTTGTATTTGCATTTATGCATAGGTATCGTTTTTATCATTAAAGGTTTTTTGGAGGAAAATCACAACTATCTTTAAAACTTGAAATGTCAAAAACAGATTTGGATAGTTTCCAAACCCTCATCTAAACCCTCCTTTTATTTTGAAATGGTACAAAAACTATATTTATTTAAAACGGAAATTGAAAATTGAAGTATTTAATGAAATCTATACTCTCATTTTAAATTTGGTGTCAGGGACATGTTCATCATTGTGTTGCATCACCTCATCACCAAGTGAAATGTTGTCCCATTATTGCCTTATCTCTAATGTCAGTCATTCAACAGTCCAGGGTCTTCTTTGTCATACTTTTTTGTGTCATGATACACCAAATGTTTCAGCAGATAAGAAGTCACGGCTACAGTCGGACTGACCATAGAGCCATGCTGTTGTAAAACATGCAGAGTGTAAATTGGCATCTTCTTGCTGTAAAAAAGGCTAAAAAGGTATTATCTGGACGGCAATATATGTTAGTCCAGAACCTGATATTGCCAGTTTTTGAAGTGTATGCTGATAACAAATCAGATGAACCCTCTCCACTTTAGAGTGGATGATGTTCCATCCATGATTTCCTAGAAACGTGTCAAATTTTGAGACCACTTTGCCTCTTAAACAGGCTTGTGCCCAGAGAAGTTGCTGGTACTTTGTTTGCAAATAGTTTCTTTGCTTGGTGCACTTTAAACCGGCATTTGCAGATGCAGTGACAGAGTGATTCAAAATATTTGCTTTGACTTTGTCACCTACATGATGTATTATTGTTATTGTGTATCTAAATATGGTTGGTGTAAATGTGTCAAGATCTTTAGATAGGAAACTTTTATTCCTACAGGTTCCTACATCAGCAATGACTGATGAAGATAAATGGGAGCAAACACATTTTTAGGCCAGTGTGACCCTAATTTCGGACAAAGGGAATACCACCTGAATATGGAGGTGCATCATAAGAAATGTGCTGAAAACAGACTAACCTGAGAGGAGGTCCCCGTTGCTGTGTGATTTATTCTGACCCTCCTCACCACCGGGCACAGCAGATACCTGCTTGGCAGAGGTGCAGCCCATCTCCTCCTCAGCCGCTCTGCTCCTCACTCCTGAGCATCACAGGCACACCTGCGGGCAGCAGGTAAGATGGACTTGTAGAGCAGTACAAGAAGACATCAGGGAATTTACACACCTACTTCATGAGCACAGACAGCTTCAGATCATAAAAAAGGGTTCTCCACTAGACAAAACATCTGAGAAACAGCCAGTCTACAGTTTTCTCTCTTTCATCCTAAGAAAGTCAAAGAGTTAACCACGTTGTATAATATGATGATTATTACTTCAAAGAAATGATAAAGTAATGGTCATAAATGTCTTTCCTTGAGCTGCGTCACCCCGCAGCAGTCCATAATGGACTGGCCCGAGATCTCGCTACAAACAAGCGGCTGCTGGAAGAGAGTGGGTGAGTTGTGTTTAGTCTCTTTGCTAAAGAAATCGGGCAAAGCTAAAAAGATGTTTGGTGGCTATAGTGCTGTGGCTAGGACCCTATATGTACTGTTGATGAAGTTAGGTGCTGTTCTGAGCATTATTTGTGGATATAGAGTGGCTTTTTGGTTGAGCGTGTGGCTCCTGAGACCACTGTGTACTGCTAACGTGCGTTCGTTACTAAAGTTGGTATAACTAGAAAAGCAAGCGGTCTGCAACATTCATCTCTTGAGGGGGTCTCTAACTCGGTGTTACTGTGTGTCTGACTCCAACTGAATTTTACGCCGGTATACCCCTTTAAAAGTTTTCATTCTGATATCAGGCAAAAAACACCTGAAAAACTGATGTAATGTTATTATTTGTGGTCTGAAGACACTGATCTTTGAGTATTGTGAAGTTGTGAAGAGCAATTTATGAAGAGTTCCCTTTGTGTACTGATAAAATATTCCCGATCACTTCTGACCGAAACACGTGTCACTTCATGTGATTACATAAAGCCTCTACATGGTTTCAAAACAATTGTTGTTTTAACTTTGACCCAAAGTAGTCTGTGTTTAAAAAAAAAAAAAAAAACCTACAATCAAAATAATCTGGAAATGATGTCTTTTACAACTGAAATTCAAGATGTATAAGCCCGGATCAATGAGGCCTAAAGGCCATAATTAACAAATAGAACTTCAAAACTTGAAATGTTCACAACAAGTGTTGATAAAAATAAAACACACAACAAGTAGTACCGTATTCTTCGCACTATAAGGCGCAAAACAGGTACTGCAAAACATTCATCCCAGCCGAAATACAGAGTCAGAAAACTCTCCAAACTCCAGAGCATGTTGTTTATGTTAATGTTTGTTCAATGACTTTTTCTAGCTCAATGATAAACATTTTCTGTGCCTGACTTTAATGTTCACTTTAAAGTAAAACAATGAGAACAACAATAATGTTGTCCTTGTTTTATTAGCTGCAAAATTCACTGTGACATCTTACCCCATGTAGTGAGACAACTTACCCGATGGTGGGGCAACATGTCACATGTTCACAATCTCTATTTGATTGTTTATAACTCTGCACTGACACAAGATATAATAATGGCATAATTACGAAATATAAACCTGAGACTTTGGTCTTTCATTTGGTTCACATTTTGTTAATATATAATGTACTGATTTCAAGATATATGAGTGTAATAAGTGTGACAACAAGCCCCGATCTCCCCTATTATTACCTGTTTTATGATGAGTCTTAATGTTACTGTCATTTTTGACCGGGAATATAAAAATGTTAAACATGAAACGAACACAACATGAGGGTTAATCTCGCTGGTGGAAAAATCCAGTGGACTCCAGTTTGGGAATCACTAATTTTCCATAATCAATTAGTCATGAAGCGCCCCACCCTGGAATAAAAACATGCGGGCATCCCTCTCCTCTCCTCTCCTGAAAAACAATAAAATTGACTAAAATAGATCGAGCCTGATAGTGAGTCACGCACACGCCGGTCTGGGAAATCACCAATCAGAAGGTGCGCGCGGCGGTGCCAGCTGCACTGCAACAATGAGGCCTTTCAAGCTGTTGGGATGCCACCGTGCCAAGCTGCCGGGTCCTCAGTAAAGGGAGTAAAGGGAGGGGGGTCTGCTGCGGCGATCAGGGGATTAAACTGTGCTAATGCAGAATGTCCTTCTTAGTGGGAACAGCAGCAAAATGCACCCGCAGCCATATCATGAATCAAAAATGATTGAATGAGAAGATTGTGTGTGCCTTGCATCCAGCTCGGGGAGATATCGATTAATCCCTGTGTTATGATTGATCCATCCAGCTGCAGAGTCAGCTGCTCCGCACGCATCGCACATCACTGTCCTCCTGTTTGCTTTGCTTTCTGATAATACCGTTTAAAATACCAGAGGAAGCCCACTGTGGAGCATTTCTACGCTATTCATCCAATTTTACGCAAGAAAATATTAAAGAGAAAGAGACGGGGAGAGAAACGTGCGCCCTTAAAATATTGCACATTTTGATCAAAGTGTTATTTTAGTAAATCTGAGTGATCGATCAGGACCCTTCAACAACTAATAACAAAAGGTGATGAGAAAAGAGCAGCCATTCCTCGACCAGCAGGAAACACCGACACGATAGCGAAAAAAAAACCGAGCCACACAAACTCAGCATGAATAAATGTGAAATAAACTGCAGGAGATTTACCTCTCTGTTTTGACCATGGTTTGGAAACCCTTTCCTGGTTCTGGAAGAGATCGGATTCAATCCAGACAGAGGAGCCAGACAGGCTGCATCTGCAGCTCTCGGCTTGATCCAGGCATCAGCAGTGGAGATGCAGTCAGTCCGTCTGCTGCCAGCTGTCTGCTCGGACTGCTGGAGCTCATGGCCGGATTCTCTCTGTTTAGAGAGAGAAAGGAGAAAACATGAGAGCGAGTCCAACAATAAAAAGAGCGGATTCAAGATAAGGAATCGACCATCACGAGTGACTGATATTTTTGGTTTAAAATATAAAACTGTATCATTATTTTCCAGACGAGTTTCTCTCTTTCCCTTACCTCGTTGGGCGGTGGAAATTTGACTACGAAGCTGCGTTTCACCAGTTTCCACTCGGCCCCAATTAGCCTGCGCACAGTGAACTTCCGCCCAGCTCACTTTTCCTGCATCATCAAAGTTGACAGCCAAAAACTGAACATACAAAGTTTGTGAGTCTCCTCTTGTCTCATAAAAACCAGCAGCAGACGTAGCTGATTATTGATCTGCATCGATATGATCGCTCTGACAATGATCGCTCGTGTTGCGGACGGGCTGGCGCTGGCTGCGTCCATTCAAGAGGATGAACAGGTATGAATGAAAACTGGATTATTACTCTATGAAAGTGTCACCTTTAATGAATGGATGTTTACAGACTGTGCGGCAGCAGCGGTGAACCTCTCAAAAACAGGAAAACGCCCAGTTTGCTTTGTGTGTTTTGATAGGAAAACAACAATGACTAGATGTGAACAGCTGTTTACTTAAAGCTCCTGTGAGGAAGTTTTGAAGTAGGGGAGAGTGGGATAAAATGAGCCATGTTTCATATTTCGGATCGCTACATCAAGACAATCATAGTTTTGTCTCTAACTAGTGTATCTGTATATATTTCAAGATGTTGTGCATCCCTGCAAACCAACAGAATGAGTGTAAACATAACTGTCTTGATAATATGCCAAAAAAAAGTGGTCTCCTATGGTCAACCAGGGTAAGTTGACCAAAGTTTCCTCTAGAGCAAACATCTGAGAAACAGCCAGTCTGCAGTTTTCTCTCTTTCATCCTAAGAAAGTAAAAGAGCTAACCACACTGTTTTGATATGATGATTATAACTTCAAGGAAATGATAAAGTAATGGTCATTAATGTTCTACCTTGAGCTGCGTCACCCCGCATCAGTCCGTAATGGACTCTCCCGAGATCTCGCTACAAACAAGCGTAGGTGAGTTGTGTTTAGTCTCTCTGCTTAAGAAATTAGGCAAAGTTTAAAAGATGTTTGGTGGCTAGTGCTGTGGCTTGGACCCTATATGTACTGTTGATGAAGTTAGGTGCTGTTCTGAGCATTATTTGTGGCTATAGAGTGGCGTTTTTGGTTGAGCGTGTGGCTCCTGGGCCTGTTGTGTTTTGCTATCGTGTAATTGTTACTAAAGTTGGTATAACTAGAGAAGCAAGCAACATTAATCTCTCGAGGGGGTGTCTAACTTGGTGTTAGGGTGTGTTTGACCCTAAATTAATTTTACAGTCTACAGTTAATGGGGTAAGTTGACCATAGGAGTGGGTAAGTTAAGTCGTATCCCTACCACCACCCCACTCTCCACCCCAGCCCTCCCTCACCTTCTCTCTCCATAAATAACAGTCACTTCTTCATATCCATGTGTATTTTTATCTATTATACGCAATTCAACTGGTACAATAATTCTTCTCATTAATATTGCATATAACTGCTAAAAAGTTGTTTTATAAAAAGCCATTTTAACATGAGAATGTCTTTAAGTGATTCAGAACATTCACAGCTGTATTTTTGAAAAGAAAAAGTAACACATTTCAACAATCTGAACTGAAACTCTGATCCTCTCATCAGACTCCTTTACTTTCTCTGTTGAGCCACTGGCTCAACTTACCCCAGAACTACTATTAAGAATTTATTAGTCCTCTAAGCTAAAATAGTGGACTTTTATGTCCTTTTATGTTAGGTGCTTCTAACCTTCACAGACTCCATGAATTGATGCCCATCTCCTAAATATTTGGTCACATGATCAATTTCTTTTACCATTTCCAAGCAACAGGGGTTGGCTCAACTTACCCCACTCTCCCCTATTTGTGAAACAGACTGAATTTAAAACTGATGAACAGACAAAACAGACAACTAGACCATCAGCAAACGGTTTTATCAATTTCTGTAAAGTAACAGTTTGAATTCCTGTAGTGAGTGTGAGGGCGGTAGGTGTTAGATGATTCACTTTGCTGCACAACCATGAAAAACTCTTTTTCCACAGCAAGTACTCACAATGTGGGAAACTTTTGACTACTAAAGGATGCAGGATCCGATTCGTTTAAGAAGTGAACATGATTGACACATGCGAGAGAAAAGAAGTAAAGAAATAGGAGGTGTGGCTTAGCCTATAGGGGGCGTCAAAAATTTAAAACAAAAAGCTCTGTCTGGAGCAGATGTGAAATTTAGGACATTACTTTTTTCCCAGTTTTCTACACAGAAAGGTAACATGTAAAAGCCTGTATTTGACAGATGTATGTACTTTTATATATTTAGGATTTAGGATTTTATTTCGGTATAATATGACTGAAAGGCTGTATAAAGACCTACCCCTTGTACCATACATCGAGTACATTATACAGATACACTCCATATTTCCATATAGTTCCATGTTTTCACCCCTTTTACAGACACACAAAAAATTTTGACATTTGTTTGCGCTTTCGGTTTCTCAAATAATACACGGTTTCTCTTAGGTTGTTATTAGAGTCCTTTAGTTTAAACAGGTTCTGGACATGTTGCAGTAGGGCTAGGTTTTTGGCTTTGTATACCAGCTTTGTAGTTTTCATCTGAAATCATTAGATTTATCTCATGGATGAATATCTGTTTTTTTTGTTTGTTTGTTTGTTTTTTTACGATTTTAACGTATTTTTCTTGAGATGACATTACTAACATTTTTTTACTGTTTTAAGTTCCCAGTACAGCCAATAAGGTGAGCAATTCCATCCTGAAATCCCTTATCAATAAGGATTAGAATATCTATTTATGAACAAAGCCTGAGGTAAACAAAGCTTGTTTCCTCATAATAATAGGATAATTGTCTGAGTGTGCCATGCCACCATTGCCTATACTAATGAGCCACATTAAGCCTTTTTCTGTGTTTGTTTGTTTGTTTGTGCTTTTGCAACTGTTGGGATATTAATAAAGATTTTCTGCTGTAACATCAAGATCTCAAAAGAACTCCTGAAATTAAAACATTATTGCGATAAAATGAAGTGAACTAAATGTGTGGATGCATGTCTGCCAAGGGCTACCATAGAGACAACATGTCACACCGGTGTTAATCTTGATTGAACATTAACTGAATAGTTTCAGATTTAGCAGTTTTGACCTTAAGCTGTCCTCTGCTCTTTTTTTACAGTCAGGAAGAGACCTCCAGCAGTTTCAAAGTCAAGCCAAACAGCTTTTCCGCAAACTTAACGCTCAGAGTCCAGACCGCTGCACCCTGGAGGCTGGGGACATGAACTTCCAGTAAGTCACCAGACGAAACTAGCACTGACGTTTGCTGGGGTATTTTAAGAAAGTTGAGTCACCTCTGTGATAATGCACAGTTAAATTTATGAGTTTTATTATGATGCATCTATCACCAAAAATCACCACTGAGTTTAACTGAAGGTCTTTTGTTTCCAGCTACGTCATAGCACAGGGTGTTTGCTACCTCTGCCTCTGTGACTCTGCATTTCCAAAAAAGATGGCCTTTGCGTACCTAGAAGACCTCCACTCTGAGTTTTATGAGCAGTATGGAAAAAAAGTGCCTACAATAACAAGGCCATACTCTTTCATTGAGTTTGGTAAGACTGATATTCATACAGTACTATAAGGAAACACTGTGTCCTCCTTGATGAAGGTTTTAAAACTTAATGATCCATTTCATAATCCCAGACACGTACATCCAGAAAACAAAGAAGTCGTACATTGACAGCAGAGCCAGGAAGAACTTGAGCAGCATAAGCACTGAGCTGCAGGATGTGCAGAGGATCATGGTGGCAAACATTGAAGAAGTTCTGCAAAGAGGGGAGGCTCTTTCTGGTACGTAGTAGCATAGCATGCCAGCACACATCACCACAGAAAATACTAAGAATGGGACACAGTCAATTATAATTGCATACAAATCCTTTGTAACAAAATTCAAATACACGTTTAACCAATATTGTCCTCAGCTAGCACTCAGTCCTACTTCGTTTTCCCAAAATCTTGAGTTTAATGAATTTTAAAATGATCAATTGTAGGGTATTAAAGGTCCCTGCAACCCCTGTAATCTGTTTTCTTACTTTATTATACAAATTTTACAACTTTCCATATGTGCATCCACTGCAAACTCTCAATTTTCTCTCTTTCTTCAGATCTAGACAACAAAGCCAGCAATCTATTCGGCATGTCACAGAAATACCGCAGTGATGCAAAGTACCTGAACACCCGCTCCACATACGCCAAGGTGGCTGCTGTGTCAGTGTTCTTCCTCACACTCATCATCTATGTGCGATTCTGGTGGCTGTGAGGGACTTTCAATGAGCACTTTCACTCTTGGGAGGAGTACAGAGTTCACAACAAGAAGTTAAAGTGATCCTGTTAAATCTCTGTTACTAACCAGGTGCCTTAAAGAGGTCACATTCACTCTTTCTCTGATGGAAACTCTTCCTTTGCTTGATTCATCTGTGAATTACTTAATGTGAACAGTATATATATTAAGCTGTAGGTCTTAATTCTTAAACATGGTGCGTTCATGGTCCTGTTGACTGGAATACAAAGAGCAGCGTGTTGATTGTTGGATGATGTTTACACACTGTTAAAGGGTTCTCCTCAGTTGGAGCATTAAGGAGAAAACCTGTTTGGATTTGGAGAGGCTTGTATGAAAAGAGTCTTAATATTGTGATGAATGAATGTTTGCTGTTTAAAGTTTACATTGTAAAAAAAAAACAAAAGTCTTCTTAAAAAGATTAAATATTTATCAAATACTCTGTTTACAGCTGCATGTGTGACATTTGTCAGTGTCAGTTGTTCTTCTCATAGTATAAACACACACTTGTAAATCAGTGTTTATATAGTTTCTTACTTGTCAACACTGTGAGCTGTTGTTGTTCACAGAAAGAACACACTATAGAGAGCAAACAAGGTGGAGCCAAAGTTTCCCCCTCACACAGTTTCTACATGCTGCTCTTTACTGACTGTGTGATGGTGGTAGATGATGGAGAGGGCTAAAAAAATGAAGACAAACCTGAGGTTAGCTGCAGGACTAGCATGGGGTTTTTCGACCTCAAAGTGTGTCACCGCTTACTGGGGTACAAGCTTTGCTCATTTTAGCTGCACATACATCCAGAAATCTGGTCTATGAAGCAAATTCAGCAAAATAAGAGTGTCTTTGCACAAGCCGGCTCATCAGAACCTCAGGCCCAAGTCTGAGATAAATGGTCTCACAAAGGTAGGAATACTCTGATAAACAGCACAGATTTACTTTTTCTTCCTAAGCTAACAACTTTGAGGTATTTTAATGTCTGTTGTATTCCTATTACAACATGAACATCTTAAAGTGACACATTACAGCATAACAAAACATTTCCAGTAAATGTATTCTTGATATTTAGGCAATGTGCACACTGCCGAAAAGAGTAGTTTTATAGTATCCCCTTTGAAAATGACCAATCATACTTGAGGAGTTTGCAGCTGCAGTGGGGTGGACACTGAGATTTCAAGGGGTGCCAACGCCACCCTTCCGCATGCGCCCCTGGCCCTGTCCTACAACCACATCATCAGGAGTGTGAGCTCCCCAGTGCAGACTTGCCAGCGCCAAGTTAGGCAGTTTCTTGAGTCAGCATTTCTGCAGACTTAATTCCAAGATTTAACCAGCATCCATTGTGAACTCAGCGGTGTGCAAGATGAAATCAAGATTAGTTCTAACAACATGTAAACAAAGTTTGTATGTAGGAGCATTCAATGAAGTATGAGAAGAATTACACATGATTTAATCTTTTCAAACGACCCAAATCTCTTGGGTCTATACAGCTCAGGTACATTATTTTAAACATTTTTGTTTGTTTAATTATGACACCATACAGCAGCCTGCTTTTCTGCATCTACACACCTCTTGTGGACTGTGCCAGATTAAACGAGCTGTGTCCCTCTTTGAGTGGACCTGTGTGATTGTACTTTTGTTTTCTGATTAAATGAACCAGTGTACTCAGATCTGGGCCTAGGTCTCTAAAGTGAAACCAACCTCATGAAGCAGGTATGAAATGAGTTTTCCACACACTACATATTAGATCACTTTTGCTGTTACTCCGATTGTTGATCGTGATTCAGTTTAATATTCTCAGTGGATACATGAATGCCCTAAATATGGACACAAATCCATGTTAGAGATTAATGCTGGAATCATTTAACTGCCAATCTTTTATCGGTGTGGCGTGATATCATGAGGATGTGCTCCATTGATCATTTTTGCACCATTTCAAGTTATCACAGACTGCACACCTGATGTTACTGAAGTCAGTGAGGGCTTAGGGATTGGATTTATGACAAGATGACAACAAAGAATCAAAAATGCTTCACAAATAAATCCAGATAAACATTATTCAATTTTTATGTTCATTTGCATGTCAGTGTTTCAGTAATACAGAAAAATGATCAAGAGACCAACCTGACTCAATGGTATAATTTATGCTGCTGCAGGTGCAAAATTTCAAACTGTAACTTTGTCAATTTAATGATTCAACAAATTATCATACAGCTATTCTCTCAGTGGAGAATTGTCACTCCTCATGAAGAATCTAGTCAGGAAAAAATAGTGACAGTTTATTGACCTGAAGCTGAATCACATCCAAGGCAACAGCATGAAGATCCCTCTGCTGGAGGAAGCTGTGCAGTGAACATCACCATGGTGATCCAGTCATGCGAACAGAGAGGCAGCTCCTTCGTGGTGAATTCTGCATCTTTATACCAAACATACCAATCATTCTTGGTTTCTGCAATCCGAGTGGTTCAGAATTTGATTTCGACAAAAACACAACCAGATGACTCGTCTCTACCTCCTGGATGAATTTTGTCAATGGGTGTCCAGGTGGAAGTTTAGATTTGATGTTTTTGGAAAAGTGTAATCTTGAAGAGGAAAAGTCCTGAAGTTGTTTCTTCTCTCCCAGATCAGCTCAAACTTTGTTCGCTTCTCTTGCCAATTAAAAATTCAAAGGATAGTCTAACAGTTTTCTCCTGGGTCCTAGAGTCCTCCCACTGTTATGGGAACCCAGTTCATGTCCTTTCTCTGTCAAACTGGATGATGAATGGATGTCAATGTTTCTGATTTACACCACCAGATCAAAGTCGTCCCTCTGTAGAAAGATACCAATAATAATTGTAGTAAATATGTGCATTACAGCGCATTACAGAAAAATGATCAGACTCCAGTTCATTTTATGGTCATGTGCAAAACAAAGGGTTTATTCAGAAAACTACCAAAGACCTTCAAAGCTTTTGAGGCATAATTGCATTTTAATTTCAACATTTATAAGAGAGCGGATGTATAATCCGATCTTCAACATTTACTCACCTCTTCATTATAATTCATGACGTGTTGCTTGATCTTTGAAGAGTCCACCCACGTGACAAAATCCTCCATGTTTCTGAAGAAGTGAGAGCCAAAGTTTGATTATTTAAGATGCTTTTGCACAAAGTTGAAACTGTGAAATAAGATTGTTTTTGCACAGCAGGCAGCATGTGTGTGAAGGCCGTGTACAGCAGGTGAGAAGGACACATGCTAAGATGATGAAAGAGAAAAATGGACACTAACCTTGTGACTAGAAATGCAGGGTCTGTGATGATTTCTGGACCAACACGCACATCTGCAAGTGAGTCAAGTTTTAAACAACAAAAGAAGTTCTGCCCTTTCTTCAGGAGAATACTCAAAACAAACAAGAGATTGTGCAGGAATAAACTCTTGAAATAACACCGTGCTAAAGGATACGTCCTTGTTCGATGAATGTGATGGCTGTTTTTAAATTCTGAGCCATACGCAGGTTAAGCATGATGCTGGGCAGCCTTCTCCTGCAGGAGACAGAAGGGGGGAATAAAATAAAAGTACAAACAAAGCAGTGTGAAGTGTTCAAATCAGACATGTTTCTGGGATTTTTTTACCTGCAGAATGAGGAAGCTGTGACTTTCTCCGTTAGAGATAAGTTCTGTCTTGTCGGGATAAGACCAATGCTGTACCTGAATGTAAGGAGACAAAAAAATCATTACAGACAACTGGAAATCTTTTAACATCAACAAACTGTAAAAAAACAAACAAACAAACAAACAATAAAGCCCACTGATTGTCAGCACACGGATGATTGTGAGCAGAACACAAACTCACAGTTTTTCAAGCAGATGGTGTGAACTCTGAGCTCTGAAGCCATCTTTTTCATCCAGGTCTCGGATTTTCTGAGTCAGTTCCCTGATGTTTCGACTGAGCTTGTTGTACCTGAAAACACAGAGAAATATACTGTCACCAAAGAGTCACTGGAAACCTTAGATAAGGTACAACTGAACTGAGAATAACAGCGTACTTTATACGAGTGTGCTTAAATCCACCGGTATTCGATGATTTATTCCACTGAAATTGTACAAATTTAAATGAATATTTGCAGTATTATTTGGTGGCGTGGCTGTCAGTGTATTACTAATATGAATGTTGTCTTAAGATTTCATTTCTACACGGTTAGCAGTGATTTTTTTAATTTCTAAACCTATTTAAGCGTATCAAACTTTGATTACTCACGCTAAAGCATAAACATAATCGTAACATGATGGTATTCACTGATTTTAGCCACACTGTAGCTTTTCTCCACTCACTTGGTATAGTCCTCCCTCTTTTCGATGCGATACTTCCGCAGCACTTTGACCTCGTGCAGGTTATTATCCACCTCCCAGTTGATGAAGTCAACCTTTTTCAGCAGCTTCTGCTCATGAAACTTTAATTTACGAACCATCTTTACACTTACTTCTATTCAAATCCACTCAATTTACAAGACTCCTTTTTCCCATGCACTGAGGAGGTGGAAACACGGGAAACACGTGTTTGTTTTTTCTTCTTCGTCGGCGATAATTTATGGTCCAGACTGAAGTGGACAAAGCCACAGCGCCACCTAGTGCACCTCATTGATACCTACATTTTCACCACCTGGATACGTCATAATAAACTCTTCTAATTTTCTAAATATCAGAATTAAATGTTGTGCATTCCTGCAAACCAACAAAATGAGTATAAACAAAAACTATCTTTATAATATAGCATGCCAGAAAAAAGTGGTCTCCTTGTGTATGGGGTAAGTTGAGCCGTATCCCTACCCCCCCCCCCCCCCCCCCACACACACACACACACACACACACACACACACTCTTCACCCCAGCCCTCCCTCACCTTCTCTCTCCCTAAATAACATAAAAGAAAAAAACAATAAAAGCTGTTTTGTAAAAAGCCATTTTAACATGAGAATGTCTTTAAGTGATTCAGAACATTCACAGCTGTATTTATTAAAAGAAAAAGTAACACATTTCAACAATCTGAACTGAAACTCTGATCCTCCCATTAGACTCCTTTACTTTCTCAGTCGAGTCACTGGCTCAATTTACCCCAAAACTACTATCATGACTTTATTAGTCCTCTAAGCTAAAATGGTGGACTTTTATGCTAGGTTTATAACCTCATGTTGTAGCTCATAGATACCACAATTGATGTATAAAACAAATTTAAAATGATCTTCTTTTGGTCTGAACACAATTCTAATAAAACTTATGACAGAATAAATTCTGTAAAAAATGTTTGGTTTTTTTTAAATAAATGTCTAACCCCTTCACCCATGTGCTTCTAACCTTCAGACTCCATAAATTGATGCCCATCCCGAAATATTTGGTCACATGATCAATTTCTTTTACCATTTCCAAGCAATCTCATCTGTGACCCTGCCTCACCTCAAACATCGCTTTGTCGGTGTAAATTTCCTCCAGCAGGTGTCCCTAAAGCTTTACAGCCCGTGGTCCAAACATCGGTCTATTCATCCTGGAGAGAGAGAGGGGGTGGGCGAGGTGTTACTCCTCACACTGAAGGTATGCTGAGTGTACACTGACTAGTGCCGTCTTCATCTCACAGAGAGAGTCTTTCTGGGAGAAATATCAGCCGGAGTCACCTTTATTTCTGAGCTTTACGAGCGTTTAAAAGATCCAAAAGTAGAGGACTGTTCAGCGGAGGAGTCTGTGGGACCTGTCAGCAGCCTCGTCCTGAGCTGAGACCCCTGACAGGTAAGTGACAGTGAGATGGAGAAACCGTAATGTAGTTAGACCATTCATAGAGGCAGATTGAACTCCAAACAAAGGACTTAGTATTCATTCTGTTTGAGCACTTCCTCCTGCAGCTTTCTCTTCATCTGTCAGGGTCAATTTGTTATTTAGCAACACAAATAAGCAAGTCAGCGACTCTTGGACAATATTCACGTGAGGAATCGGAAATTGTTCTTTGACTTTGTTTTTTCTCTCCGGTTTACCCTGTGACGGATCCACATCCTTATGTCTGTGTGAATTCCAATATTTAATCAGGTTCACACCCATCCAAACAAAAGAATGAATCCGTCCAGAAGATTACTCTGCAATTAGTTCTGATCGTACAACAAATAACCGCACCGGACCCAGGTTTTCAGAGGCAATCTGCAGTCTGACCTGTTTGCCACTCCACTGTTGTGTTATACCCTGTCCTGTATGTCTTAGTTTCAAAGAGCCATAATTATACTTGTCCTAAATGTTTACAAAGGTGGAGCACTGCAAACACACACACACACACACACACACACACACACACACACACACACACACTGCTTTCTCTGACCTTAGGGGGGTTGCTGTTATCTGATGCTACATCTGCTCTGACATAGTGGTAAGATAGAGTACCTTGACAGAGGTCTTGTTGCAGGCCAAAGAGGGTCTGTTGGCTTACAGGAAAGTATTTTTTAAAGATGTCTGGTTACAAATAAAAATTTATTTGTTTGTTTATAGAGTTTTATTACTTTATAAAAGGGTTGGAATTTCAGAGACCCCTTTGAACCAACTCGACCAGTCATGTCTGAAATATCTGGGGGAGGGCTCTCTGTATAACATCTGTGTTAAAGTGGCACACTCATTGTGTGCGACAGATTTAGAGGTGTTGGGCAGGACTGGGTTCAGTTTTGATCTGAAAGGTTGCTTGGTGATTTTGTGTGGAGTTTTAACACGAAACATGTGCCTGCCAGAGATGTTCACATCTTTGTTTTACCAAAGAAGGGACCGTTTTACATTTGTCTCTACGTGCTGCTTACATGCTGCTCCTTAAATGAACATGTTTTCAGAGTCAAGGAGCCCTGTATAAATGATCTGTGCAGGTCTGACCACATTTGGCTGGTTACGCAGTGCACGATCTGAGAGAGTGTAGGGCGCAAAGAGGATGTACTATGGTCCCTTGGTTATTTAGGGGTGTGTTTTGAACATGTATCAAACCAGAGTGTCATCTTTCATTCATATCGGAATCAGTTGCGCTTCACAGCAGGCGCGTTGGGATTTAAAAGGCAGATTTCAGTCTTTTTACTTTAATACAGCCGGCTTGATCTGGCACATTTGAATGCTCTTATGGAAACTGATGCAGTGAGTGCTGAAGATGAGGGACAGGTAAGCTGTTCATCTTAAATTACTTCTTTTTGCTTCTTATCACATGGCTCTATTATGTAGTGTGTACATAATGGATAGTTGGCTTTCAATGAATATCTAGGGGCACCGCTGTCAGTGGCACTAAGGGTTAAAATTACCCTTTAGTTGTGTGTGTGTGTGTGTGTGTGTGAGTGTGTGTCTGTTTCTGCATGTATTCAAGAGATTGCACCTGAAGAAACATGACGGTGACATCTCAGGCTTGTTTTTAGCCTTCGCTGGGCTGAGATGAGGATGTCCTCGTCTTCTGGCATCCTCAGTTCAGTGCTATAGGAAAAGAGGTACTGTAAATAGAGATGTGCTGAAGTTGATAGATGATACAGATGTTTTTTCCATTACCTCTTTGAAATTTTTGTATCTGATGTCGTGAACGAGCTAATCGTTTCGGGTACCTCATCTACCGTCCTGCTTAAATGTCCCTGGAACATGTCTTACAAACTTCATGTGGCTGTTCTTTTTCAGATGCTGTGTAATTTTCCCACAACGCATATATTTTTTTCACATTTGATCATGAAGATTAATCAGTTTGTCCAGAGGGGACTTCTCCTTTTCATTAAGAACAACTTCTATTAGTCAGTAGTAAGGTGTAATGGCTTTCCAGTTTCACATCAGTGTGGCAAAGATAAAGATAAGATATAGGGTACAGATAATAATAGGCTACGGTCATTGGCGTGTGACACATTATTTGCTGATATGCCAACATCTGTCAACAGGGCCGCTGTTTGCTTACACAGATCATTTGATACACACTGATCCACCCTTGATATTGATGTATGGAGAGGGAAACATACACTCATCTCTTATCACCGATAAAAATCTCTTTGTCTTCTTGCTGTATCCTTCACTGCTTTGTGTTTCTGTATGTGAGTAAAAAACAAAATAAAACATTTTGTGAAGTCCAAACAGGTAGTCCTCCATCTGGAATTTCATCTTAAAACAAGACATTTCCCAGTCCTTTTCAGATTAACTCCTACATCCATTCACCTGTTTCACTAAAATTTGGTGTGCAGCTTCTATGCAAAACTCAAACAACGTGGCCACAGCAGCCCCTCACATTTTGACAAAAAAGACTAATTCTCAGCTATTTCTTTAAATGATACTTGGATCTGCTTCTCCAGTGTTCTTATACACTGAAGCTTTGAGACATGGAACTATCAAGCTTAGATTAGATACAACTTTATTTGTCCTTTTGGGAAGGTTCACTCAAGGGTAGGGAAACCACCACAAACAATATTTTTATTGAGCCAGGAGTGCCTGCTTTAAATCAACACAAGACTCTGTTCTGCTGGTAAATGTACCAACCTAAAGGATCTCCAGCACTGACTGTCCTTTGTCTAATATAGAGCAGCTACACAGTCTGCAGCTGTGCCAAATACATACACAGCAAGATGTGAGGAGCCAGTCTGTGCTGCGTGCAGCTCTAATTTAATTACTTCTTTGGTCATCAGTAGTAATGTAATGTAACCTTTCATTTTAGTCTGTTAAGGAGGGCCCACCCCTCATTAACTCTTCCTGCTGAGCCAAAATAAAGATACACTAATAAACAATGCAGTCAATACATTGCTATTGCAAAACACAATTATTTTACATTTCTTAGTCACGATGCATTTCATCATTATTCACAGACCTGCTGTATAGTCATTCAACTGTTTTGTGGGCCATATATTGGGTGTATACTTTTTAAAGTATTGTGTAGATTATTAGTCACTTTTTATAACTGGATAGGATGGGTTAAAATATTTTTACTTTTGGTTTCCAGAGCAGTAATTGCTTTTTGCAAAGAACTACTTAAAACATGTGTCTGTGATCAGTGCTTAGCAGCATTTCATGTCACTTCCTTCCAAGTGAGCTCAGTCCTTTTTTTTTATTATCTGTTTTATTTGTTTGAGATGATTAGAGAGGGGGGAAATTGAGATGGGTATGATTTAAGTTGTACAAAGATTCTGCATATGAAGAAGATTATTCACATCTGCCATAATCAGCAGATGTTTGTCCTGACTTGTTTGAATAAAGATAAACAAGTGAGGAGCTCCTTGCATGGCCTGCAGCTAAAAATCAAAATCAACCATATTCTTAGAAGGAGGGAGCGAAGTTTGCTGTGTGTGTAGACACACACACATATATATACACACACTAACAGAGCAGGATTGTGCAACAGTGCCCCTCTGCTCAGCCGAGCAGCTGCATAAGGAGGTCAGTGTGTTGAACACACCACACCTCCTGTTCTGTCAGCACTCCTCTGGCCTCTGTGACTCGTCACACATCCTCTGGAACAGCATACCCAATTCACCAAAGTCGTGTATATAATATGGCTAAATGAACTCTGTCTCTCAGTATGGTTGGATTCACACATTCCCACACGTGTTACTTTTGTTTAATAATCAAACAACCTAAAAAAGTCTCTCCTCTTAAAGTTGTGGAAAACCTAACACAGAAAAGTGCAACAGTCCACCTGAACCCTTTGCACTCTCAGGTCTACTCTGGTAGGAGAAAAAAGATCCCATTTTCTCCCTCCTGTTCGAAGAGGCTGCAGAGGCTTAGTTGCAGCAAAGTTTTTCCTCTTGAATTTCACAACTTTTCTACCTTTAAGTTTTGAAGCATTTTGATGATGTGCTGATTAACATTTTAAATGGAAAAAAAAACAGAGAAAAATATCCATCAGCAAGCCTACAGGGTGCTGTAGATTTTGGTAACCGGTATCTCCAAAGCCAAACCATTAATGCATGATAGGCTGTGACTATCTATTAAATACACAGTTTGAGGTCGAATGCCTACAATTGACACACTTCTTAAGTTAAAGTACACAAGTAGAGAACAGATTTCAATTAACAAACAACCAAAACAGCAAATGAAAACTTTAAAAATAATGAAGTCTGCTCAGAAAGAAGTGTATAACAGGTTTTTTCCTTGTTAAACCGGACACTAATTTGTAGTAGCTTACCAAAACATGTGTTGAACCTCCATTTACACCTCTCACAACATGTTTTGGTTTGTAAACTTATCTCTGTGTATTTGATGTTCAATATTTATCTGAGAAACTTGTCACCCTGTCAGAGACTCTTTTGAGATTTACAGAAGGAACCAAACAAAGAGAAATACTGTATTCAAATAAATTTGAAGTTGAAGACGGGATATGTCATCCAAATTTGAGTGGCTTTGATTTGATTTTACTCTGCACCTAACAAGGGTCAAATTACTGAGTATTTTTGCAGCATCTTTTTATCAGTACTACACTTTGAAGATGGTCCCTGCACACTCACCTTAAGGCTTAATAAACAGGACCATTGTGGGAGGATTGTTATTACAAGCCAAGAATAGAGATGCTATTGAAAACAGCTGCAAATATTATAAGAACATTTATTTTGAAACAAGATATTGTTATACTTAATTCAAGGAACAAATTAATCAAACATTGCCTTTAAATGAGAAATTAGTCGGCCAATTGATTGGGCAGATTAATGGCAGCTTGACATATTCTGCATCATATCAGCATCGGTCCTCACAAGACTGATACAACTTTACTTTTTTCATTTAAAAGGTCTTTTTCTCATCACCCATTAACCACAGAGCATATCTAAAACATCACTGGCTGATGTTTTAATTTGAATCCTGTTATGTGTAAAATAAAATAATGCAGTTTAGTGTTAAAAGCATTTGACATCTTTAACACAACACAAAGTGTTTGTCTGTCCGTTGGTTCTTTAAAATCTATCCAAATTATGTTACTTAGGCTACTGAAGATTTTTATATGTATGCAATGTTGAATCTGTCTATGGCTTTCTTTTTTTAAATTTGGACTTAAATATTTACCTCACAATATTTTTCTTCCTTAAAAAATTCTGATTTCCAGACAGAAATCTAAAAGTTCCTTGTGGCAATTTTTGACAGATTCTTCTATCTACATAATTTTTTTTGATAACATGTTGACTCAAGTTCAGTCATTTGGTTTTTCGTTGTGTGTGTCATTAAATTGTTGTATTTTGTCAAACACAGTAGATTGACTTATATTGTGATATCAGCGTTATATATCGGCCATCAGACAACCTGCTCTCTCGTAATCGGTGTTGCCATCAGCCATGAAAAACTGTAATCAGTCGACCTCTGCTTTAAATTACTTAAATTTGGACCTGTAAGTATAAATGTAGTGTAATGAAATAATTTGGTTAGTACTAGGCTTGAAAAAGATTTGAATTTTTCCAGTGTAAACGTTATTTTAACTGTCCGCTTGCAGTCCATGGAGAGTTGTACGTTGGGGAACCATTTTTAACTCAGTAAGTGATGCCATGTAAAAGGTATCACAATGCAGTTCTTTCTCCTGAAAATACATAAAGTAAAAGTGAAAGTACTGCTTATAAGAACTACAAGAAAAGCGGAAGCACACAAAAAAATCTCTCTCACTGTCATGTGAGTAAATTTAATCAGTTACTTTCCACCCCTTGATTCATGTACTGAAAAGTGAATAAAAAAAAAACACAAGTAGGACATTGAAACTGTAAGTCTGAGGTAGAAGCTCTGACCAGACAAATTATTTTCTATGTGGATTAAAACATTTTGATGATTTTTCCAGAGGAAATTAAAATTATCCTTTTGATGTCACTTTCTATGAGATGTCTTTGAAAATCAGCTCCAAACTTTTCACAGGGGCTTTAATGTGCAGAAAAAAAACTCAAATCCTGCACGTCCTAAACCAGGAGTTTAAACAAAAGTCTAAAGTGAAGAGGAACTGTGTTTTGCTGACTAAGTGCTGCTCACATTCAGCCTCAGATTCACCAATGATTCACCATTCCTGAATCAGCAGCTTGTGTACTGGTGTGACATCTAGGCCAAGAATAGAGACAGTGACAGTTATTTTTCCTCAAGTTTCTTTCTGAAGTACCTGTTTTTCCTTTTACTTGTCTTAAAGCTGTTTTATGTGGGAGGGAATGCCCTTCACTCAGGACACTGCCTCAGGCTGCAGATTTCTCTTTAACTACCCTTTTACCACTAACCAGCATTCCTGTCCCGACTCTGTAACTCCTCTGAAGTTTACCCCCTCTGTAGACCTCTGTTTTCTTCTCCCTCCTTTTACAGTTTTTCTCTATCTTTGCCCCCAAAAAACACTCTTTCATTCTGTCTCTTTTCTTCCTATTTATCCAGCAGCCTCCATCATCACTTGCAGACTCAGACTCAGAGGTCCCCACCATGGTCCTGCCCTCGTCACACTCTTCCAGGCTAAAGTATGTGTCTTTAGGGGTGCTGGTGCTGCAGACCACTTCTCTGGTGCTCACCATGCGCTATTCCCGCACCCTGAAGGAAGACGGCCCGCTTTACCTAGCCTCATCCGCTGTGGTGTCAGCCGAGGCGCTCAAGATTCTTGCCTGCATTTTCCTCGTCTTCAGGGAGAACAGTGAGTAACAGGGCTGGGTGAGAGGAGGAAGGGGGGTCTCTTTACAGTTATAGACTTTGTGTCTTGACTCCATGTGTGGTCTCGGTTAAATTACTGTCAGCACACCCCGTATCTCTGTCAGGTTTCAGTGTGCGGGCGATGAACCAGCTGCTTAAGGAGGAGATTGTGAACAAGCCTCGAGAGACCCTGAAGCTTGCCATTCCTGCAGGGATCTACACGCTGCAGAACAATCTGCTCTATGTTGCCTTATCCAACCTGGATGCAGCCACGTATCAGGTGACTCAGGACTCTGCAAACTCAATCTCACTGAAAAATATCTGTGTGTGTGTGTTTGCAATTTAATTGATTTCTGGAAATTTAAATTTTTTAAAGGTATAAGTAATATCTCAACAGAGAAATTAAAAATCATACAATATTGGATCTGTAATAACATAAAAATCTTACAGTACCTTAGGCAATTCCCACTGTATTCAAACCCACAGAGATACTCAAGTTAATTTCAGAGTTTTTCAGTGCCTTTTAAGGTGTCCAGGTCTTTGACTGTCGTGACCATTTTTTGGGGGATCTCGCAGAGGAATTAACCCAGCTGATTTACTCTTTTCATATTTACAGTTTACAGTCTTTACCACTTTCCTGTCTTCATCATATTTCTGTGTTGTTCATTTTTAGTTGATTCAGCCTATGATACTAATATTTTCAACTAATCACCTCAGGAAGTGGACAGGTATCACTTGTGGGATATCTCTAGGCTCAGTTCTTGGACCCCAGTCTTTTTTGATAGAATAAATTGTGACCATAGTGTTTGTTTTTTGGTTATGATGAAAACACACAGTCAGAATTATATCTACAATTGGACCTAAACACTGTCTTTTTAGGAAATATTCATGAAATTGTATTTTTTTTCTGCAGGAGTCTTCATTTTAGTATTGGAAGATTCAAATTTGTTTTCTGCCATGTTATGAAAGCTAACCAGCATTAAGATTTTCTAACTTCTAAGGACAGTTATGAAAATGTTTGATTTCATCTTCGCTCAAAAAAAAAAAAATCTTCTCTGGAAAACAAAAGCAGTTATTTGTACTTTTTCATGAATCTACATAAATAGAATGTAAACAGATTGGCTCACCCATCTTTTCCTCTCACAGTGGCTGTGTCTTGTCTTTTATGATGAATTATTGTCAACTATTTTCATCAAATTAGCTAAGAACTTTAGCGGAGACTTTTTGCTTCCTCCAATCCTGGATCTAATCTCGATCAACCCCAATTCTGATCTGAGAGGTTTTCTAGAGCTTAGCGTGACCATCTTTCTCTGAAACTAACCTGAACTAGCCATCGACCCTCTTTACATGACCTGGTATTTGAATATGTTTTTCTTACACAATCATGATGTTGTTCATTCAGAAAGTTTAAAACCTGTTAATTGCAAGTAATTCACAACTACTTATTAAGTAAACGAGAGTGAGGCCTGCGAAAAATGTTAACAGTTGAGCCTCAAAATGAAAGATGACTGTGTGCAGTCTAAGTTGAAACGGATGTAATGTGAAACAGCTTTCAAGAAATTTGGCGAGCAAAACCAAAAACATCCAAAAACAACATTTTTAATGATTTTTAAAAGAACTTATAAAGACTTTGTATCATTTACAATGCTTTTCTTTAAACACTTCTTTAAGCACTTTTTAAAAGTTTAACTCTGACTGTTGGACTGTTTTATGAAAAACAATGTTTCCTAACAGTACTAACTATTTTAACTTCAAATTTTAGCAAATAATGTTCATCATTTTCTGCTCTTCACAGGTCACGTACCAGCTGAAGATCCTCACCACAGCACTGTTTTCAGTCTCCATGCTGGGGAAGAAGTTGGGTCTCTACCAGTGGCTCTCTTTGCTCCTCCTGATGGCGGGGGTCACTCTAGTACAGGTACTGAATTCTCTTACATATACTGTATGTGGTCTGTTTCAGTGATGTTAATATGATTTATCATTATCATGCAGTTCACTTGAAAATGAGTTACATTACTCTGCAGGTTTCAAGTGCTCTGCCTGTCCCTGCATGTGATTCTCAGTGTTTTAACCTCCACAGTGGCCCGCAAACTCGGAGGGAGACTCTGAGCAGAAGGTCCTGTCTGCAGGTTTTCACTTTGTGGGGCTGATGGCTGTGCTGATGGCCTGTGTGTCCAGCGGCTTTGCAGGAGTCTACTTTGAGAAAATCCTCAAAGAGACTAAACAGAGTGTTTGGGTCCGAAACATACAGCTGGGTGAGTAACCAGCCAATATGGGAGAGACGGCTCGTCTTAAAACCTGTTTTTTCTGTGCCTTCTCCCTTTTTCTGAAATGCTGAACCATCAAAGCACTTTTGGACAGAGTATGAAACTGGAAATTCCTTTGCAGCCTTGCAACTCAAAACTTGGTCTGATTTTTGACAAAAGTGCTACGTTATTCTAGAGGCTTCAGTTAGATATGAAAGCCTTTATCATCTTTCTGTGTGTACACTTACAACACATCTAACTGCTGAGTTGCCTCAGTCACCCTAAGTACTAATTAGCTATGGTACATACATTCGCCTTTGATATTTGTTTAGTTTTGACCTTTATCAAAATTATACTGTTCCTCACTGAACCTGGCATTACAAGTACTGCTCAGCCTGTCAAACAGGTACTTGTGGTTGTAAAAATGACCCTGATCATATCGTTTGTCGAGCTGTACTTAAACAAGAACTCAATATTGAGATGTCTTTGCATATTTAACTTTATTTTTCACAGCAATAGTATTCTCCCACCTAAGAGTTCCATTTCCAAGTGTCATTGCTAACAGGTTACGACACTGCGAGCACATTAAACATAGATGACACTTCACATTGCTGTTGTGATCACTGCCTTGTAAAAACTTAAATCTATTGACAGAGAAATTATTTGATGTTTGTATTACAATGTAAAAATATTGTCAGATGGGCTTACCTAATGTCAATACAATCCAGTGCTGGAGTCATGAGTTGAATCTCTCTGTGAAAGTTATGATGGTCTTGACTGTGGAGAAAAAGAGAGCAACTTTTGTCCGTATGGGAACCTCTGTCCTGGAACAGCATTTGTGTCAGTGCTGAACTGTACATGAGTTGTAAATGTTTAACATTTTGAAGGATGAACCAATTACTTATTAGTCGTCAGGAAACAAAGACAGTTTTACATCCTATCCAGTTGATGTATTTTGTGGGATCCAACAAGACTCTACGTGAAGCTCCATACTGTTCTCCAGCTACACATTACATTGTTATGCTAATGACACTCAGCTTTTTGGATTAGAACCAGTTTTTTGTGTTAACTATGTCTTGGCATTGGTCTTTAGGTCATAATATACTGTATATTTTTAAGCCAAAAAACACCTAAACCCTCATGTAACAGAGAAACTGAACACTTACTTCACCCGAGCCCACTTGTCATCTGACAAGAACCTCTTGAAGTCCATGAACCTCAAAAAGGGAAAGTTAATCAGTGTCAGAAAGGCTCTCGTGGCTGGATATACTCTTTTTGTTTGTATGTGTGTGTTACAATGGTGTAGGATTTTAAGGCTAAGTCAAGAAGACACTGCTTACAATTCATGTTATATGTATTCATTCTTTATGCACAAAAAAGGAGGTGATTTACAATAAGAGGAAGTTGATGTTGGATGTTTGCCAACACTGAAGTTCAAAAAATATGTTTTTTTTTCTTATTTATGGCAAATTTACAACAAATCTGAAATGTATAAATGTAACACCAGGTAATGCCACTGATTCTTTTGGGTTGCAAAACAGAGAGACTGAAGTTAATAAAATATCCTCAAGCCTGAACACAGATATCATGAAATTCTAAGTTTCAAAAGCATGTCTCAGGATATCTTGACAGATAATGTTTGACAAAGGTGGAAATCTGGCTGCCTTTAGACAACAAGTGAATTTTTCTCACTTCCTCTCGGCAGAGCTTTCTCTGAAAACGACCTGTAATTTGGTCCACCTGGTTGAACAGTTTACAACTTTCTCAACCAGGTTTTAAAAGAGATTTGTGAAGAGTCCGAACAACAAAAGCTTACTTAATTGGTGCTTTCACTCACTAATGAGAGGTTGCTCTGAATCAGATTGTCTTTTCCTGATGAGGAAGACAAGGTCAGGGGTTAAAGGTCATAGACAGTCTGATCATTCCTCTTTTCCTCTCCTAAGACCCAGCTCTTTAGAGAACACTATGCACTTAGATAGACCCACCTCCACTGTTGTTCCCAGTGGTCGAATGAGTCTCTCAGCTACAGTTAGCTCACACTGTCCTGCTCTACTTCTGGGATTTTGTGCCCAGCTCTTTGTGAGTGACCCAGCACTTGGTACTTTGGTCATTATTGTGGCGAAGCCAATTCAATTAATGGTGATGATAGAAGGTCTTACATTGGTGATTGGTTACTTCTTCTTCAAAAAAATAAAAATAAAAAATCCTTTATTCACTTTGTGCATTGCCTTGGCAGTACCTGTGTCCAAATGGACTTGAAGCACTTTGTGGCTCTTACTGGTCTTGTTTCCATCTTTGCTTGTATTGTTCTTGTTCTTTAATCTGTCAGTTTGGATAAAAAGTGACATTTTGACAGTGTTGGCTTTCAACAAATCTTTGAAATCCCACAGAAAACTAACTGCCTATTTTTCCAAATAAACTTATACTGTTTTTAATTATCCATACAGTATATTGACAGTTGCACCTTATGCTTTTCATGTGTAAAACAATTGAACCTTGTGTTGTAAATTTTTAGCCATAATCTTGATTACAGTGACCTCTAGTGGTGTGATAGGGTGATTGAACAACTGAGTGTCAAGAAACACACTCACAATCAACCAGCATCATCATTAAATGGTATGTGCCTTATATGTAACCTCACCTCTCTGTTTCTTCTTGTGTCCTCCAGGAATGTTCGGCTTCGTGTTTGGATTAGTAGGAGTGATAGTGTACGACGGTCAGAGGGTGAGACAGCTGGGATTATTTCAGGGCTACAACAGCATCACCTGCATAGTCGTTGGCTTACAGGTGATCCTCCTTTGAATCTAACAGTCATTTAAGAGGGTTGGTAGAATTTTTGTGTTTGTTTGAGTGCAGTCCTATTTTCAAGACACTGTTTTCTCTCTCTGCAGGCTGTAGGTGGACTGGTCGTAGCAGTGGTTATCAAATATGCAGACAACATCCTCAAAGGATTTGCTACCTCTCTGTCCATCATTGTGTCTGCTCTCATTTCATACTTCCTGCTTGAGGACTTTAACCCGACTAGGTAAACACACGTGCTCCTGAACAGTCAGTGCAGCTCAATTTGCATAACAGCAGTTGTTCATAAAGAAAGCTGTGTTAGCCACGTGTCAGTCAGTATATCTTCAGACAGGTCACACTGATATGTCCTTACACATATCGATTCGGCTCAAGACCGTTAGTTAAATATCATGGCTCCATAAAGTATGCTTGGGGTTTGGGTGATCCATTGAGGGCCTCTATGGGGTTAAAATGCATAATTTTGAATGAAAAGTTTCAACAACTTTTGCTTGGATTGACTAGGGGGTGCATGATGTGGTTCAGCCTTAAATTAATATAAATTATCAAATTCAAATTTGGATATAGAATTGAGGAGATTTTCTTAATTTTCCTCCATAGACACCATTTTATCAAAAAAAGATACCCACCTCTTTGCACATTTTTTTTTTTTTTTTTTTACCAAGAATCAGCTTTTCTTCTTTTTTGTGCTAATAAATAAATAAATAAATAAATAAAAGCTCAATTAAATACATTGCGAAATAGTTCAACATGTCAAATGTTGCACCATAAATATTGTTTTAATTTACCATTACATTTTCATTATGAGCACATTGAAATGCTACCCAAGCACATAGCTTAAAGAGGTAGTGTCATGTTTTGTTCATATTTCACAAATAAATATCGAGTTAAGATATTGTGTGTCAGAAATACACATGGGCAAAGTTTCAAGTTGTGAAAGATGTTGCATAATTTGACTTCTTGATTCCTGAAACAGCAGCTGAGATGGAGTGTTTCAGACAGATGTTGAGGGTTTCAAAGACACCAGCCTGAAATATGTTAAGAGTTTTTTTTCCTGACATGTGGTTATTGAACAAACAGTTTACTAATGTCTTTTTCTTTCTCTTTTCCTTTCTCCTCTTCCTCTCAGTGGGTTTTTTCCAGGTGCAGTGCTGGTCATTGTTGCCACATTTCTGTACAGCTATGAGTGTAAACCTGCCAATAGCAGCACCATCAAAGTGTAAACAGAGACTTAAGTGAGCTGTGCTATTTACCTGGAGTGGAGTCAAGGAAGTAAGACTCCATGAGCCGTGACGATGAGTTTGGTACACAGAAATGAACGAAGGAAGTTTCTGCCAAACTTCAGTGGAGACTGTTGAGACATATCACCTTTCTGAGATAATACTGCTTTGCACCAAAGATGGAGGTCAATATTGTGGGACACATTTGATTTTATGAATGGATTTTTATAAGTTTTGTCTTATGACACACTCTCAGGAGTACACTAAATCTACCTGACCTTGAAATGTAAATAGACGTGGTTGCAGATAAATTACTCTGCAGTTTGACTGAATTTATCTTGTGAAAATTAGAGCTTATTTAGGTTGATGAATTAGACAGGTGATAGACAGGTCTATCACAAGTATATTTAAATTAACATAGTCTGTAAGTTTATTTATACATGACAATGTGAAAACTTTTCAACTGAGTGAATGTTGGAGAAAACCACCTTTAGGTTGTGGAAGAAATGTCCTCCCCTTAGATTATGCTCAGATATGGTTCTTTTAAAAACTCTCAACACTGTCTGCTGTACAAGTATGCATGGCTATTGAGTTTTGAACAGATCCACTGGTCCATTGAGGCTGCTACAATATTGACAATAAGATATATTTTTTATCTTCCAAATTTGATAGTAGTATTAGTCTCTGAAGTCTCATAGCATTAATGCTCTAATGGTACGAGGACAGGTCCAGATATTTCCAATTTTGTATTCTTTAGTACAGTGTTAAGTAATGTATTTATGGGCAGTGGGATATGGGGAAAGTTTATAAATGTACAAAATAAAAAGGGTATTTAATAGTGCTTGGAAAGATAAAATTCTTTGCAGAGCTTCCATCTAGTGGTGGAATGAGGAACACACTTGCTGCAAAAGGAGGTGTTGCCTCTGTTCAAAGATGCTGAATGTCTTTTTTTATATGAGATGAGATAAGATGATATGACTGCTTTGACCTTGTTGCTGAGAGTCTGAGTATTTGTATGAAAGCACTCTTTCTACTGTCTTTTAAATGTAAAAATGAGGGTTTTTATGTAAGAACAAATGAATAAATTATGGCATCTTTTATGCTGAAACAACCAGCTCTGCGTCCCTCTTTTTTTTTACTTCAAAGAGAAGCTTGCAGTGTGTATTGGAGCACACACTCTCTCAGACACACACGCACACACACACACAGCCGTACATACACACATAGTGGGGCACACCCATGAATATTTTGATCAGTTTTTTTCTAGTTCCAGTTGCAGTGCACTCTATAAACCCAAACCAGTCTCTATAGCAACAGATGGCTGAATGGGCTGCTGTGCTGTGACAACTGTAGACACACTGAATTAATCTAACCTATGTCAACCTCTCAGAGTGTTTTACACAGTAGAAACAGATATTTTTACTCTACAGTGTCCCTGAATGATAACAGAATTGATGCTCATCTCTTTTGCCTTTTTTCCCCCTCTGTTTTTATCTTGTCTGTCTTCAGCTTGTAAAATCTTTGCATTCGTCTCCAGAGCTGAATCGACTTGAGATATTGTGTGTTTGATGAGGTGGATGGACAGGAGAGGAAAGAAGCAGGCAGATGGGAAGGTGAGGCATGAACCTGGAGAGAAGCACAGATGGAGGATGAGTCATGTGATCCGTGCATGGAGTGGCAGGCAGGGACTTGGACCGAGCCACTGGACAGACCACAGCCATGACACAGAAAGGGTTTTTTTTTATGTGTTATTATCCCGCAGAAACCTGGTGCAGAATGTTATAAGACCTAAAACTGTGACATTACCTCAAATAACCTGCAGAAGAATGGCACAAGTTCAAATAAATCACTTTGAAAATGTAGTCTCATTTAATTCCACATGAAGGGGAGAGTTAAAAGTACATTCAGATTCCCTGATTGTTGTAATATTTATGTAACTTGGTAGTGCACCATGGCCTGATTACTGCCAAATCGACCTTGGGTCTGAGAACAAATCGGCCCCATTCCAGCGATGATCAATTGCCTGCTATCAGCCTTTTGTTTTAAATCTGTTGTATGGCACTAATCCAAGTCATGTACTCTGTACTATTCAAAGCAATGCTGGTATTATTTATTCACTGTGGTAACACCAGCTCATCTATCTGATCACTTGTAACCCACCTGAATACAATATCAGCTTGTCATGTGAGCTGAAAATATGTCAGAGCATAAATTTGGTGTGTTAGCAAAACTCCAGAGAAAACTACAGCTGAGTTGTTTTTCTTTTTCCAGACTTTTTATGCAAGGTGAGTGCTCTTAGTACAATCTGACTGATGCATGAGATAATCTTAAACTAAAAAGATTTATATAATACTCTGTCTCTTTAAAATGTTCTGAATACATCCTTTCATAATTACTGAGTGTGCTGAGGAAGGCCGTTGTTGGCACTGACGAGGTTTAAACCAGCCTGCGAGGTTTTGGTTTTTTTTTGTTGCTTTTTGGCTGATTTTTCAATCAAAATGTCTTTAGGTATCAAGTTATACAAAACAAATGCTATTCTTAAACTTCTCAAGGACAGTTTGTTGTATCTCTCTCTTTCGCTCATGCAATAAGATCTACATAAGGATGCAGGATGCAGTTCTTGTTGGGGTCCAATACCTCTGTGGTATTTCTAAAAAACAGAGTTCTGTCTTCATCAAAAAGCAGGCAAAACTCTTAGAAGCAGTCCAACACTGGTCGTGTGTCAAATAAGCTTGAAAAAAATCTCAGCGCTGACACTATATTGTGTCAGATCCAGGATGTAATATCCACTCTGGCTTGTTATAATGGTCCTCTTAAATCTTCCAGGATTAATGAGCCGCTGGCATCTTGAGCTCAGGGAAACCATCAGTGCTCTCTTCACTGATCAGCGTCAGGACATCCTCGCCCTCATAACCCTCTTTTTATTCAAAAAGATTTAATTATATTTAAGTCTATGCAACCTCTCAAGTCTCTTATTTTGGCGGTATGACTACAAGTGGCGCCCCTCTCCTCGGCCTCCACATGAGCACTTGGGCATCATTGGCATTTGGCCTCCCCAGTGCGTTGGGAGGGATGGGCTCCTGGTAGTTGAGGATGTGCGGCTGCTCCTGGTAAGGGCGACCTATCAATGAGGCCCGGGAGCCCAGAGGCATGTCAGGGTCGACTGCAATGTCCACCCGCATCCGCCACCGCACTGTTTGCAACACGATGCGCTCCTGGAGAAGGAAAGGAGTCGAAATGGTCATTACATTACGCTTATTCATGGTCCGAGACATTTTAAGTACGGCTGAAATGCATGATGGATCATTACGTCTCCTGCTGTCGAGACTTGTTGAGTGCATCCTGATTAAATGAATGCTACTCAAGCATTGTAAATTATCTGACATAGATAAAAGATCAATTAGAGAACTTCATCCCATCTTCTTCTTTACAACCTGATCACCCTCTTTACAATAGCCTTTTGACTCTCACTGACAAATTGATCAATCAATCAAAGTGATTGGATCACATTAGATTATCTCATGACACTTTACGTTTAAAGTAGGTCTGGGCTGTACTTATTTATCTACAATTACAGACACTCAAAGTTTATCAGCCGCTGAGCGAACACAGCCTTCTCTCGACAGGCAGAAAACTTGAGCAGAATCAGACTCGTAAGCGGACAGCCATCTGCCAAGAACTTTGAAAGCATGCTGGTATTCTGAGTTTTATTTTTGAGTTAGACTGACAGGCCTCAGCTGAAGACAACAATGATGGACTTTGTAACTTAACACCAGGCAGGAAAGAGCAGTGGAAGCTGATTACATCACAGTCAGTCCGAGTGCAATGAAAGAGCCGTTTCTAAAGATGTGTATTCAGCATTCAAACTGCAGGACAAATAACACCGCCATTTCAGTTCACTATTAAGAGATGATTTTGAAAATTGTTTCACCTTCAGTGCAAGACCATTTTTTCTTCCTCTGCTCTCACCTTCGTGACAGAGTTCATGGCCACCAGCCAGGTGATAAAGCTCTGATCCCGGGTGATGTGGGTCAGCATGGGTGTGTTGCTGTTGCTGATGGGCACCGCCCAGGTCACGCTGGGGTAGAAGTTGTCGTTCATGCTGACCGTCAGACGGGATGGTTTGGATGTGGGCCCGGTTAGAGTGACTGTCTCAGTGGTGTTACCGTACCAGGGGTAGCTGACTCCGTCTGAGTCGCTGATGGCCTTGACCCGACCCTCTCGCAGCTCTGGTAGCTCCCAGCTGGACCTGCAGACAGGAAACAGAAAAGGACAGAAACAAAAGTTTAAAGGATGTTAATGGATGGGAGATTCAAGGTTTTGGTGAGATGTTTTATGAGGGTTTAAAAGAAGTAGAAAGAGGTGTGCACGTGAAACACCACGCCAGCTGAGGCAAAAACTTACATGCCAATATCCCCATATGTGTTGTAAAACTCCATCTGAGTACAGGCTTGGATCCAGCCCACCACCCAGGTCTCGTTGCGGGGCACTGGAGGCATCACCACCCCCGCTGAGGCCCTAAAGTAAGGTGTCTTATAGCGGAGCACAATCGGTGAATTCTCCTCAATGATGGTGGGACACTGGTCAATAGAGGCTGACACCTCATACACCACAATGTTCTCCCGTCTGATGCGGGGCTTACATGCAATGCTCTGAATACAGCCCATAGTGCAGGCTACAAGCAGAATGAGCAAAACCAGAGAAGAAGGGAGCAAATGATTCCTGGCCAGTATGCACATCAGTCCCCTCCAGATTCCACCCTTGCCTGAAGAGTAGATCTAATCCTTTAATTGCTCATCATGACTGATTGGTCTAAAAAGAAAACAGGATAGAAAAATGATGGAGAGTGTCTCAGTCACCATTGATGAGACTTGAAATCATTCACCAGCATATTTTCAGGATGATATGTTGGTGAGAGGGAGAAAGTGGGGCCTGGGGGGGAAGTATCACAGATCTCTGCAGCCTCCTCCCCCCGGTCTGCCTGCTGACTGCCGCACTGCCCTTGGCGCTCGTCCCCAGAAACTGCAATCCGGCCTCCCCTGGGCTGCTGCTGCTGCTCCTCCGCCGTGCGTCCGGAGGCTCCTCTGCTCCTCGTCAAGTCCACACGTCCGGCTGCACGTCGGTGCCCCTTGATCCTGCTGCTCTGCGCCCGGCTCCGCGCTGTCATGTCAAGAAGCGACAGGGCAGCCAGGTGCGTCAGAGGAGGGGGTGCCGGATGCCTTTTGTTTGCTTGGCTTTTCTCGTTATTAGCCCTACATTCGCGCGGCGCCCTCAAAAAACAAAACCGGGCTCTTCATCACCTTGACCTACATGAAAGGAAGCTTCATCAAATGAGCGATTCTTTAGCCTACAAAGGCCAGACAACGGGGCTAAAGCGGGCTATTTTAATGTTTTCCTCCCAGTGTGCTTCCATTCTTAGGGATGCATGAATGGTGCATCATGAATGGAGGCAGCGAGGCGGCATAAACGTGCAGAAAACAGTGACTATACCCAGCGGCGCGAGCGTCTCTCGGTTCTCATCGTTATGTGTCCTCGCGCCGGTGAGCATCAGGGACCGGAGAGCATCCTTTCCCCGCCGCGGGTTCGCCTCGCTCGGTGTGGAGGTGCTGATGCTGGAGAGTCAGGGGAGGGGCGTCACCCGACCTCTGCATTGAAAAAAATAACAAGTGCAAAGAGGCGTGGCTACACCGCTGCGTCTACCCTGCGTGCAACCCTATTGGTAGCTAGAATCAACAGCGGAAGTGGTGTCGTTTCGCTCATCCACTTCCTACCCTCCGACACTGACACGCATTCAGCTCGGCGTATATTAATTGTCTCCACCCCGCCGGTCCACCCCTGCCGCTGCTGGTTTATGATCGGTCGTTTGTTTGGATACGTGGCTCAGAGGGTGCCGAGAGTGCTGTACCGTGTGTCGCTGATGATGAAGCCGCAGGTTGTGTTCGTGCTGGGCGGGCCTGGAGCCGGCAAAGGGACTCAGTGCTCCAGAATCGTGGAGGTACGAGAGACAACGAGAGAAAGGAGCACAATTGATTTAGATGGTTGGGACAGGACATGCTGGGGTGAAAATGATAGGCTCGTCTTTTAAAAGAGTATTTAATACCTCTCTATGTCAGAACTACATGTACTTCCGGTTGTCCTCTAAAATGAACCGATGCGCTAGCAGGTGTTATGGTGAAACGTGTCACCCTGTTAACGAGAGACTTGGCCGAATGCGTCCGAGGTTGACGTAGACACCAAAAAATGGCCGTGGGAGGATTTGCATTTGTTTTGTGTGCTGTCTCTGTGTTTTTTGTCACGAAACTTAACTTATTGTGAAACATAGTCAACTTTTCAGATATATCATTCGAGTCTTGTTCGCTTGTTTGTATAATCGTCTCGAAAATGGCTGTGTTTCCTTCTTCCGTTTCAACATCCGCCGTTTCTACGACAACTGCGGACGTATTCGTCATGTCTCCGGTTAGCAGGGTCACATTTTACACCGAAACACCGGACAACTAGCTAGCTATTTAGCCATACAGGATAACACAGTTCATATGCTTATATATAAGGTTTTAATGATATATATGACATTTAGTGCCCAATTTCAACATTTGTAATCCTTTCGAAACTTTACGGCATTTATTAAAACGAGGTTTCCGGGTATTAAGTCCTCTGTCCAATGTTTTTTCAGTTGAACGCCTCAGTGAAGTGATTTGATTAATTACTGCTTTGTAGATTTACATAAATTAAAACGTGCCAAAACGGAACTTCATAGCTGAGACCTCTCGACTCTGAATCTGTCTGAGAATGTTGGATATTTTTTCGACCAGCTGAGGAACCACTTGTTTGAGCAGCCTCATTGAATTTGTGCTTGTCTGTATGAAGTCCTGTGTCTGCACTTTTTCACAGGCTTTTCTCATCTCTTATTGTCAAAGTCAGACCCTGCTTTACAAAGCCACTTTATGGAAAAAACTTTTACAACTTAGTTACCTGCGTCGTTATTTACTTTCTTACTTAATCACTAGGTAAATAGAGTGACCAGGACATAGAGTGTTGACATTTGCTCTTTGATTTAACCTTATCAGTGACTTATCTTCTGCTCAGCTTATGTAATGGTTACTATGAGACTGCACTGCACTGGCTTTTTCATCATCAACAAATAGATCTAGAGTACTGACTTGTACACTTTCTTAATGTTTGAATTTTTCCTTTAATCATAGATTGTCTGGGTACACTATACGGCTACTATTGATACAACTTAAATATGTGTTGATGATCTATATAGAGTGAAAGAAGGCAAGCACATCATGCACTGCAACTGACTATATAATTCATAACTTCATCATACACTATTTCAGAGAAGCAGCATGGCTTTAATGAGACTTTATTTCTTACAAGAAAAACCTAAAAAGTTTGAAAATCCTGAACTCTGCTTAAGGAAGCTACTTTGAAGTTTAGCTCAAAGTCAGACTCATAAGTCTGCGGCTCTGCTGGGGGCCAGCCTGGATTCTTTGATGTGTGTTTTTGGCTGAAAGAGGGCTGCTTTAAGAGAGACTATAACTACTTCTGTTCATGACTGTATCTGGGCGTTGACTGCTGTGCTCTAAGTATGCCGGTTTGGCCTGACTGACAGCTATGCATAAAGGCTCCTTTCATGATGGATAAGGACTGACTTACTTCTGGCCTAAGAATGAAAGGCATTTAACCAGCGAGGGCTGTATTTAAAATTGAGTGATATTGTAAGCAAAAAGGAGTAATTTCACTGACATCTCTTTATGATTTGTTTTAAACAGTATGTCTTCACATAACATATTAAAGAAAGTATTTTTGTCTATCAGAATTACAACTACACCCATCTGTCAGCTGGAGACTTGCTAAGGGCAGAGCGAGCCAGAGAGGGGTCTCAGTATGGACAGCTCATTGACAGCTTCATCAAAGAGGGGAAAATAGTCCCTGTGGAGATCACCATCAACTTACTCCAGAAGGTATGCATCAAATGCAGGCTGTAAATCAAGTGATTGTAGAGCAGGAGTTAGATTCTGATCAATGAGTCAGAGAGCAGGCACTCCTAGGTAAGACTTTTTGGCTCCACTTCAGACCACATCTACATGATTATATCTTTGTTTTGAAACAGATTAGATATTTTACAGTTAAATACCCCTATAAAAAACAAAGCCTGTGGATATTTCTGAGCTCCTTTGAGTACACAGATTTTCAAATGAATTCACATTCACACATTAAAGAATATTAAATGAGTCATGTTTTTTTGTCAGGCGATGGAAGAGACCATGAAGGAAGATGAGCAAAAGTTCCGTTTCCTCATAGATGGTTTTCCCCGTAATGAGGACAACCTGACGGGCTGGAACACCGTCATGGATGGCGAAGCAGATGTCAAGTTTGTGCTTTTCTTTGACTGCAGTAATGAGGTACGTCATGGAAACTGAGCTTGAACCTCTGTTGCTGTTTTCAAATACACACAGAGAACTGAGCTGATATCCTCCGAGTTAAACCATACTCAGCATGAGATTTCTGCTCTGTGTTGTTTTTTTTTAACAGACTTGCATCAACAGATGTCTTGAAAGAGGGAAGAACAGCGGGCGCACGGATGACAACAGAGAAAGTTTGGAGAAAAGGTACAGTCCTGCAGCATACAAAATAAAAAACTTTGACTTCAAACACCAACAAAGTCAGGACTTCTCAGTTTTAGTGAGTGTCAATCCCCTGAGTATGAGCCACTGCCTTTGGCTATTAACTGACTCTGTGCTCTGGTTTGCTTTTGTCTCTATCAACAAGCGTATTTGATCAGCATAGATTTGTCTGACCCATTTAGTCTGCGCTTAGATACCTGCATATGTTTTTGACCTAATTCATGTCTCCTTCAAGTCCCCGGTGTCATCCGACCTCAATAACTAAGCATATTTTTCTTTCCTGCAGAATCCAAACCTATCTGCAGTCTACACGACCAATCATTACACAGTACCAGAAACTTGGCAAGGTGCACACTGTAGATGCTGCTCGCTCTGTGGATGAGGTGAGGAGATGGTGTCTGCTGAAGGAAAACATCTGTGAACATCACCCAGTGCTTACTTTAATGAGTAAACACAGAGAGGAGATGACAAAAAACTGTCAATCAAAAGAATTGCTCAGAGAATTAGAGTTTCAGATGTGAACCTAATTGCTGCTTTAATAATATCATATCTAGTTTTGACACCAAAGTTCAGCTGTTAACTGAAATGAGACCAGTCGGACACTTCATACCTTCACTACATTCACTCAGAGAAATGTCATTAGAAGTGTAGAAGACATCTTGACATCTCTTTTATTAACACTTCAACTTTAAACCAAATAGAAGAGAGAATGTATGTCTTGAAAGTAGAAAGAGTGGTAAGAGGAGGATAATAGAAAGTGGGAGAATAACATACAGCAAAGAGCCAAAGGTCAGAGTCAATCTCATGCTGACACATAACAGGGACGTATCCTTTGGTGTATATGCAAGAATTTTCACTTCAAAATAAACAACTCAGGTGGCCTAGCGGTCTAGGAACTCCACGTATCAAAGCCTTAAGTCTTTGCTGCATCAGTTTCTGGTTTGATTCCTGACTATGACTCTTTGCTGCATGTCCCCTGCTCTCTGCACATTAGCTGTCCTAAGGAAGGCAAAAATGACCCAAAATGTAACTTAGAAAAACAATTAGGATGAAAATAAATTAGGTGTGAGGAGGAGAAGATAATTGATCACTTTGTCAGAGGTAAATAACCAGGTGATTAAAAAAAATGATGGAAAACTGTCAGCATGCTTATTTCTTCCATTTTCAGTCATTTGTTTTTTGTTTTTGGCAGGCTGTCAGCTTAGGGCAGGAAAAATCTTAAAGCCCAATTTTCTGAGATTTTTATGAGATAGCATTGGTCTTAGTTTGGCCATGATTCAGGCAGTGTTCCTCTGATGGAAGTTTGTTCAAAAATAATGAAAGAAAGTGAATGGACAGAAACGACATGTTAAATATCCAGCCCCTGTTTGTATCTGGTTGGTAAATTCGGCATGTTTTCTCTTTCAGGTGTTTGCTGATGTGAAAGCCATCCTGGACAAAGAGGGCTGAAGTTCTCCTGCTGCCAACAACATTCATTTATCTTTTTAGTTTTTATTTTTATCAACTTTAAGTACTCTAAAATAAGTTTAAATGTCCATCCATATGACTTTTTACTTTTCGTTACCTTTGTTTTTGTTTTCCATCTCTTTTGTAAATGTGCACTGTTTGTTTGGATATGTGCGTGTGTGTGTTTGAGGGGTTGTATGAAATGTGTGGCAGTATGAATGAGAAGCAGAGATGCTTAACAGCTTCATTTGATCATAGGATCACTGTTTTTCATCATAGTCTGAGGCCTTCCCATAGGTTCAAAAATGGATCATTAGCTTCGAGCAGCTTCTTTATGTTAATCAGCAGCACATGTTGTGGTCAAAATGTCAACAAAAATGGAATATATCACAAATGTCTTCAGAGTATCATGTCATTGGAAGCAGCAGGATGCTTCAGACCAAATAGTTTGACCTGATGATGACAGACTTGAATCGATTGTAAAACTTGACAGATAAGGAACTATCCTTTAGAAACACATAGAACATTTGTGTCATCTTGAACGGACAGCACTACAGGGACATGACAGGTTGCTATTGTGACATGTAGAAGTATCACGTCTGTGTTTGTGTGATTGACTCTGTCAACTCGTGAATGTGCTTCACAGCGTTGACCCTTTGGATTAGAAACATGAAAAGAAAGATTTGTTAATCTGATGTACTGTATCTCCCTGAAGGAGGAGGGATAAAATAGAAAAATTAGCACTGACCTTTTCTTTGTTGTGTTTTATTTACTCTACAATCCCTAACTAACAAGTTTCACTCTGTGTACTTTCTATGTTTTGTAGTCGATGATAGTTAAATCTCTTTTAAATTCAGTAGTCCCTTAAGAGAAAAAAGGTTCCTGAGAACATGTTAACATCGAAATATAGCCGTTATCCATTACCTACATTTTTATACAAAGTTGTTCACATAGACACCTCATCATGTAGTTTTATGAGTCGATAAAATCTCACACTGTCATCAACTAAGCCAGCCAGGAGAGGGCGCCTGATATCACTGTATGACAAGAGTAAGTTTCATAGAGTCTTGTTATTCCAAAATTCATTGCACACTGTTTGAGTCTAAATTGGTTCAAAAACATCTCATCTATCATGAACTAATTGAGCTTTTTTTTTTTTTTTTCTCGAGTAAATACAGGGGCCTCATGCTGACTAAGATACAGAGATAAGACATTAAAAAGTACTCAGTCAAAATTAAATGTCTGTTTTCCTTATCTACCTTATTTCAGAAACATTGTGTGATATTTATTTCTTATATCCAACTACTTTTCATGTTTTTTAAGAGTGAACCGTTACAAATAATTATAATTTATAGAACCCTTCTGAAAAATGACACTTACACTGATGTCTTTTCCATGTAGTACACCAGAAAAGACACAAACAAAAGCATGTAGCCACACCAACTGGACTAAACCACTCTTTTCTTGAGTAAATGGACTCACGTACTGTTGACTTTCCTGTTATGATGAGGAACCATCTGAGGGTTTTGCCAACACTTAAAAAGTCACACTTTCATTTTCCCTAGGAAAAGTGATGGCTTTTTTTGCCTTAAGATGTAAGGTAAGTTATTTTTGGAATAAATGAGTTCTTACATTTTTAAGAGCCCTTGTTGCTCAGCTGTTTATAAAATCAGGTCTTATCCCAAACATGGAGTCTCTGTTTGCATGTCTTTTGTGAAAACTTCAACCCTAATTCACAGGGCCCAATTCATTACAAGTTCATCAAGAAGTTCATTAAGTCATCTGTGTGTGTGTGTATTTATATATATGTATATATTTATACATACAAACAGAAAGAGAGAATTCTTTGTGTGTAAACTATAGTTTGTAGTTTTATAAGACAAAGTTGGGTTTTATTCATTCTGTCACTTGAAATAAACACAAAAACACAACAAGTGCTACATACTGTACATTTATTTTCATGTCATATATATTTTATATATACTTTTTTATAATCTGCAGGTACAAAGAAATTTGCTGACATATTTTTCATATTCCTGAGCACTTTTTTTTTCTTTAGCTTGGGGCCTGGTGTATCTACATTTCAAGAGCTACACACAACAGATAATCAGCTACATAAGCAATAGTACTTGACATGCCTTGTTCGACAAGAAGGCAATGTACCAAATGTGAGAGAGATCACATCGACAGTTTCAAAGCTAAATGCATGAAGGGAAGTTACTAAAGAAGTTTGAATGTAAGGCACTGTGAGTATACTGGTTTGTACGAGTGCACTATAATACATCTGGTTTGATCAAATACAATCCAACTTTGACAATCCTATGGATGGATCACTGCAGCACCAGAATGGGTTAGAATACAGCAAAGAAAGGAACATAAATAAGAATATAGCGAGTGAAATGACTGAAAAGAAATGTACATAGCATTTTTTTTTACAGGTGAAAATCTGTACATATTTCAATACGTACCACAATTTATGAAATGGCAAAATAACAAGCCCTTGTGTTATTGACAGCACATAAGAAAAACAAATTAGCGTAAATATATCTGTGCTCTGCCAGCAGATGGCAATCTGAAAATATATATTATCTTATTTACAAAATAAACTAATGAAACATGAACAGTGAGCACATAACTGGGCTTTTATCACACCAGCAGCTAAAGCAAATGTGTAACAGTGAAGCTCTATCCGAATGAGGAAGAGGACTGTCCTTCAATGCTGATGCACTGATGAGTAATTGGCCAAACAAATACCTGCTCAAATCCACATTCATAATGTGCACTCTGATGTTAGACATTCATAAAGAAAGCATCAACTTCTACCATCTTTGAAATACCAAAGAGCTTACATAAAGTCATGTGCATCATATACAAATGCATAAAGAGCATACACATCACATAATATCTGTGTGTAAAAAAATTTAAATCTTTTGACAACATGGTTGTCGATGCGAAAGGAAACCGACAAACAGAAGTCTCAGCAGGAGCTCATCAGACCAGTGAGGATGTTACTGGGAGTCCTGCGATACTGGGCCTTGGTGTTGGTGACGGCCCCGTGTTTCTGCCGCAGGTGAAGCCTCAGCTGACTTTTGTGTCTGAAGTGGAGGTCACATTTTTCACACTGTGGAAAACAAAGTCCAGTCATTTAGGGAATCAATATAAATGGACAGTGTCATCAAGTCAGCCACAGTTCATTGCTTTAGTGAGATTACCACTCGGGACATATAACTATTGATAGGCACATGGATCACAGGGGCAGAGGGATTACTCTCAGCCAGCAGACACAGAGGATAAAGAGTAGGAAGCTTACATGATAAGGCTTTTCTCCCGTATGAATACGCATGTGGCTCTTGAGCGTCTGAAGGTGGCGGAAGTGTGTGCCACAAATCTCACAAGGGTATGGCTTTTCTCCTGTATGGATCAACACATGAGCTCGAAGATGGGCCACCTGGAGGGGAAATTAAGGCTTATATTTAATACACACATACAAGGGCAGCAGGTGAACTTTGTACAGCTTTTGTGTTTACTTTGCTCCTCACCTGAACAAATCTGGAGCCGCAGGTCTCACACTTGTATGGCTTCTCTCCAGAGTGGATGCGTGTGTGCGTCTTGAGGTTGGCTGGTCTGTTGAACTGAGCACCGCATATGTTGCAGTGGTACGGCTTTGCACCTAGACGTAAAGAACAAAAAGGTTAAGGAAGACCTGATGTAAATCTGTTGTGCTAAGGCTGTTGGATCGCAGTTTTAAATAGCAGAGCTGGATTGGCCGCTCTTACCAGTGTGAACAGTCTTGTGGCTAGCCAAGTTGCCCTTATAGCGGAAGGCAGCCTGGCAGCAGTCACACTTGTATGGCTTATCACTGTGGACTTGGACCATGTGGTCTTTAAGGGAATCCTCCTCCATAAACTTGGAGTCACAACCATTGCAGAAATAAGTGTTGTTTTCTGAAGAGAGGAACAAACACATTTTTAATATCATATTATATCAAAATAATTCTGTTATTCTTGTCGTTAAACTCAAGATGTTGAGTGGAGACTTACCACAGCTGGAGGAAGAATACTCTAAGTTTAGTTTGGTGGCTTCATCTCTGCTATATGAGTCAGAAGACAGGTGACCCATCTCCATACAGCGGGGGCTGTCGCAGCCACAGGATGAGCATCTGCGCTGACTGCACACAGCATGACAACCACAGAGTTAGAAAAAGTCTTCATTCCTCTCACAAGTTTATATCAAGCTCAAAATCATTGTCATTACCTGATGCTGCTGCAGCTGTCCACACTCTGAGACATGAAGATCTCCTCTCTGTTCTCACTGGCACCATCTTCTGCCTGGGCCTCGCTGTGTCCGCTTGTTTCACTGCTATCATATGAGTTCAGAGTGGGGGACATGGCTGTGGTTTCAGTGCCGCCTCCCTGTGTCTCTTTCTCATTCTCGTCGGGCGTTTGGTTCAGAACGATCAGCTTGTACTTCTTCCAGTTGCGGGCCTTGGTGTCACTGGGGCAGTCAGACTGTTGTTTGAGGCTCAGCATGGCGTTTTTGCTGCTGTTGGACTCAGTTGGCGAGTTGGGCTGGCAGTCAGACCTGAGGGGGCTCTGAGGGCTGCAGATCACACCTTTAACAAAACCTGGAGACAGTCTGAGGCAGCTGCTCTGTGGGTGCTGAACGCTGTCTTCATCCATGGGTGTGGCAGGTCTTGGGTGGCTCCCTTGTGTTCTTCCTGGTCTCACAATGGTAGTGGAAAAACTAGGGTGAGATGGCACATGGTGGGAGATGGTGGATGGGGACTCACTGGGAGCCACCTCGGAGCATCTTTTCTGAGACAAAGCTCCTTGTCTGGGATGATTGCTTGGGGAACCTTCCATCTGACCAGCAGGGACATGGGGGTCTCCATAAACATGGTAGGAGCCAGAGGTGTTAATCCCCCTGAAAACATTGGGTGTGTAAGAGGAGGCTGATGTGTGGTTGCCTCTAAAGTCCTCGGCAGGCCTGTCCTCCGTCAAATGCAAGGAGTTGATCTGCACTTCTTCATTTAGCGGATTCATAGATTGATTCCTGCAAAAAAAAAAAAAAACAGATTCAACATAAAGTTATAAACTCAGACCCCTCCCCTTTAACCCACACAGTCATGTGGATCTGTGAGATTTTTCTTCTTCCTTTACCTGGACTTGATGAACCTGTGGCAGGTGTCAGCCACATGCTCCATCTGGAGGTAGACGGCTGTGTTCATGGTAGCAACAACCAGACTTTCCTTCAGGTTCAGACAGGACGTGTACATGAAGTCCAACAGGATTGAGAAACCCTTGGGGTCCACTTTTGGATCTAAGCTGATGGCACTGAGGTTTGCATTCTGGGGATCCATGAATACTGAATAAAAGAAGCCACTAAAAAAAGAACAAAAGACACCATTGTTATACATATGCACTGATGAGGATCATGAGCTGTTGACACTGTGTTGGATTTCATGACGTGGCATACCTGCAGGCCACCAAGATCGCCTTGTGTGCATGAAACTGCTGCCCATCCACCTGTATGGTGACATCTGTGAGGATGTTCCTGCTACGAAGGCGATTAAAGTTGAGCAAGACGTCACCTGCATGGCGGGTGAACTGAATGCAGCCATCTGCAGTCGTGGCCATGCTGTCAAAATCTGAACAAAGACAAAAATGGCACGTTTTAAAAACCTACAACTCTGAAAGTGACCCACTGCTAAGAACAGACAGGTAAATATGATCAAAGCTAAGCAGGGACAGTGAAAAAATTGACCCTGGTTTGATCATAAACTGACCATATTCTCTGAAAAATGTCATTAGTTATTCAGACCAAGTTTCTACTGTTGAGGGTAAGTTTTTTTGCATTTTACAGGGGCTTTCCTGCATTTAATACACCCAGGCAATCCACTTAAAATTCCAATTTCAAGCCAAATTCAAGTTCTTAGGGGGCTAATTATAATCCCAGAAAATCATAATTGCTCAAATTAACACAAACACACACGGTTATCAAACTAGAAAGTAAATCGCATTTCATCATCGCCTGAGACTCAGTGCTGTGAGCTGAAACAGGCCACCTGCCTGCAGGCTTCTTCTTCTTCACCAGAGGACATTACAACAGAACAAGTGTCCTGACTGTGTTTTATCAGGAGGAGGCGTCATTGCAAAGAAAAAAAAGCAGACAGTAAGTTTACTCAACCTTAAATATCTCTCTTTTAAGTGGCTTTATTCACGGTGTTGTTACATAAAAATAATTTATAAAGAATTTGCGATCAAAATTAAAATTCACAGTGGCTCAAGTCCCCCCTATAACTTTTGAGATTTTTTTATTTTAATCATTTTGAATTATTAAAAACTTTCACAAGGACGATGAATGTAAGAGCAAACACATCATTAAAAGTGAAAAAGTTGTAAAATGGTATGATACTCCATGTCTTTGTGCTATCTGTCGCAGATGTACACAATGTAACAGGCAGCGCAGTGCTGGCAGCCTGCAGCCTGTAAACGTGTTTGACGTTGAGCACATTCCGTCCTGACTGCTCAGATTAGGTTGCCAGTACACAGAGAGGTTTCCTGTTCCCCGATATAAGTAGAACTCAACTCATTTAACCCATTACTATTTACTCCCCATGCTAATCGCTCCAGATACTTCTAAACCAATTAGACTGAACTGAGACGATAAAACTTCGTAAGATGTGATTTTTAAGGAGTGGTTAGTTTGTTATTGCTCGCCGAGCAGGCCGACCCAAGTCCATTTAAGTTACAAAATGATGTTATTCTGTCATGATTGGGGCTTCTCAGATGTTTTTAATGTGTTTTTAAGCCATTTCCTCGGTTAAAGATCATATTAACAAGTGTTCGGCTCAATGTTGGAGGCACTAAGTGGAGTTGTAAGATTGTTTGTCGACTAGACAAATGCGCAGAGAAAACAAGATGTGACTGAAGCGGACCGACCGATCCAGTTGCGCAACTTTTACGAGTCTCATACGTTGCCACAACTTCCAAAACAGCATTTAAAATACACGTATAGCACATATCAGCAAAACAGACAGGTTACTATAAGCTCTGGGAAAAGAAGCCTCAACCGGAGGCTCATACTGCCAAACTGCTGCTTGTTTTCAGACGATTTCAAACACAGTCGCTGAAATTACATCCACACAGACTACAGCTGCACCTGTGTAAAACAACCACAGACAGAGCAACTCTAACTATAAACTTTCACAGTTCCGACTTTTAGTTCGCTGCTGTTTAAAGAAAGCGCAGAATAAAGTCAATATTTGATATAAAAATCCAGGCTGGGAGCTGCCGAGATAGCGGCCGCTGCTTCACTACACTTCTGACCTAATGCTGAGAAATAGGAAGGAAAAAAAGTCACCTTGTAAAAGTTTCCTCGAAACTCTGTGCATCACCAGTTCTGAGAATCCAGTTCTAAGAAACAGAACAGCCCAATTCTCGGAATTTCAACAGAGGACCGTACCATTCACCACGGGGCGGGGGAGCTCCATGTTCTTAACTCGAGTATTTCAACTCTGTACTGTCTGTGCTAGACACTTTAACTTATTCGTACCATATTATTACTATTATTCTAACGTCTTTGAAGGATTTATGAGCAGTTTGAGTTTAAAAGTTTTAGTAAATTTCTTTGCTTTGAAGTCGCTTCATCTCCCTGTGTAGTGGATGTGTCCAAGTGCAAGGTCAGCTGACCAAGTTATAAATACTGTGAGGAACATGAGCGCATGGTGGCTGGTGTAGCTGTAAACCTGCCCGACATACAGAAAAGAATTCAGGAAAGTCATCTTTATCTTCTAACAATTTGATTATAATACTCTTTTTTCCCCTCTGGATATTTTAAAGGGAACTCCCACACCGCTGTTAGGATTGTACCTTTGATTTTACACGCTGCTCTCTCTTTGGAAGTGCTTTCATCAGCCAGTAGAAGTTGTTCAGTTGATTGGAGTGTAAAAGCTAGGAGCCTTATCAGACGAAAAGGATTTAAGAATTTGATTTTTCTGCGAATTTGTTCAGTTTATTAATGTAAATATTTAATGGTAAACTATTTCAAGAGCATTTTATACAAGTTAGCTCTGAAAACTTTTTCGCCCATTTGGAAAATTACACACACTTTAAAAAGTAGTCTGACAAAACAACTCAGGACAGTCACAGGACAAAGTATGTATCTCTGTTTTGGATGTAGGAGTTGCTATTAAATTTTTAAAGTCACAGACACACACTCAGAAAAAATGTGCTGTTAAGCCTCAAATTCCCCCAAACAACCACAAGTGTGTCTGCGATGTGTTAAACTGCTTAAACGGCTGTGAGCTAATGTAACACAAAGTTATAGGTACTTACTGATGGATGAGTCAAGAAAAAGTCAGGGGCTTACTGCACTTTCAAAGTCAAATGTCAACAATATCCTGAGCTAATGTTTGTATTAAAGGGAATTAGATAAAATAATGATGTGAGAATTAAGAGTAAACTATGAAAAAGTGAACAGTGGTTTTTGGATCAGTGCCTTCAGATCAGCTGCAGGATTGTTTTTACCCACTTATAACTGTATTTTTGTGTCCTGTCAGAAAAAAGTCCAGTAAATTCCTTGAAGTGTTACCTCTGCAAAGCCAAAAGCATGTGACCACACTGTATATAGCCAGACATAAAGTACAACCTGTATGTTTTGTATTACTTTTTGATTAGCACAGTATTTTCTAAAATTGAAATAATGTAAGTGTTATATATTAAAATACTGGTAAACAGGAGGGAATTTAGTTGTACTTTGTCAACACATTCAAATCCAATGATGAGAAAAAATGGCTGTTTCGATAGATGAAAAAAAACATTTGATAGCACTACCTATCACTCTTCGATGTGCGGTGATAAACATTTATGATAGAACAAACAGAGCTGCTGTAATTGAGAACCAACTTTGACTATACACAGCACATGCACAGACTTTTACATATACTTTTCAACTGCAGTCATACTGGCATTGCAAACATCCTTCAACAAACTAAACGCAAAATTGCCAAATCATTAGGTTGGAACTGGGTCAGGTTTTTATTTTTCATTTAAGGTATCTATCCAGAAGCAAATACTGTAAACATATCAATCAATCAATTAAACCTTGTCTTTAAATCAAACCATAAAATAAAGTACATAAAAAAGAGGTAATAAAACACAAAATAGTAACTCTAGAACTAAAATAGGGTGAAATCACATAATGCTGATTAAGAGATTAAAACAGAATTCAACTAAAAGCCAGACTAAAATGGTAGGTCTTGAGTTTACTTTGAAAAAGGTGAACAGTATGAACAAATATATCCTTATTCTTATTTTACGTCATTCTTATTGATTAGCTCTCAGACTAAATCTGAAATGAACTGTGCTGCTCCATAGGTCCAAAATGGAGCTCTTCAGGTGCAATGGGTACAAAGAGCTCTATTTCTGGTTAATGTTTTTATACTCTGTTTTTCCCCTGCGGTTATCTTTAGTGTTCTAACTGTCTGTGGGTTGTTCACCATCACATCCTCTGAAAGAAGTGATATTTTCTGCTCAGTGTGTGTAGAGACGAGGCTTTCTCAGCCATTAAATGAGCCACAGTAGAAAGTAAACATCTGATTTCCTGTTAAGATGTTTATTCAGTGCAAGAGGATGCATAGATTTAAACAAGCAGCTCTTTCCTTGCATTTATCAGTGCAGGGTTTTTAACATTTTCAAGCCAGAGGTCAGCTGCTGTGCAAAAGCAGATAAGCACGAACACGTACTGCTGTGTGTGGGAGAGCTATCTTTACATTTAAGAGGCTGATCAAAATGATCTCACAAACATGCTTTTTTTTTTTTTCCTGCTTACTTTTGAAAAAAAAAAAACATGTCTTATCAGTAAGTGTTTCACAAACACAACATGTTGATTCAGAAAAAAAAGTGGTCTCCGTTCCTTTTTTTACAGATGTAAACCAACATTTTTAAAAAATAACTTATGTGGGACCTTTTAGGGGGGGCGCTAACTTTTATCCCATGTCTACCAAGATTTCCTCCAAGTAACCATCCGAATTTTTTTTTAATTAGGTCAGTTAGTTGCAGAAAAAAAAGCCTCAAACTCTATCCAGGAGCAGTGTTCCTGATTGAGCCCTCCCTCTTAAGAAGATCATCCCTTAATATTAGGATGGATGTACTATGGCAAGGTGACTTTAAAAAGTGAGCCCCGCCTTCTGTGTGTGAGTTACTTGATAGAACTCAAACACAGTAAAGTACATGCTTTCTATGACAGACAAGCTGTGGTTCAAGTTCAGGGATTGTGAAAGAGGAGGCGTGTTATGGTGCTGCTCCGATTGAATAAGACTGCTGTTCTGTACAGTGATACTTTAGCCTCACACGAACCACTCTTAATTAGCTAGTATACTGTATTAAGTATCAATGAGCCAGGCCACAGCCAAATTAATCAACAGAAATAAACCTGAAGTCTGCTTATAGACTGAGTAAGGCAGTGTTGCCACCCATGGGGTTCTGAAGCAGACTTTTGAAGCCAACCAAACACTGTCCACCTTGTAAGAGGCAGAGCTGAGGCAGGCCTTTTTCTAAACCTGCTAACAGTATTGTTAAGGTCTTTAAGAAAATAAAAAATGCCTTGAATAATTTTAAGATATTGTAGTCATTATGATAGTATTGGAACGATTAACCTCCATGGACCTTGGGCTTCAGAATAAAGCCCTAAACCCACAGGATGCGTGATGAGTGTGTTCTGTCGTCGTCGGTTGCTAACCAGCAAACACGTTCTTATTCTAACCAACACGGCATCGCATACAGGATGTGACAAGTCACATCTCAGAAGAGTCTCTACACACTGCTCCTCTAAAGATACGTGTCAAGTCTATTTTCAATGAAGCATATGCCTAGCACGCGTCAATCTGCACAGAGAAAATCATCCTAGACAAGATGTCACGTACAGTAGAGGCGCATACCATCCAGTAAATTCCAATAAATAAAACAATATTTGGACTCCAGGCTGTTTATCAGTTTGTATAGATGAAAAATACTTTGGGGTTATGACTTTATCATTAACACAAAACAATCCCTTGGCAATCTGTATAGACCACAACAGGGCTTTTAGCTGGTAACTCTGTCTGAAGGTAACAGTACATCAAAGTAGAACATAGTTTACTTTACTGAACATGTGTAAACCTACAAAAAATCCAAACTTTAAAATCACATTGCTTTTTCACATGCAGATGAAGTACAACAGTCACAGAATAACATTTTAATTTGCAGAAAATTGACAACAGAAAGGCAAAGCAAACTGTTGTGAGTATGTTTTCTGAGTCCAGCTGCCCGGGGCTGCGCTACACTGCTGCTACACTCCAAACACACTTCCGGTGGACGATGACGCATCCTGTGGGTTTTCGGCTCTAATCAAACACGTGGTGTGATTGATGACTTAAACCAATTCTGTTGTCAGACAAGAACTTTGTGGACTTTCTGATCTTTTTCATCAAACCTGCTCACCTCAGACATATTAAACCTAAGTGAAACATAAAAGTATACCCTCATCTTACAGGCCTTATAGAGGGTAGAGTGTCTGCCTCTTTAATATAGATAATGCTGCACTCGTCATAATCCCCACAAAGGGTGATCTCATTGGGTGCAACCAAAACTTTTGACCAGGTCAAATATAGACATCTCTTTAAATCCCTTCACAAATCTGGATTTGGCCAGACCTTTATCTCTTGGATTCGAGCACTGAACACTTTGTCACAGGCATCAGTGAGAACTTAAGAAGCACCATACCACCATGATTAAACTCAGTTTATTAGTTTTTCACGTTCATATTATGACAAAGAGAAATGCATTTCTTTGGCAGCTGTAATGGTTATGCTCACAAAGCCCTTTGTCCTTTGGCGAGCGTCAGATCATTGAAGTGTCCCAGCACTGCAATCACATGAGATAGAGATATAGTAAGCTATGTATTGGTGTTAAATGTTTCTTCAGATTGTCCTCAGTTATTAAAGAATAATGTGGGAAGTTCTGAGGTAATCCAAAAATGTGTGACGGTATAAGTCTTCTATCCTTGTAATACCTTTCTGTGCCCATATCTTAAAGGCCTGGACTCTTAGGACCTGGCTGGTGATATAGCAGTGTTAAATGTAATACATTTTTTGGAGAGAGGAAGATTGGTTGACTGATATACTTATATGTCCTCCCATACCTTCACTGAGTGGCTAAGAAGGGGGCTAGTTTTGAATGTTCCAAGATTTTTAGTCGTGAAACATTAAGAGATGTAAGACAAGTTGAGTATCTTGAGTAAATATAACCCTGGGTCCAGTAGACCTAATCCTCTTTTTTCAAAGGTCAGTACTAGGATGCCTCTTTTAGCTCTTGGCATCTTACTATTCCGCAGAATGTACTATCTAATGAATTCAATTTTCAAAAAAGGATTTAGGGTGTCCAGTAGGTATGGACTGAAACAGACACAGTAGTCTGGGCAGAATTGTCATCTTAACGACATCAATTGTCCTCATAAGTAAAATGGGTAAGTCCATCCATGTTGTCATATCTAACTGAGATTCTCCAACAATGGTA